AAAATGGGAAAATTTCACGAACTTTTTATAAATTTTAAAACTGGATCAGTGGCTATTAACATGCATGATAATAAAAGCAAGAGGGAAAAGTAATGATTGTCATGTTTAAGGGATAAATTACAAATTTGGTGAAAAATAATCATCACTAATATTACCATTTTTTTAGCACAGTAATATTTTTCTTATTTCCGAAGGAATTTTAAACAATCAAACAAAAATAAGGTATCAAAAGCTCGCAGTTATGATTGTTATGGTCCTTCTGGTCATAGCATGAATGGAAAATTTTATATCCAGACATGATTTTTTCTTGCCAATTCTCAAGTGGATAAACATCAAGGGTTCAACATAATCTAGAGGAAAAAAGGGTAATTAAGTTGGTTTCTTTGGTGCATAAGACAGCATAATTACAACTTTAAGGTTTACCTTTTTTTTTTTTTTTCTTTAATCTTATTATCCTTTAATGATTAATGATTAGATGAGATGTTATGATCGCTAAGTATTATGTTATTTTTAATTTGTTTATAAGAGAGGGATTTGATTTTTAATCTAATTAAAATTTTAAATACACTTATTATTGATTTAAAAACTTATTATATCTGAAAATGTATTATTTGAACACTCAAACATTTTAATTTAGTGATTGATATATGATTTTTTTAATTTAAAAAGTAAGGTTTAAAATTTTCTTTGAATAAAAAATGCTTCACTTGATATTCTACAATTCTAAAAAATATAGTTAAATCCAAACTATATACATTTAACAATAAAAAAAATGCATGAAGACACTTGTAATCCTAAATAAAGGCAAAAAAAAAAAAAAATTGGAATCTGAAGCAGAGAAAAATTACGAATACAAGCACATTCACAAGTGTTTCAAAAATCAGAACCAATTAGACCAATTGAATCAGGATTGTTGACTTATCCTATCATAAAACACTCGGTAAAATATTGTTTATGGTGAAAACCAATTAAGAGCCAACAATTTTCTTGATTGAACCGGGTTTGATTGGTTTTTTAACCAGATTTGTTTGTCTTAACTTTAGCTAGTGAAATTTTTTGTTCTTTAGAGGCATTTTTCTATAACTTCCTTCTTATTTCTTAATCATATGAAATAAATTATTAGTATGTCAACCAATTATTGATAAACGTTTAAGTGCTCTTCGGCTTTGAGAAATTAAAATAAATATATATAGAGGCAAACAAACGACTCAATTTTATAATTATTTCTCAACTACCAAAGGATTGGTTGCTCTGTGGTCAGTCCTCATCTATCCTAAGATTAAGGTGTCATTTTCTGCTTTGTTATATGTATTTTTGGATTTGGGTTTGCTAATTATATATATATATATATATATGAGATAAACTAGAAGCAAGTAAAAATTGGTTTGAATCCATTAAATCGATTGAAATCAAATGAATTCGATTGATTCAATTTTTAAAATTGATAATTAAAATTAAGTCGATCAATTTTTTATTTTTAAAATTAAGTCGATTGATTTTTTATTTTTAAAATTAAAAATCAAACTAATCAAATTAATCAATTTTTTAATAAGTAAAGATAAAAAATTGATATGAGTTTTTTTATTTTTATTTTGTAAAATATTATTAAAATTATTAAATTTTTGGTGATTTAATTAGAATGATATTTGATTTGAGGTTTATTGGATTGAATTTATAATTAAATAATTATTTATAATAAAAAATAAAAAAATTAATTATTTAATCAAATCAAACAAATCAAATCTATTTTAATCGATTCAATTATGATATCAATTTAATTATATTTGATTATTTAAAAAATTATTAATTTAATTATTTATTGAATAAAAATTAATTAAGTTAATTATTGATTTTTTTAAAATCAAATCAATCAATTACTCCTAAAATAAACCGACCATTGATGGAAGAGCAAATAATGTTGTGAGAGTAAGGGCCGACCGTGGAGTTTCTTTACCAACTGTGATGTAATTTGGTGTTCCAATTTGAATGCTATATGCCTTGGAACCCAAACAATAACAGAAATTGGCCTGAATGTTTATCTTATAGCAATTTGATAGTGAAAACAATAATAGAAATTTCTTCTCTCTTCTCTGTTTGGGTCAAAACTCAGCAACTAGCATAGGGAAAAAAAAAAACATGCTTGTGAAAATGAACCCTAATTGTCTATCTTATATTACGTGTCGTGCAGTATTTATCTAACTTTTCAAACAATCAATCATCATCACCTCCGCTGTAGCGAAAGCCACAAGCTAAATTTAATAATCAAACTGTACTAAGATTGGAGCCCGCCGGGAGAACAAGAAAATCCATTGGATCTTTACTGATCAATAATAAAAATGATTTGTTTTTTTTTTTTTTTTTTTTGTGGTGAATACTGAAGTGGGCTTCGTCAACTTTGACTGCTAGCTTCGGTTGCCTTAGCCTACAATCTCACAAATTGGTAGACTAATAATAAAGTACAGATTTCTTCGTTAATATGAATTACCACGAAATTTCAGTCCCTTAAAATATATATTTACGAAGTATGTCAAATCCTTTTCAGGGGTTTTTCCTCGCTTTTCTTTTATTATTATCTTCTCTCTTTATTTACAAAAAATAATAGAACAAAATTAATTAATGAATATCAACATTCTCTTCCCTAATGTCTTTTTATTGACCAATTTGCCGCAAGAGGGATAAGTCTCTCGTGTTCAAAGAACCAGTAAAAGAGCGCATGTTTTTGCATATTTTTAATAGAAATTAATGTAAAAAATGTTTGATTTTAAAATTAAAAGAAAACTAAAAAAAATATAACTTATTTTATTTTATTTTATTATGTGTCTTTGGCTTGATTCTACTAAAATAAGAGTGTGAGTCCTCAATGACATGTAATAAATAAATTAAGATAGATGGCTTACATCTATATATTTTGGAAAAAGCTTTGTAATTATACGCCTGAAACAAAATGATGTGTCAATTATTGGCAAAATCCTAATTAAAAAACTTTGTTTTTTTTTTTTGTCAAATATGTGATCAAAATCTTCAATGATCGATTAAATAATCAATGCAATTGGATGTAATAGATTATAATGGAAGTGGAATCCACCTAACTATATATATATATATATAGTAGTTAATTTTCTTACATTAATATTTTAAGAGAAAAATTAAATTGTTTGCAGCACCGACCTACCAAATCCAATCCAATGAAATAATAATAAAATATGAATTAAGAGATTATAAATAATGCTTAAACCGACATAATTAATATTCCACCTTCTTCTCTTCAACATTTTATTTATTATATATATGTTGATGAGATGAGAGGTTACCAAATGTATTAGGTGAAGCTCTTTATTAATTGCATCTTTATTATTATTATTATTATTATTATTATTATTAAGAATATCGTAAGATTAATCCTACGAATTCCCAGCCAGCGTTCATCAATGCGTTAGGAGAAATGCCATAGAATTTTATAAATATATGAATTAAATGCAACGTAATAATTCCACAACTAAATAAGTTGCAAACTTGCTCCATGCCATACCTTTTGGAGAAATGATTGAAACCCTGTATAATAATAATGAAGTAATGGTAAAAATACGAGAACCATACCTTCTTTTAATGCTTAAATTAAAAGGGTGTAATAATATGGAATTTCAAATGAAAATAGACTCAGTAAGTGAAAAAAAAAAACAAAAAACCAAAAGAAAAAGTTTTGAGATGCTCAATTCAAGTCAGTTGGTTGAAATAAAATGGATGAAATTAACATATATTAGACTCGATTGCATTTTAATATAAAATTAAACAATAATACTTTTAAATAATATAATTTAATGTAAAAACCCTAATTAACTTTCGCGCATAGCAAAATGCAAAGCAAACGAGGGCTTAAATTGTATCAAGTGTGAGCTGCTGAGTTGTTAGAAATTTTCCTTAATTAATGTAATTTAAAACTTTAATTATATTTAAAATTTATTCTTAAACAAAAGTATTTTAATTCAATTGAATTTTACATCAATATTATACTTCTCGTCAATGTTTCCGATTAATAAAAAAACTAATAAAAAAAGAAGACTGCTGACATAAAAATAGTACTGCAGTGAAATTCAATTAGATCAAAATATTTTTGTTTAAAAATAAAATTTAAATGCATTTTATTTTAAAAATTAAGATCTTAAACTACTCTACCTAAAATTGTTACGTATGTACGTAGAAGAAAAGTTTTGTCGTGTTCTTTCCTTGTGATATAAGTAAAGAGCTCATTGGTTGAATTACATCAGTTGATCCGAATATGCTAAGAATAATTTTATTAGCCACTTTTTGGTTTTCATAGCTAACCCTTCATTTTTAACTTCCAAAAAAAAAAAAAAAATGCTAACCCTTCATTTTAGCTTTATCCGCATTTGTTCCAATAATTATTATTCCCACCTTCCTATAATATATTAGTCTCTCATCGATTTTTATGAAATTAAAAGACATTTTTGTTTTAGTTTATATAATATTAAATTTAAATTTTTTATAAATTTAAAGATAAATAATTTTTAAAAATAAAAAAATAAAATCATGAAAAATAAGTTTGTAATATAAAAATAAAATATTTAAATATTTTAAAAAATAATTTTGAAACATAAAAAATGATAAACAAATAAAATAGAACCAAAAGAGTATTATTATTATTATTATTATTAAAATTTACATCTTTCTATCATTTTAAATCTTCGAATCTTTCTATGTGTAAAATTGTAACGCATGGATGTCTTATTTTTAAGTAAAATTGCCAAATATGCTATTTACTCAAGGCAAAAAAATAAATAATCTGTTATCCTTGCCATATTTTTCACAAAAGGATTTTTCTAATCTAAAATATTTTATTTTTTAATAAAATAAAATAAAGAAATCCAACGTTAAATTATATCCTAAAAATATTTATTAAAGTAAAGTGTAAAAATAAAGGGCCACATATTTTATAATAAAAAAAACTAAAATAACGTAACTAAATAGTAGTATAAAAAAAATAAATTGGTCGTTTGCTAACAAGTAAGAAACAAATTTGTTATTTCTTTCTCTCTCTTTTTCAATTATTCTTTATTTTTTTGTCTAAAAAAGGGTAGAGAGAGATAAATTGAAAGCTGATCTCTCTCTTTCTTGTTGCAATGATTTTCGTCTACCAAACCCAAACGTAACTCGTTCTCGTTTGTCTAATTGTTTGTTTATTTTTCCTCTTTGATTTTTGTTTGTTTGTTAAAAGAAAAAGTCATTTTTAAGGTCCAAGTGTTCGGAAATTTTGGGTTGATTGCGAGAAATGAGCAAAGAGATTGTAAAGGAAGAAGCGCCGCCGTCGTTGTCTGGTGTTGTTTCGGCTGAGAATCGTCCTTTTGGTAGTCTGAGAGGTGTCCAATGGCGTATCAATCTCGGAATTTTACCTTCTTCTTCTTCAATTGATGATCTTCGAAGGGTAACTGCTGATTCTCGCAGAAGGTAATCATTTCGTCTTTTGCTTTTTTCTTAAGAAATATTTAACATCTGGATGAAATTGTAATTTTGAGCTTCTTTTCTTGTACAGATTACCAAAATTTGATTTATTTTTTTAAAATTTAAATCCATAATTTTATTTTGATATTCTTCATATAAAGCATTGCAGCTGATTCTAGCTTAAAATTTATAAAAAATGATAACTTTGTGTCTCTGGGTTTTGAAGGGATTTTACTTCTGTTTTTCCTGTTCAGATTAATTCGAAACGCTTTTTTTTAATTAAATTGCAATTAATCAATGATCTTGGGAAAGTAATTTCTCCAGGAAAAGGCCCAGGAAAAGGAGAAACGCATCAATTGATTTGAGTTTTGTTTTTTTTTTTTTTTTTTTTAATTAAAAACTAACCTTTGTAGTCTCAAATCTCTGATTTTATGGTAATTTAGATATGCTGTGTTGAGAAGGCGGCTGCTTGTGGATCCACATGTTCCCAAAGATGGAGGAAGTAATTCCCCTGATCTTGTCATGGACAATCCACTCTCACAAAACCCAGGTAATTGTAATGTTTCTTCTTTCCTTTGTTGCATCGCTTCGATTTTACTTCACAATTGGTTCAATAACTGTATTGTTCATTCATAAGCTTTTGTTTTAGTAAGTACTGCTGTTTTTGCCTTGCAATCTTATCTTGATTAATGTTAAATTTATATGGACAGTGTTTATGGATCCAGTGTTTGTTTCAGTTGCATAAGGAGGCAAATCTCTTTTCCTCCTTTTACACCCGATTCCAGTTGCTTGGTTTTCAAGCCAGGAATTTTAACTCATCTTTGTCAATGGAAAATTAGACTGGCCTAAATGTTACAAATATTCTTCTATGAGCAAATTTACTATGGTTTCACCCTATTTACATCCCTTTTTTAGATGTTCGTTGCTTGATCTGTATTGAAATAATAACTAATTCTTCATGCAGACAGCACCTGGGGTCGATTCTTTCGGAATGCTGAGCTGGAAAAAATGGTTGACCAGGATTTATCACGATTATATCCTGAGCATGGAAGCTACTTCCAGACCCCTGGATGTCAGGGAATGTTGAGACGCATATTGTTGCTGTGGTGCCTTACACACCCAGAGTTTGGTTATAGACAAGGTATTTTCTTAAGCACTCTGCATATGTGTGTTATTATTTTTCATGCTATCACAATGTAGATTTTGAAAAACTAAATGAGAAGTGCGTTGCAATCCTAATTATTAAATGTGTTTCAAGAGTTTGAATCCCAATGTTTTTCATGGTAAGACACAAAAGTAACACATTTGCCGTCACCTTAGGTGAAGGCTAGTTGGAGCCAATAATTAAAATTTCATTCCATAGTATGCAATGACAATGCCATTGGAATTTGGAACAAATATCCAGAATCTACAAACTTGTAATTCTTGTTATATTAATATGCGAGACATCAAGCTAGCTCTTTATCTTTTTCTCCTTCCTGTTTATTTGTAGGAATGCATGAACTGTTGGCTCCTCTGCTTTACGTTCTTCATGTTGATGTTGAGTGTCTTTCAGAAGTGCGAAAGCTATATGAAGACCATTTCATTGACAAATTTGATGGATTGTCATTTGAAGAAAATGATGTCACATACAATTTTGATTTTAAGAAGTTTTTAGATTCCATGGAAGATGACATTGGATCTCAAGGTAATTCAAAGAAAGTTAGGAGTCTTGATGAGCTTGATCCTGAGATACAGACCATTGTATCGCTAAGTGATGCTTATGGAGCTGAAGGTGAACTTGGTATTGTCTTGTCTGAGAAATTTATGGAACATGATGCCTACTGTATGTTTGATGCTCTGATGAGTGGGGCACGTGGTTCAGTTGCTATGGCCGATTTTTTTGCTCCCTCCCTGGAAGCTGAGTCCCACAGTGGCCTGCCCCCTGTCATTGAAGCCTCAGCTGCACTATATCATTTGCTGTCAGTTGTTGATTCATCTCTACATAGCCATCTTGTTGAGCTTGGTGTTGAACCACAGTATTTTGCACTTCGCTGGTTGCGGGTTTTATTTGGACGGGAGTTCTCACTTCAAGATCTCTTAGTTGTATGGGATGAGATTTTCACAGCAGATAATAGCGTATTTGATAAGGTCTCTGAAGATGATGAGGGGAGTTCCAGTTTTAAAATACTCAATTCACACCGTGGAGCATTAATCGCTGCTATGGCAGTCTCTATGATACTTTATCTAAGATCTTCCTTGCTTGCCACTGAAAATGCAACATCTTGTCTTCAGAGACTCTTGAATTTTCCAGAGAATATAAATCTGGAAAAACTTATAGCAAAGGCAAAGTCACTGCAAATTCTTGCATTGGATTCTAATATCTCATCCTTGTCATATACATTTGGTGGGGCTTATAGCCGCTGCAAATCTGCAGTGACTGGTCACAATCTTTCATCTGATCCAGTTTCTCCAAAAACTCCTCTGAGCCTGGTGCCTGACAGCTACTGGGAAGAAAAGTGGAGAGTACTGCATAAGGCTGAGGAACTAAGGCAAGATAGTTTAGGAAAACAAACTCCTAGTGGGAAAAAGAGATGGTCAGAAAAAGTAAAGCTGGGCCTATATAGAACTGAATCTGACCCATCACCAGCAAGAGCAGAGAAATGCAAAAAGGGCCACAGGTCATCTGTTAGGCGTAGTTTGCTTGAAGATTTGTCTCGGCAGCTTGGCTTTGAGGAAGATGCTGAAAAGGGAGGCTGTTTTGATGCTTCTAATACTGACGATCATCATTCTATAGAAAATCAGGCGGAGGGACAAAATGGTACTAATAAAGAGTCTATTTGCGCAGCTGAGGAGAGATGTGAGAGTGGAAGTGGAACTGTTGTCAGTGAAGAAAACTCCTCTATCTTTTCTGACCCAGCAAGTCCTGGTAGTGGCACTAATGACCATGAAAATGACACAGAAAAAAGTAGTGTTGCGTCAAATTTATCCATCGATGAAAATGATTATCTCCAGCAAAGTAACCAAGAAGATTCACCTGTGCCGATTTCCCTTCCTCCTGAAAATGTCTCTCTAAATTCTCTGCATGAGAATGAATTGTCAAGGAAGATGGTCTCAGCAAAGAAGGAGCAAAGGCATCTTTCAGGTAGATTCCAGTGGCTTTGGAAGTTTGGGCGAAACAATGTCAGTGAGGAGACATCTGATAAAGGAGGTACCCATGAGGCTGCAAAATCTCCAACTTGTGATAGCAAGAGCAATACTGCAGACTCATCTACCGCTGATGCTTCTAGTAATTCATCTTCCACCAGCGAAGGAGATGCTGTGGACCAGAATGTAATGGGTGCATTGAAGAATCTTGGGCAGTCTATGCTTGAACACATTCAGGTAATATTCTGGTTTTTGTAACTTGCCGAGGTTCAAACTGTTAAGGAAAATGTTTTATTGTTGAATAGAGAAGTCTAGAAGAGTGAATTTAATGAAAACATGAAGCTGAACTTTGAAATTGAATTGAAGTTGCATTACATTTGAAGAATGTTGAATAGAGTTTTGTGCAGTATAAATGAAGGTTTCATCTCCCGCTTGTTTTCCTAATAGCACACTTTTAGATGTCATAGTAGCTTGCCTTTGTCCTACTTGGAAAATGGGGGCAGATAACTAGGAGATACTATTAAAGTTTTATCCAAAGTCCATCTTTAATACGTAAAATTTTATTTTCTTTATTTCCTTCGATCATTAAATGACCATATATTATTGGCAGGTTCTGGAGTCCGTTTTTCAGCAAGATCGGGGACAGGTGGCATCATTGGACAACTTATCTAAAAACATTCTAGTTGGTAAAGGACAAGTAACAGCCATGACAGCTCTCAAGGAGTTACGGAAGATCAGCAACCTACTATTAGAGATGTGAGATTTGTTCTATTTATGAAATCTGTATATACTTTTTGTAATTACCATTTTTTAGTGCCAATAAAATGAGTTCTGTTGGTTTCTTTCTTGGCTCTTTTATATTGTCTCAAAATCCAAATCTTGTAGGTGTCTGAGACATCGGGGATGTAAATGTGCGTTTTCTATTGTGATCTTATCGAATTTTTGAATGCATAATGAGTATGCCGTAAGTGTAGCTTTTCCTGCTAAGGTTTCCTGTGTCACCTGGAAGGTTATGCTTGTTTGTGGGTTCTTCGCTCTTTGCCATTGCACTTGTTAAATACATTAATCACAACTGTTCAAAAGTAAAAGCTTATGAATAATGAACAGCAAAGCATTCATGTAAACAGTGATTAAAAGTGTTATTAGTAATAATAATAATCAATCAACTGTACCAAACACCAAACCATTGAGTTTGGTACAAGCTGAGGAGAAGAATGTTTAGTTTCGGGCATTGTGTGGTTGTAAGTCTAGTTCCCAGAGACATGACTGAGGTGGAGTCGTTATTGAACATCGCTACTTTTCTACTATCTTTTCATTGCACTCAAAAGTGTAAAACAGTTTAAGATAAAATGAAAACTTTCATACTCCTACCTGTGCCATGTACTGAGGATGTCCAAAATTCTCAGAAAATTACGAAAATAATTGATTTTTGTCTTCTCTTTAACTTCGTAATTCCAAGCATAACAATATTAGCCATTGCAAACCAGACAACCAATGGAAAAATCATTCTTTCTTATTTTGGATAAAAAGGGCGTTTGAAATGAGTAAACAATAAAGATGCAGTAAGCAATAACAGCAATAAGCCTACTCTCTCGAGAAAAGAACACCCGTAAAATGACACTTACCAGTGAACACTATATTCAAAGGCCTAATTACCAAGAACCATGCAATGACTGCACGTAAGCGTTTAAATAGCACCTATGAAAATCAGTTTCTATTTCTTTTTACTTTTATTTTCAACAAAAAGTTAAAGAAAACAATTTTGCGTGGCTACTGAGTTGGTTCCAAAGGCTCATTCATTCGCTAAAGTATGATGATTTATTCTACATTGTGGAAGCCTGGCAGAAGAGAAGTGATGAAGCCAAAGACAATCATCTGGATTTCCTTAACAATTCCCCACCAGTGATTACCAGCATTTCCTAAACCAGGGTCTGCTGCATTCTCATTCTCAACCAGCCGATTACCATCATCTGCTGGTCGGTTCTCATTCTCTGCTCCTGCTTGTCCCTCTGATCCAAGATACAAGGTTAAATAAATAATGAGCATGTAGAATCACAATAAAATATTATGTAAAATATAGCTTAAACAGTTCTCTTTTAACTTCTCTCAGCATGCCAGAATCAACAGTTGTGATGTTACACAGAAAAAATATGTTTTGTGCGCACAAAAAGCAGTGCAAGGCTAGTTGCTACCAACACGAGCATGAACATAACCATGTAACTGAGTTTAGCCATTAGTCACTAGATTACATGTCTAACTAGGAAGTTTAGTTAGGATTTAACATTGTTTTTTAATCGGTTCATTTGTTATTACCTTGGTTTACTAGTTATAATTATCTTCAAAAGAGATTGGCTCTATAAAAGGCCAGCTCTTCATTTTAGGAGTAAGTTGAATTCTGATAAAATCTCTAAGGGGGTGATTGGTTCATAGATTCTGGGAACGAAAGTGATCCCCAGTGTGGACTCTTGGCAAGAGGTGAAATGCAGTAATTGCCATAACCATAATAAATGTTCATTAAATCAAAAGCCATTAAGTTAAACAGATGAAAAAAAATAAATAAATGCCAAATACTGCATTTCTATAAGTAATTGACATAACCATAATAAATACTCGTTAAATCAAAAGCCATCAAGTCAAACAAATGAAAAAAAAAAAAACTGCATTTCAAAGCCTACAACGCCGTATTCAGGTAGGAAAATATAAGAAAAAGAGTACTGAATTAAAAAAAAATCCAGAACAAAAGCAACCCACAATTACTTGATTTTTGCACGTTGATTTTCATGAGAGTAAAATAGAAAGAAAACATTTTTAATTTAGGTCAAATGTGAGACAAAAGTAACTTCCCTTTTAGAATATTAAAAAACCACAAGAGAAGGTGGGTTTCTGATTCTGAAACTTTTGAGTACTGTTGGGAGTCTAAGATTATCCTAAGAATCAGATACTTGTTAACTAAATGTGGGAATCAAATTCTCACAAGTAAGATTAAGGGGGGAAATCTAAGATTGCCCCAAACCAAACGCTCCCTAAAGGTTGGCTTTCCTTCTAAACTCTTATTCACACTTTCTCCCATTTTATTCAGTACACATCAAAGTAGACCTTTAAAATTCAAAAGAACATTGCTTTCTGGGCTGATGCAGGATTCAATAAAGCAAATGGTTTGTAATCACCAGTCACAACAATGGATAACTTGATGAAACAACAGCTTAATTTTGGAAATTATCATTCAAGAGACAATATTACTCTTGCTTCATCATACAATTTTTGAAGAATTTACCATTTATAATATTTAGATAGCTTATACTGTTGCAAAAATATGAATGAACAAACACAAGTAATAAGTTTAATTCCATATACCCTGCATAAACACTCACAATAAAACACCACCCCCCCCCCCCCCCCAGGAATAAAAAAAGAATGAAAAGGCAGAATGAATTTCAGTTCACATAACAATAAAATAAAAAAGTCACCTGCCAAAGCAGCATTTTCATTGCCCTGCCTTTCAGCAGCAGGAACATTCTCTGCTCTGGCAGCAGGCCTAGGCGGATGAGGAGGTGCAGCTGCCCTCTGCATGCCTTGGGAAAGCCTTCTTATCAATGGTGTAAGAGCTCCAGTTTGATATCTGCAGAAAACCAATGTATCAGCTTCCAGTGTTACACTGAGTAAGCATCGAGAAAAAGAAAAGGACAACAGAAATGACATCAACTTTAGAATTTAGAATACTGAACAAAAACATTTGCCTGTATTAATCTCAGTAAATTAAAACAAAGAAAAAAACCAAACTGGAGTGCAAAGGTAAGTAGAAAAAAGAACCACCCATCATCATAGTTTTCCCCTCATTATTAGAAAAAGCTGCACCTATCCCTTTTAACATTCTAACGCCATTAGTGAAGTATCATTGGTGATTCCAATGACAGAAATGCCCCATTCACCCACCACCCAAAGAAAGGATCACAATTTCTTTTAAAGAAAAAAGTTCATTCTCCAGCAAAAAACCTCTTCTCAAACCTTCACTAACAGCCAAGGAACCATCAAGCCACAGCAATCTAATCAGTACAAAGATGGTCAAAAGCAGGATTCTAGGAGTCTTAGATGAGAAGAGAGTAAACTAAAGGGAAAATGGGATCTGAATTAGGGATTTCACTGCATCTGAGCATCTGATTATGATCCAAATTTCCATTAGTCTCTTTTCCCTTCAGTTCAATAAGTTGGGTTCTTTTGTACAGATGGCTAGAGCTTCAAGCATAGGGGTGGATTTTGCACCACATTATTTGTCATTTATATTTTTCTAACAGAAACCATGTGGAGAGAGATATAGTTAAAGCAAGCTTCACCAGAAGAAAGCAGTAGAAAGAGTGGAAAAATGAAGCTTAACAAGAAAGAAGAAATGATGGATGGACAGTAGAGAGAGCAGTTTCAATACTTGCGCATCTCCCACAACTTAGGCAACCAAACAATCAACTGACAGAAAATGGTCTAAGAAAAAACAATTACACCCCCGAATAACTTGTGCATCCAAATAATCTAGTAAATAGCAGTTCTGATGCGCAGAACAAGTCTTAAAATCAAAAGCAATCAGATGTTTAGAACTTACAAATAGACAAGCAAAGCAACTAACACAAGGACAACCAGCCTCTGTCTTGATCCATCTTGGTTGAACAAAAATATTACAGCTGCTAGCTTAAGAATAAGAAACAAATCCAGCTGAAATGCAATTTGGATTCTTCTTACAACAACTGGTCTTTGAGGTCCTGCCTGCTGCTGTTGAAGTTGTGCTTGTTGTGCTCCTTGCCCTTGCTGCTCAACTGCTGCCCCTGGCTCCGTCACAGGCCGACTATTAATGGAAAACATGCAACACAGTAAGATAAACAGCAATGGCTAACATAATTAATGTTACTTACAATCCATTTTACCATAAAAATATGCATAATTTCCGATTCCCCTAACTGAAAAAGCTCTGGGATCAACTAAAATGTTTATTTACTAGAACACTTTTGTATCATCGCACTTTACCTATAGCAATATCCTTCATGTATTGAGCTAATCTAACCAAATCCAACAATATTTTAAAGTACATTAACAAATAATTTCCCGACAGAGCTAGGGATTTTCATTTATGAATTTCAAGATCAATGATAAACCCATCACTTAAAATAGGATACAGCTAGCATGGTAAAAGGAATAATATACATTTTAGGGCACCACAAATATTGAGATGACAAGCTTTGTGATCTTATATCTACTTACACCTTTTAAGAAATAAAAAGTGATTAAATTTAGACTAGTTTGTCTAAAGCAAGACCTAAACATAGCGAAGACAAAAAAAAAAAAAAGGTTAAAAAGAACAATAATGGCAGGTAAAAATCCACATGATAAACCAATTTGGTGCTAGAAATTGGATGATTAAATAAATTGTTTTGGATATCACCTAAAGGAGCTCACCCCTAATCCAATGGAATTATAGGTGATTATACCTAAGGCAAAAGGCATCTTCATCTAACAGCGGGAATGTGAACTACATAAATTTACAAAACCGCAGATTTACTCACGTAGGTATATTATAGGTGAGAGGAATGAGATTGTTAGACGGAATTCCAGCAATATGCCCCATAAATGGTAGAACAGGGACAGCATAAATGCCTGCTCCACGGTTTGTCTGTTCCTGATTTTGTACTGAAGTTAAACATGGGATAATTGCAGGATACATAACTGGAAACATCTGAAAATCACCATGTTGAAAAGCTGGAATAGCCGAGTATCCAGGAACCTACAACATAAAAGCCATATGGAAACTGAAAACGAAGAAAAGAAAATTGCCGACACAAAACGCTAGTGAAGAATAATAACATTACGGAACTCTCAGATACTAAAGAAATTTTAATATAATAAAATTCGCTTAACTCTAATATATAACATTATCAGCCAATAATTGCCAAAAGATATAGCTAAAACTCAGATCTCATAAAGTCTTACACACTAAATAAATTAAACCCATCATTTTACATCCACTATAATGCAAAACCCATTATTTATTTTCACTAAAATAGATTTTAAGACATACCCAGAAAATTCAACCCCAGAAGACAGAAAAATTACCCGAGAGGTAACAGAAAAAAAAAAAAAAAAAACCCAGAAAAAGCTATTGAATTGTAGGGAAAAAGAATTAAAATACGAAGTGTATTGATGAGGAAAACCTGGGATTTCTTTCCAGAATCAGGGGAAGACCTTGGTTGTGAGCTAGATGACATCGCTGCGGATTCTTCAGCCATAACAAGGGGATGGGTAATTGAGATCCACTTCGAGTATTCTTAACTTCAAGTAGTAATTTCTTTTTTCCCTTTCCTTTATAAATGAGTTTAGGGTTTTTTTTTTTAAATTTTTTTTATGCGTTAGAGGTGTTAATAAGTCGGGTTTATATTTTATAATAATAATTTATATAATTATTTTAAGTAATTTAATTTGATGTTTTGAGTTTTAAAATTTTTTCAAGTTTAATCCAAATATAAAAAGAAATGAATACACTTATTAAATTTAATTTATATAATAAAAAAATAAAAATATATCATTAAATTAAATATAATAAAATTATATTTAATTCATATATACATAAAAATTAAAAATAAAAATACATTAAATTTATATCATTTTTATTTTAATTTTTTATATATATAAATTAATTTATATATAATTCACACATATATAATTTATATATATTTAAATTTAGGTTGAGTTAAACTTGAGTTTAAAATATTTTATTTAAGATTTGATTTGAATTTTAAATTAAGCCAAAAATTGTGTTTAAAATGGATTTTAATTTTTATGCAAATTTCTTTAAACTTGAATTAATTTTCAGATTTAAGTGGGTAATTTGACTCTTAAATAGATCTAATATGTGTTATTTTTAATAGTTTTTAAATTTTAATTGAAAATTTTATTACGTGGATTTTATGTATTTGCCAATAGCAACACGCCACGTGTTATGTAATTTTTTACCTAGTACATTTGTCATGGTTTTTCCATTTTTTAATCAAATACCTTTTCAATCTTTTGTCATCAAACTTGACAATTACAATGAAAGGCAATTTAGTTAAGAAAATGATAAGACATGGTTGCCTAAATATTGAATTATGAACATGTTTAATTGTATTAGAGAAATTATAAAAATATATATAACAGAAATGAAATAAGGGACATTTGTCTTTCTATTTTTTTTTTTTATAAAACATAAAATTTCATTTAAAAGATTATAAAATAGTTACCCACTTCTACATTAAAAGAAAAAGAAAAACGTTTAAAGTAGTGCATGATTTCCTTGCTGTGATGTTGAACTTGGTGAAAGGTTAAAAAATGGGTCTCCAAATGGGTTATAAGAAGCCATGTATTGCATCTGCTGCTGTTGTTGAGGGAATTGGTAAGGCACCATCGTCATCATCATCTGTTGCTGCTGCTGATGTTGCTGTTGTTGTTGATATAACATCATTTGCATTTGCTCGTGTTGGTATTGCTGCTGTTGTTGAACCAATAAGGCCATTTGTACATTTGTTGGGGGTGCAATGCTGTTCGACATTATAAATGGGTCATGTTGTTGTTGTTGGCATGGATTTTGGACAGCACCCATCCCTTCATATCCATACCCATATCCTGCATTTCTCAACTCTATTTGTCTCCTAGTACCTTCATCTTCATACAAGCTATCTAGCAACAACTTGTCAAATCCACCCGCCTGTCCAAAAATGAATTTATCACCATATTCTCATGGGTAAATATCATAGTTGGCCATTATATTATATTATTTATAATTCAATTACATTGAGTAGAGAAAAGAACTAACCAATTTGCTTTCTACCAAATGAGCTGTATTGTTGCTGGGTGTTGTAACAAGTGCTAGCTCCCATCCTGGACCTCCAATTTCACTTAAACCACCACTTGTTGAATAAGTGCCTTCATGAATATAACCCCAAAAAAATACAAGTTAATTGACATGGTCACAAAGAAATTTTCATACTTGAAAAGGATCATGATTTTTTAACAATTCAACTGTTATAAATTTGAGAAATGGCAAGTTTTCGATCGTTTCCTTAACAATATGATTTTTGTGCCAATGCATAATTAATGAATTTTAAATAAAAAAAAATTGAAATCTAAAGCTTTAAAATCCAAATATCCAAATCTAATTAATTTGAGTTTCAATCCCATATTTTTACAATACCTGGTGGAACCATTGCAAGAGCCAATGCATTGCTTTCCTCTAGTTCTACAGCTTTTGGATTTATTTCATTTAGATCCTGACACAAACAAGAATGTCTTTAACAAAAACTCATCCAAACTTTGTATTTTTTTTTCTTTTGATAGATCATCCGACCTATTGTTTAGGAAATTGAAATATAGATTATTATAAAACTTACCAACAGATCTCCTGTATTTTCAGTTGATATAAGTGGTTGAGGAGGTTTCTCTGATTCCTCCTTAAGTTGAGTCTTGGCTTGTTCTAGATCAATCAATGATTTATGCTCCTCGTCATTTTTTTCTTCTTGCCTTTCTGTTTCTACTGGTTCATCTGATGTTGGTGGCGACGGCTCTCTCTCTTCATATTCCTGTAATAAAATTAAAAAAAAAATCTATTAGAATTAATAATAATAATAATTCATAAAATACAACTTCAACCAAAAGTATTGCTAAAACCTCTCTAAAGTATTTTCAATATGAATTAAATAATATAAAACTTTTTAAAAAGTCAAAATTGATGAATATGAATTCATAAATTCCAGCTATAGACCAAGACAACAAACATACTAAAATAATCTACTATTTAGGCCTTTTTCTAGCAAACTAATGATCTCCCATAAAAAATTTCAAGTAAACGAATACTTAAAGGAAACTCCAAAGAAAATAATAATAATAATCCTCTCACCAGTTTATTTTGGACAGAACCTGCATGTGGAGCTTCTTTTATATATTCCTCCATTGTTGCCAGAAATGATGGTGGTGGCTGCCCAACGTATGAAAAACTTTTGTAAGACACTGTTCATTTGAATTTATTAATTGTTATAAATTTCATATAAATTAAGAAAGAACCTGTCTTAGTGTTGGAAACTGAAAGTTCCTAGCAAGATCCAAACCTTTGCAGTATTCATAAAATTCAGCAAGATTTTCTGCCTATACATATATATATATATATATATAGTTAAAAAAAATGTTTTACAAAAATAAAATAATATAAAAAATGAATTAAATGCATAATTCTAGTACTGAATAATAATAATAATAATAATAATAATATATTAAAATTAAATTAAAGCAAAAGGAAGTAATTATGAACCTGATGACCAGCTCTTTTGTATATATTAAGAGCTTTGACAGCATCATGTTTTGACATGCCAAAGAACTGTAAAACAAAAGCAAATTTCACAGAAATATACAATGAAATACACCTTTATAATATTATGATTTTTGGTAGAATTTTTTTATTTTACCATATCAACGAGATTGATAATTCCATCATTGATAGCACAATATATTTTGAAACTCTCTTTTAGTACCTGCATGAATAACATAACAGTTTAAATTTAACAAGTAATATGAAAAAGAAAATATTTAAACAAAAATGAAATTAAAAAACTCAATATAAAATACAAACCAACTGTCATTATTTATATATTTTTGCAAAAATAAAAGCTTTAAAGGAAATAAAAATGGAATGAAGGATAGATATGCAGTGCGTACCAAAGCTAAGGCATATTGGATAAGGTAATTGCTGTAAGCTGCTCCTTCAGGCTGCAAAATGTAAAGTAGTTAAATGCCGACTTTAGTTGACGAGAATATATTTTCTGTTAAATGATTTTTTATATAATGAATATAATATTTTATTATAATTATAATTCTAAAATAATTGAAAATTTCAAATTAAATGCTTTAGATTCGAAATTTTTGGAAAGAAATATGAACCTGATGCCATTAAAAAAAAGGTTACATTCTTATTTTGTAACTCAAAACTCAATGGGTGTTTACATTTAAAAAATGATATATATACTACAATTATTTAAAATATTGGACCTATCAAATGAATTATATGTGAGCACTTGAATATTGATGTGATAGTTAATTCTAATTATAATTTATACTTGTAATTTTATAAAAAAAAAAATTGATAATGCAGGACTCGGATTCCAATCCCTTCTTCTATATTAAAAATAAAAAAATAATAAAATTGTACATGATATATAAACAAATACCTGACAACCGATAAGACGATAAAGAAGTTGTTGTAATGCAGGCAATTGGCCTATCAATTCATCACTACCCAAAGTTTTTGTTCTACTATGTACCTGTGATAATTAAGATAAAACGATTTTGATTTCAAATTATACTAATTAATAGTATATATTATTATGTAAGATAAAAACCTTGCTTGTGCCCGATGATGATTTTGTCAAGCGTTCTGATTCAATATCATATTTTAAGACTCTGAAGCATTCAAGCCTTTCCTCTAAAAAAAGTGCATACGTCCTAACCCATGCTGAGCAATCCCATGCTGCATATATAAGAAACAAAGAAAAGAAAGAACACAATTTTTTTTTTTTTTAATAAATCTCTAAGAGTTTATAAAAATATTTGCTACTAAAAGTCTATATGTTACATAAAACCGAGTAAAATAAATCCGTGATCCGTAACTTTTTTTTTTAAAATGAAATCAAATTATTAGGCTGACGACGGATTAATATAAGAAAGTGAAAGTTAGTGAGCAAAGTTTTGAAAAATCTGGAAAAAGTATACATACCAGGAGGGCTTGAATCATCTTTAAAATTTGATATTTGGAGAATATGATCTCTGTGGGAGTAGTTTAGAAGCTCCTCTCTGAAGGTAGGATCACCTTCTCTTAATGTTCTATGAATAACTATTAATATCTTTATAGCAACCTGTTCATTTTCATTTGGTACAATATATTCAAATGTGTATTAGATTGGATAAGATCATAACAAAACAAAACAATTAAAAAGAACAAATGAAAATTCAATATAAAAAAGAAATAAAATCATATTATCCTATGTGTTGATTCCAAAATTCTAAAATGAAAAATAAATTACTTTCATCGTGCCCGTAACAATTAAGTATGAATGCATTAATATTGCATTCAAAACCACCAAAAACATAAATAAAAAAAAAAAAAAAAGAGAGAGAACATTACAATCCAATTTCGTGTCTTGGATAATCTCTTTGCTAAAGCATGAATGCAATATGCTACGTCTGCTCGTGGTCGTACAACTGATGTCGCTGAAAATATTTCTATCAAAATTGAAATGAAAAAAAAAAAAAGAGAGAATGAATAATAATGTTAGAAAATTTGCAATTAAAAAAAAAAAAGTTTTTGAACACAAACTCAGGTAGAAGAGTGTTATTATAACTTACTTCGAACATGACGTTCTTTGGGAGGACATTCAACGTGGTTGGTGGCTTTTACAATGGCAATGTCTAAATCCTGCAAATCAAACAATAATATATAGGAAATTACTAAATAATTTTAAAATGATGAATGAGAATGGAAAAATATCCAACAAATTTAGAGAAAATAAATATACCTTGAAATCACTATTGACCTTTGCAAGCCCAACCTTGGTTGAGTCTTTGAGCGCCCCATAAGCCTGTCTAAAACTCTTAAATGTTCCCATCTTCTTTTTGTTTTGTTTTTTGTTTTCTTCTTTTCTTCTTTTTCTTATTTCTTTTGTGTAGAAATAAGAAAAGAAAGAAAAATTTGTAATAAAAATTTGTAATAAAAATTTGTAACAACTAATATCGATGTCTGTAATTTTCTTGCCTGAGAAAGAAAGATGAGGCAATGTTTTTGATTGTTGGGTTTGATTTGGTTTTTCTGTATAACAAAGATTGTATCTTCCAACAAATCAAAGCAAAGGAGCCAAACAAAAAGGCTGTGTCTCTGTCGTAATGATTGAAGACAAATAACTAATCTCAACTAAGCAATACCCAAATTACCCACCAATCTCAAAAATATTCCAACCACAGCTGTCTGTGGGATAAATAAAGCATGCAAACATGTTTTCTTTTTTTTTTTCCTTTAATGTTAGATCATCGTATTAATATAGGATGATTATCGGTTATTTATAATTTATACGAAAGAAACAACAAAGCAGGCTAGCCCAACATAGAAGAGGCTTAAATCCAACACCGCCTGGCCCTTTGCTTTCCAAAAACATGACAATCCTTCAAAAATTCCTTTTTATTCTTTAATTTTGACCTGTCGCTCACGACACAGAAAAAAAGAGTAGCTAGGGTTTGGTTGAGTTTGGGGGAATGGCGTTGAGGAAAGCTTTCAGCGATATAAAAGGAATGAAAGTGAAGGAAGTCCCTGGCCACGTCAAGCCCATGCTATCCATTGATTACGTGAAGAAAGCTATTCAGAGGGGTTTGGACAATTACCATGCCAAGTACATTCAGACGGATTCCATCGACCCTGTCTACCATGTTTGCTTCGGTGGGATGGTCTTTTCTTACCTCGTCGCTCTTCCTAACGAGCGTCGCCATCTCGAGCACCAGCAGCACGCCAAGGAACATGCCCATCACTGATCCCATCCAGGTACTCCTAGTCCTTTTTTGTTTTTGGATTTTTGAGAGGTTCATTGATCTAGTTATTTTTTTGGATGGGTGATTGATAGATTTTTGTTTTTCATTTGGTTTTGCTAGATATAGAGTTCATGTTTCGTTGTTGAGATGTGGGTAAATTTGGTTTTGGATCGATGGGTTATTTTGATGATTCTTTGTTTTCATTAGTGCTGATATAATTGAGCTTTGTTGTCTGTCTTACATATCGGTCTTTTTTTCTTTCTTTGAAATTCATAAGTGAGAATAAGATCAAATCTTTTACTTTGGTTTCAAGAAAAAGTGGAGAAGAGAGAGATACAGAGAGCAAGCTTCTTGTTTAGTTCTTTGCCTTAATATAATTTCTATACGAGTTAACCTCTTAAGCCTAAATACTACGCAATACCGCTAAGCTATCCCAATTATGATAGGGGCTCTTAACAGCATAATATCTATTAATTACCTTCCATAACATCTTATTCTTTAACCTCTAAAGACGACCTAATTGTGAAAGATTTTTACATTGATTTTCTACCTAAAACTCTAAATAAGAATTTATAAAATACAATTTCCTTGAATAAATTTTCACCTAAATTGAAGTTATTGATAAATCTTTTAATTCTCTTCTATGTTTTTTTCCCTCTTGCAGAAGATGTTATTTTTATATGGCATTGAGATTTGGAATTACATCACCTTGCTGCTGTGTAATTGTAAATATTGAGTTTTTGTACAGTCCTTGTTTTTGATGAATGTATCTACCTATCTCATGGGCAAAAAACAATGCAAATTGTGTTCAATAGACAGGTATTTTATATGTGTCATGAAGTATAGGAGTCAGTAGGCATGCATAGCATACTCATTTCCAATGCTGGCCAGATAAGTTGCATAACAATGATAGAAGAAATATTATGGCTGATTTGAAAAGAGGGCATTTGAAAGATTTCTTGAAATTTAAATTGTAATGTGAGGCTGCTATGTTTGACACGTTTGTAGTGTTTGGAATGACATTTATTTAACACATTGGGTCATGAGGGCTATGTTCCAGTGATAAATAATCTTGTATATTGGGTGCCTTTTTCTATGCTGGGGCAGGGGGAGGTGAGGAGGGTGGTGATAGAAACTTATTTGAAGTTGTGTGAAATTGGTAGTAAAGGATAGGAATTCCAGCTCTTGAAGATAATGATTCTATCTTGCTGTATGTGTATTTTCAATGCATATGCCTAAAATATGAAAACTTGGTTTATTAATCGGTGTTATGTTGTTCTCATTTGCCATTTCCATAGGTTTTAGTAATTGGCGTTATAATGATTTTCATGTATAACTGAGTACTGGTATTTAGATTTATGCGTGGCTTATGTCACAAATATTAATGATTTCAGCATTTAATTTTTGCAGCTTAAAGATGGGTCGGGTCGTTATTGGATTCGTCAAGTGACAATTGGATTCGCTTAGTGGTTTTGGTTGTAATTTCTGAACAATGTAGGCAGGAAGATACTGTCTTGATCAATGCATTGCAGCATTAAGTGATAAAATAAAGAAAGATAAACTATTATGTGTAAAACTACAGTGCTTCAATTTTTTTTTTCCTTGAAAGTACCACGGAAACCCAATTTGATTTTTGGTGTGGTATGTGATGCCGATTTCAAATGATTAATAAGTTTTTCTTGATTTTTATTGTTCACGTCGATAAGTCGGGGAAAATAAGTTTTTATTTTATTTTTCCTACAAAAAGCATGAGAAAAACAGGGGAAATTAGAAAATGCTTTCAGCTTTTGCTTTTTATGTTAAAACTCCAAGTCACCCGCGGGACCTAGTTTGAGCCTATGATTGTTTAACATATACCTATTTCATATTGTTATTTAATGTTTATAAGTAAGTGGGGTCGTCATTTTTTATTATTTTTTAATTTAAAATATTAAAATTAATTGTAAAAGAAAGATTGTCAAAAAAATTAAAAAGTAAATAATTGAATGCCAATAACTCATTTTCATGCTTTTCTTTTGCTCTATTGTTTGGTAAATATATAATAGAAAGCAAATATTTTGGTAATAATTTATTTTCCTTCAAGTATTACATCAAAATTTTCTTCTTTTTATATTCTTCTCTAACCAATTCGGCCCCTAATTTAGTATTAATAAGTTCCTCTCATAAAATTATTCTCACAATAAAAGGCATATCAACTATAATTTTTTCTTTTAATTTTAATATTATAATTTTCAATAATAATAAAAAATTATGTAAAAATCTTCCTTATATCCCAAATATCATATAAAAGAAAGCTGGTTCGACTTTGTTGAAGGGGAAAGCAGGCTGGCCCAACATAGAAGGGCTTAAATGCAACTGAGCCTGGCCCTTTATTTTACAAAGACATCTTCCATACAATCCTTCATAAAAAATCACAGCCTTCCTTTTTGTTTTTTAATTTAGATCTGCCGCTGACGACACACACAGAAAACAGGAAAAGCTGGGGTTTGGTTGAACTTGGAGAAATGGCATCGAGGAAATTTTTCAGCGAGATAAAAGGGATGAAACTGAAGGAAGTTCCTAGCTGCATCAAGCCCATGCTATCCATTGATTACGTGAAGAAAGCTATTCAGAGGGGTTTGGACAATTACAACGCCAAATACATTCAGACTGATTCCATCGACCCTGTTTACCATGTCTGCTTCGGTGGGATGATCTTTTCTTACCTCGTCGCTCTTCCGAACGAGCGTCGCCATCTCGAGCACCAGCAGCACGCCAAGGAACATGGCCATCACTGATCCCATCCAGGTACTCCTAGTCCTTTTTCTTTTTTTGGATTTTTGAGAGGTTAATTGATCTGGGTGTTCTTTTAGATCGATGGTTGATAGATTTTTTTTTTCTTTTGTTCTTTTAGAGTGTTGGGTTGGCTTTAGTTTTATGGAATGCTAGCATTAATATAAGAGATTCGATTGCATTTGTGTGGTTTTGTTTTTCATTGTATTGGGGCAGTTTTGATGTTTGATTGTAATGAAGTTTAAGTGGTGATGATTTTGCAATTTTAATTGTTTCATCGATGCACTTGTTTGCATTTGTGTGGTTATGTTATTCATGGCTATTGACGAAATGCTAAAGATATACTTTATTACTTTATGAACTTTTGATATCAATCAATGGTTGCCTGTTGCTACTAGCCATTGGTGGGTCGATGATGTAATCCTTCTGTTTTTGTTTTTGTATCTTTTGATGTAACCCTAAAGTTTAGGGTATAAAAAGGGCTAGAAACAACAAAAGTAGGGAGCACGGAGAAAGGATCTAGTGAGAAATTCATAAGTGAGAAGAAGATCAAATTACTTTGGTTCCAATAAAAAGTGGACAACAGAGAGATTCAGAGAGCAATTTGCTTGTTTTAGTTCTTGCCTTAATATAATTGCCATACAGGTTAACCTCTTAAGGCTAAATACTATAGAATACCACTAACCTATCTCAATTATTTAAGGACCCTGAACAGCATAATATCTATTGATTACCTTCAATAACATCTTATCTTTACCCTCTAAAGACGACCTAATTGTGAAAATTTCTTTCATGGATTTTCTACCTAAAATTCTAAATAAGAATTTATAAAATACAAATTCCTTGAATAAATTTTCACCTAATTGAAGTTATTAATTAGTCTTTTAATTTTCTTCTATATTTTTTTTCCTCTTCAAAACTTCAATATCATCTTGGAGAAGATGTTATTAATATGGTATTGAGATTTGGAATTACATTTGCCTTGCTGCCTAATTTTAAATATTGAGTTTTTTGTACAGTCCTTGTTTTTTATGAATTTATCTGCCTATCCCATGGGCAAAAAACAATGCAAATTGTGTTCAATAGAAAGTTATTTTATGTGTCATAAAGTATAGGCATCAGTCGGCATCCATAGCATGCTCATTTCCAATGCTGGCCAGATAAGTTGCATAATAATGATAGAAGAAATACTGTGGCTGATTTGAAAAGAGGGCATTTGATAGATTTCTTGAAATTCAAATTGCAAGGTGAGGCTGCTATGTTTGACACATTTGTAGTGTTTGGAATGACATTTATTTGATGCATTGGGTCATGAGGGCTATTTTCAAGTGATAAATAATTTTGTCTATGAGGTGCCTTTTTTTTATGCAGGGGCAGGGGGAGGTGAGGAGGGTGGTGATAGAAATTTGAAACCGTGTGTGAAATTGGTTGTAAAGAATATGAATTCCATCTCTTGAAGATAATGGTTCTATCTTGCTGTTATGTGTATTTTGAATGTGTATGCCTAAAATATGAAACCTTGGTTTATTAATTGGTGTTATGTTGTTCTCATTTGCCATTTCCATTGGTTTTACTAATTGGTGATATAATGATTTTCACGTGTTACAAATATGTACTGTTGTTAAGCATAACCATGCCTGATATCTGAGTACTTGTATTTGGATTTATGCTTGGCTTATGTTACAAATATTAATGATTGCAGCATTTAATTTTGGCAGCTTAAAGATGGGCGGGTCCTTGTTGGGTTTATCAGGTGACAATTGGATTTGCGTTATGGTTTTGGTTGTAATTTCTGAACACCGTAGGCAGGAAGATACTGTCTTGATCAATGCATTGCAGCATTAAGTGATAAAATAAAGATACACTATCATGTGTAAAACTACAGTGCTTAAGGTTTTTTTGTTTTTTTTTTTAAAGTACCATGGAAATACAATTTGAAATTTGGTGTGGTTAAGTTTTTTATGTTTATTGATCATTTGGTTAAGCTGGGAATCAATCTACTATAGTCACCACATTTCTTTTCCTGATAATTTATATAAAATCAAATTAAAAAAAAATACTTTTAATATAAATGAATAAAAAGTCGATCCCCGTCATATTAAGTAGTTATACATAACAAGGAAACAGTTGCAGAATTTATTAGCCAATAGTCATGTGTTATGTTGATAGGGTTGGATTTTTATGTTAAAGAAAGTTATAAAATGTATTAAATAAGTTCTGATGCCATAAGAAAGGGGAAATAAAGCGATCATTATTGAAAATTAAGTGAAAAAAAAAAGTCTTATTTTCGGAATTCATTCCATATTAAAAAACCAAAAAATAATTGGGTGATTGAATCCAACAACAAAGCTGTTTCTCTTTGGAAAAAAAAAAATATATATATATATATATAAAAATAAGTTTCATAAAAAACCAACGACCAGAAAAAGAGAAATATAAATAGTAAGGCAGGCAAAACTTGTAGGTTTGCTCTTCTTCTTAACAACGAGTCTTCATCACCTTAATAACTTTTATTTCCTTCACTTTTGTGGTAGAACAATTTGCCCTTCTTACAAATCGCCCCTGCGACAACATTTACCAACGTACCTTCAATCTCCAAAACAATAATGTTGTATCAGAAATGAAAGAAAATTAATGTTTCATGAGAGAGAGTGTATTGGAAAATTTTCAATAAATTTGTAATTAAAACTTTTTCCAAAATCAAAATTATATGTTTGTTCTTTAATTTTATTTTTTTAATTGTTCTTTTAACCTATTTGCTTTTACAAATATTATTATTATTATTATTATAGGTATAATAATATAATAAAAGGACAACCAAAAAGAGTTTGGAATGGAACAAAAAAATGATATTAGAAACCAAAACAGACCAAGAAGTAAATAGTTGTAGAAAGTAGAAGAAACCTTCATTCTGGGCCGTCGATCAGCATTGACGTTTCTGACTTGATACCTGATCTTCTTCGAGAAGAGGCCCGTACGTCGCCTTTCTTTGTAGCGAAGGACACTCGCCTCTCTCTCCCAGAATAAATCAGTCTGCGCCCAGCCCCAAAAGTTTATCAATGGAAATACCTCCATCACTGCACTACCATTTGTATCATCAAAGAAATAACATACTAGTACTACTACTATTACATTATTAGTAAGTTGTAACTCTTTCATTTTCATTCACATTCAAAACCTCAAAATAAAACCAACCCAAATAATAATGGCCTTTGAAAAAAGAGTAGGAGTAATTGAAAGCCTTTTTTTTATTTATTTTTTGAACCATTGCCTTGGAGCGGAACTATAATTGTGACAGAAAGTTGCCTTCCAAATTGCAATCATGGAAGTTTTGATTTCCCAACGGGAGATGAGAAACATACATAGACATCATTTCCGGGAACTTCAGACCCTGGAGATTCCTCTGAGAATGGGGAGCCACGGTCTGACCAGGCATTCACCACCTCATCGTAATTCAATTTTAATTGCAACCCAGGACTTGGCTTGGGATTTGGGGGGTTTTCTTTTGGCATTTCCCAACTCTTTGCTTCCATCATAACAATTGCCTTCTTCTTTTTCTTCTTCTTCTCAGCTCTACTGGTTGTTGTTGTAGTGGCCGCCTTAGTTTTAGTTCTTGGTGAGATTTGTAGCACATCTACAGTTGGGAAATTCCACCAACTTCCTTCATCAACATGTCTCAATGCTCGTATTCCTCTCCTTAATCCCAACCCCAACCCGAATTCAAGTTTCCCACCAAATCCGTATCCCATCGGATTCCCATACCATGAACTAATTTGGCTAATTTGGGCAGTCTGACATGTACCATTGGACAATGTCTCCTGGTTGACGCTAAGTTTCCCCATAATGCCATCAATACCTTCCTCAATTTCCTCATCCAGAATCGACTCTGCATCGAAATCTTCTTGGAATTCAGTGCTGAATTCCATTTCCATTGAACCTCCACCTCCTCCATGGGAATTGACTTCTCCACTAGTACTTTGCCAGGACTTGTCACAAAAATTCACGACTTTTGGCTCAATTAGGCAACTGGGTTTTTGTCGGATTGGTTGATTCTGGAGCAAGAAACCAGAGTCGTCAATTATACGGAAAGGCAACAACACTTCAGAAGATTCATGGAAGAAAGAGTCCTGAGCCTTTGTGAATTTAAGCGGTTTTGCAAGGGTTTTACTGGAAAATAGGTTGGGATAGGCAGTGGAAAGGAGGGCTGCAGCTTCATTGTAGGTTTGGTTGGGGCGTTTTCGAGGGGTTCGAGGCTTTCGAGTGGAGATTGCGAGTGGGGAATTGCTGGATTCAGAGAGGGTTGAAGAAGTTGAAGAAGATGTTTGAGAAATCCTGGTTGAAGTAGATGGAGATTTTATTATTTCAAGGTCTAAAGCATAGGCCCTGCCGCCTCCGCTTAAACACGAAGACATCTGTAGATAACAACAAGGGAAAATACCTTCAAAATTCTATGGGAATTCAAGTTCTACAACTCTATCACTCAATTAGAATTCACGTAAAAACATGAAATTCAATACTTAGGAAAGAAAAAACTACAGACACACAAAGCAGAAATTGAGAATTAGCAATTAGATAAGAGCAGCTGAGGTTCAAATTTCAAGTTTATTTATGCCCTTAAATTCAGGGTTGATACAAGGAAATAAACAAACCTAAAATAAAAACCAGGGAAATTTTTGGAATTTCCGTTTGCGGAGGCTATTTGGAGAATTTGAAGGGTTGGGAAGAAAATTCTCAGACCCAATTGCAAGAAAAAGCTCAAAGTTTTCGCTTTTTTTTTTATGGTTCCTTAATTGGAAAACAAATGGTGCTCTCCAAAAAAGGGCAAAACCCTAAAACCCCTTGGTAGTAAAAGAGTAAAAGTTCCTGGATTATGACAAAAAAAAAAGAAAAAAGAAAAAAGAAGAAAAGCCAAAACTTTTGAGAATGAAGAAGTAAATAAGAACACCCTAGAATATTGAACCCCCAATTAAAAAATATCTACAGATGAAAATGAAAGGGAATATAATATACCAAACCATTTTTTTTTCCAAAACAGGAATCCAGTTCCAAAGAGTATTTAAAAACCCAGCCAAACCCCACACATCACAAACTAAACAAATTACAAAACCCTACAAAGACCCAGATATGCATACTGCCTAGCTTTTGACCAAAAGGAATGAAAATGGAAATTTTTGAGCTGATGAAATAAAAGAGAAACAAATGAAAAGATTAAAAAGGAAAAAGGGTTTTATTATATAAGCACAAGGGAAGGAAAGAGATAAAAAGGGGAAGAAAGATCCGTTGGGGGCATAAATGAAAGGAGCTCTGCCTTGCTCTGTTTTTAGGGTTTGGCGTGGGACCCACGTTATACACTGACGAGACAGACAACAGAGGAAAAGACAATGCTAGTTTTGCCTTGGGACCATCTTTTTTTTACCTGCCTTAGCCCTTGGCGGTTCAATAATATTAGAAAAAAGCCTGCGGCATTTCTGTAATTCCATGCGTGAATGTAAGGCATTTGAGTAACCCCAAGCATCTAGTCCCAATGATAGACAATGTGGGGTTGATTAATCCATGGGTATGCCACACAAACCTCCTGCGAATTTCTTTGGAGATTTACGGGAAGGGCTTCTTATCCGCTGAGATGGCATCCTCCCATTGGCTTCACTAGATTTTAAGGCGGAGGTGGCATGCCTTTATTGGTTGGATGATTTTCACGTGTCTCAATGAAGGGAAGGGAAGGGTTTGGGTGTCTTTTGTTCCTTTTTTATGTGGCAGATGCTACTCAAACGTTGGCTTCCGGTTACAAAAATCAAACCATTTTGGGCGTTTTGCATTTCTGCCCCTAAGGTAATTCTCTTTCCCCACACATCAATCCAATTCCATTTTCTTGCATCCTTATCTGTTTGTGGTTTAGGTAAAATGGAAAGAAAATTAAACTAGTTAATGAAGCAATAGAAACTATAGCTTTGATATTACACTTGAACAATTGAATCAATTGATCAATTGTAAATGCGCTTATTTCTCTACTTAAATAATTGTTTGTAAAATATATTCAAAGTGAAAAGCTGAGTTGTAAATCTTTGGTCAAATAGGTAATTTAAAAGAATGTTTAGGTCCTTAGGATAAATAGTTATAAAATTCATATTTTCAATGAAAAAAACCCGACAAATACAATTAAAAAAAATGAAAATGAGGATGTCAATGTCATCGTATATATAGCTTGCACTTTTTAGTTTTCCAGGGACAAAGGCCTCTTCTTTTTTTTTTTTTTTCTTATAAGATATTTTATTAAATATCTATATATTTTTATTTTCAGACATTTGGCACATACACATATTTTACTTCTTTAATTGCTTCAACAAATATGTAGTTTGGCTTAAGAGCATAACCTGAAATTTTTCTTTATAGATTTATACAAAAATAAAAAATTGTTTTGGTGAAAAGATATTTAAAAATTAATCTTTCATTTTGGAGTGTTTCCTATTTATATAGCTTTTTTGTTCATTTAGATGATTATATAATATAGGTCAAAATAAATTAGGAGGATAAGGTAAATTTTAAAAAGTAGAGGACAATTTATGAAGAATCAAAACAAAAAAAAAAAAAAAAAGGGGGGGGGGGTGAATTTGACAGGGTCATCCTTTTGGACCTTTCGTTCAAGGCCGAAAAGCATCTCCCGAAATTCTATTAATTCGCAATTGACAATACCTTATCTTCACAGAGGAAAGGATGAGTTGGAAATGTCATTTACCTTTGATTTTGGATAAACCACCGCCCTCTGGCAGCCGGGTTTTGGGATTTTAGGACTTGAAAATTTTCAACACGATTCGTCGCTACACACAACCAATAACCCTCCATTTATTGTCGTCAAAGCCCTTTTACATTATCATTCTCATCAACATGATCTTTATCTTTATAATCCAATTACATATATATATATATATATAGAGAGAGAGAGAGAGAGAGAAAATGAAAAGAGAGGAATCTAAATATCCAGCGCTGAAAGGATTCAACTTGCAATGCTTTCCATGGTGGTATTCTACATTTGCGCCACTCAGAAAGTTGAATGTCTTAAAGGAGAAAGTCTTGTATACCAGAAAAGTAAGGAAAAGAAAAGAGAATACAGTCTTCCGTTGATCAAAAACAAACTACAATCCTGCACAGATATGATTCCACTTGGAATGCTTTCCATTGATGTATACTCGTTTGAGCCACTCAGAAAGTCGAACCGTTAAATCCAAAGAATGAGTGCTGGACCAAGAAAAAATGAGTATTAAGATAGTTACTAAAAGCTGATGATTATATTACAAGAAAATTGTACTTCAGAGCACCAAGTGAAGCAGCACTAATAACTCTATCCACCAAAAAGTAAATTCATTTCATGTCTATTAATGATATCAAGATATAAATCCATGTTCGATTTAGATTAAATTGCATTGCTATGTTCCAGTAGCCTCATGGTACATTATGGTTCTTTAAACTAGCAATCATAAGTACAGATTTTCACATGTAGATACACATTTGCACATATATACAACCAGGCAAGTAGACAAATATTTTGCACCTTAAAGTGGTACGTGATCCTATAGGCATATATAGGATTATATCTTGAAGATTTGGAAATAATTCAATATCAGCAAAGACCATATATCTGGATTTTTTGCAAAGGTTCTGATAGTCTACTACATCTTCACATTTTGATACACTAAATAATCAACTTCAAGTGTACAAGATCCCCAGTCTTAAGTTGACTTAGTTTGTTTGTTTGTCCAGAGGACCTTGTTATCCATCCATCCAAGAAAAGTTTAAGATATTATGTCTCCTCCTATGGGTTGTCAATCTTATATGTATGCAAACAGGTCAATCTTATATGTATACGTCACATGTTACACAGTCAAACAGGTCAATCACCATGCTAACCTTTACACACGTATCAAACTGTTAACAGCGCAAGGAGAAATATGATGCCTAATTCCAAGTCCTAAATATAAGAACACCCCAGTAAAAGATCAACATAAATAATGCTATAAAGTAAGCTAGATTCTTTGTTCAGTCATAAAGAATTCTTTGGCAACAAAATCACATTTAAAGACAATTGAAATGATTACTTTTAACTGAACAACGATCCAAAGGGCATCTCATTAAACACAAAAATGGAGAAATACTACTCTACGTTTTTACTTAAGGACTATGGTCAAAATCATAACCAGCTTAGAAGGAAAGACAATAAACTGCTAATAGTCACTCCAAATGACTAAAAGAGAAGCTAAAAATATCATATTGGTAGAAATTTACAGCTTGTTGGCCTCATTCTCATCAGTACAGTATACATATTATTTTCCTCCCTAAAACTGCTTGGCAGAGAGTAGAATCAAGCCAAACCATAGTTGAAGCCTCATCAAAAGCCAAGGAGCATTGTTGTAAGCTTCCATAGGATATTTTATAAGGGAGATATACAACAATAGATTTGTTTTTGCCTCCATAAAACATGTTTTAAATCCAACAGAAACACCAACATTTAATCAAACTAAAAATCCCATTTTCTTTACAAAGAAAAAAATCTCCTAATTACAAGGTTCATTTAAATATGAAACCCAATCTGGGAAAAACAGTGTCCAGCTTTTCTCTTTAAACTGCCCAAGGCCTTGATATCATTTAAAAAATTTAGAAATTTAAACTAAAATGGTCAAAAAACAGCATCCTCCATCCTCTTAATGATTTTCTCTAGAAGAGCAAAACAATCCATCAATACTCTGGAATGAAAAGAGTAAAAGTAGAGTAAAAAAACCTGAACATCATAGAATTTGATGTAGAAGCGAGAGCTATCAATTGAGAGCTTGGTTTGAAGAATATCAGCAATAGTTGAACTCAATTTGCCATTAACAGAAGGACCAAGGCCCCCAATGGAAATCAATTCTCCATAAGCAGCAGGGGCTTCGGTCCCAGCAAATGCCATTGGAACCCCGCCATTAACCAAAATCATCACGTACTGTTAACCCATTTTTATACAAGAAAAACGCTACTTAAATAAAGCCATTAGAAAAGACAAAAAAAAAAAAAGAGAGAGAGAGAGAAAAAGTAATAAAGAACTAACAGATTCAGGTTTGCCGATGATTTTGGCAACAGCTTTGGTTGCGTCCTTGAGGATGTCAGAGGTTGTAACTGCGTCCACCGGTACGTTTGTGTATAAATTCAAGGTAGGCATCCTTCTTCTTCTTCTTCTTATTCTTCCTCTGGTTTTTTAGAGAATGTTAGCGGTTGAAACAAAGCTTCTGGAATGGGTGATTTTAAAGAGAATATCTCCTTCACCCCTTATCTGCCCTTTTTCTTTTTCTTTTAAAAAAAAAAAAAAAAAAAAACCAAACAAAAATTGTCAATTTATTCCCTTGTTAATATGAGATTTCTAGAAATATTGACATGGATTAAGGTAACATTTGTAAAAAAAAAAAAAAAAAGAACAGTAATTAGTATAGAATAGATCTATCCAAGGGTTCGTCTAATCGCCAAACTTAAATGCTCGTTTTACATTTTAAAAAGGATTTAAGAAAAATATTAAGCACATAAACAAATTTGAAAAAAATATGAGATTCTTTAAAAAGTAGACCAAACTTTAGCTCCAACATTCAAAGCTCATACTTTATATAATATTTATATATTATATCATGTGTAAACATTAAAAAAAATATTAAATTATTCATGTTTTAAAATTTAATAAAAGAAAAAGATAAAGATACTAAAAGTTAAATAAAAAATATCATGATCCTGATTCTATATAATTAAATTTAATAGAATTTTAATTGCCTTTAGTTGCCTTATTAACGTCTATGTAATGGAGGGAATACTGAAAGAAAATTTGTTAGCATTACTATTAAGTTTTTAGCTAATTAATATAACAACGACTATATAATCATGACTCAGGGGCGTATTAAAGTAATATTTTTTAAATCCTTTATATATGCCATTGATATGCATTACCTTTTGATTTCATATGATTTACCTTCCTCCATTAATTTTTTTTTTCTGTTACACTTGTTTTATGTAATTCATTGCATCTTTTCCTTTATATCCATCCTATTCTTATTCCTATAAAATTAAATGGAGAAAGCATGGATGTGAACTTCTTACTTTACAAATATTAAGTTCTAACACTTGACACTACCAAACAAAGAAAATAAAAGATTAAAAAAAAAAAGAAAAAAGAAAGGTTATCTTCTGTTTCAGAACCCAGAACCCAGAGCCCAGAGCCACCCATACAAGTTCATCCCGATAAATGAGACTCCAAAGTTTATAAGATAATTCTCTTAAAGCCTAAAAGAAGAGTAGCCACCTAAACTAAAAGATCCCCCATAGGGTTGCCCTGAAACTGAAGATATGCGGCTGTCAAACTCAGAAAACGAGGACCTATAACTCCTGTCTCTGTAGCTGGTGCTTGTAACTGGATCATTGTGATTGCTCATAAATTCCTGTATTAAGCAACAAAATTAATCAGCATCAACATCTAAATGCAATGCGCATGCTGAAGTAATTCTTTATAGAGATCATCCCCATTAAATAGAAATCAAAGCAATCATAGTTCCATTATTTTTATATAACCAAAGAGGACAGTAATATATATTAAGAGCGAAACTTGAACCACCATTCGGTAATGATTACATTAACATGTCCTCTACCCCATGCAGCACTAAACAAATTATCAACTTCTCAACCATTAATAGAATACAATTTTGTTTTGTCTAAATTAACAAAATCAGTCATCTGGGAAAGCCTCCTACCTGAATCAGTTGTTGAGCCATCTGAACCTGTGATGAGGTGCCTTTAATTTCCACGGTGATTTCATCTGATAGACCTCTGCTCTCTTGCACGGTTACGACAGCTCCACTAGAGCGACGAATTTGTGCAATATTAGCCCCTCCGATCCCAATTATGTCCTCAGCATAAGAAAATGGTATTTGCATTGTTTGAGCAATCTGATTCCAGAAATCCAACAAGTGAAATGATGAGACATAAACCAAAAATAAGTGTTTTATTAGGATTTATTATAAATCATAGATTTATTTGACATTTTGAGTTTATGTTAAGGTTTTAAGGCTCGTTCTAATAAATACTTCAATGGGTCATTTTTCAACCAGCTTTGGATTATGAATTATTGATAATTTGGAACATTGAATTTGAGATTTCCATCTCCTTGATTCTCTTTGTTTCTCACCCCTCTTATTTAATCTATTTCTATTCAGGCCACAAATTTTTTATCTTATCTCCATTTCTCCCCTTTCCCTTCCCTGTTTGACATCAAAATCTCTAATTTCACCCTGGCCCCTAAGGATTAAAAAAGGCATGCACTAAAACAAACCTGTGTGACAATAGGAACAATAGATCGAACAAGTCCTGAAGTAGAATGTTTTGTCGACGGTGCAGGATCATGCCCATAAAATGAAATTCCAGAAGATGGGATCCGTGACTCCAACTGTGTTTCACGTTCAAGGAACAAAGAGTCCCTCACCGGAACAGGAAGATCAATTCCAATGGCACTTTGAGAAGCAGTAAGCAGTGATGACTTTTCAGCTCGTGTCTCTGCTTGAAGATCTTGAGTGACTATTGCATTATGCTGCAAACCATGATAGCACCGCTTAGCATGAAATGGTGCCAGTGCATATAACTACAGTTTGATAAAATTGAACTTACAGTCTTTTCAAAAAGAGGAAGAACACTGTGATCAACCAAAAATTTCCTCAGGTGCCCCACCACTGCTTCTAGAGCTTTAAGAACCTTCAGGGCTTCCCCCTGCAACTGCACAATCCTCTCATCTGCTGCCACATAAGATGGCACTTCATCTGCTATAACAACAAAACCATGTGCATTGTAAATTTTAAAGAATCTGACCTATGATTTATAGGGCACTTCTTGAACTCAAAATAAGATACAAGTACAATTTATATTACTATGATGGTCTAACTCTATTTACTTTTATTACTACAAAGAATCATAACAAAGATGAAGAGTTAAATTTTAAATTCAAGGGATTGCTTTCCAACTTAAATAATAATAATAGGTTAAAGGTCAAATTACTCAAATGTAGCTCAAAAAACAAAATTTATTGTTAAAAGCTCAAATTGGTACACTAGGAGCTCATATTTTAGACCAAGACAAAGGACTATTGTGTTCAGTCCACCAACAAAAGCCCTATAGTTTATTAAAGAAAATAATCAAGGCTCAAACCGAACTTCATTTAATTATAAACCAATAACATAAATAAATAAATATCTAAATAGTCTATTACACGTAACACATGGCTGTTTTAACTCCCCCATTTTCCTTCTAACTTTGATCCTTTTCTTTTTACCCTTCTTTTGACCATCTTTAACATAACCATGACTCTAAGACAGACAAACCCACAAAGTAGGCCATCGTAGTCTAGTCATCAACCCCTTCAATTGCAGAGATGTTCATGTTCTTTCAGGTGTCAAAGTCAAACGCATACTCCAAAACCAAAGCAGGATAGTGTCAGGTAGATGCAGTATGCTAGGGAAATGGAAAGTTCCAAAAACATGATAATTTTGTATTTCAAGTGCCACACATCATTGAATCAATGTTATCTGTTACTCCTAGGTGAAGAGTTACTTTTAAATTTCAATGCACCAGGAAATGTTCCTCACTTCCACCTCCTGCTTCAGTTGTCTATTCCTGAATGTGGTTAGCTCACAACGAAGCTTATGCAACCTTGGATATTTATTCAACCTTAGACTAACTCTAACAATTTGCAATGTCTTGGACATCTGCATAAAGTGAACATCGACTCAATTCCCTTTGAGCTCGAGTCCTTTAACCAATATTTTTTTTTAATTTTTGGGTCAGGTTGTGTGAATGATTCATTTCCACATGCAAATACCTCTCTTTAAATAACTGCAGATCAAACCTTTCAGGTTTTTTTTCCTAGCCTAAGAGGCCTAACATGCTAAAAGAAGAAACAACACTAAGATAGATCCTGACAGAACCAAATATAAATATCTTCTCAACTCCTAAACGGTTTCCTTTCTCCCATCTTCAGAAAATACAATAAGAAATATCATTCCAATATTTTCCTTTTCCTGAATCCTCTTAGCAGCCAATAGAATTTTTATCTTTAAGCAGAATACAGTGAAATTCAGGCATCCAACACCTTTTATGATAGGGCCATAGGAATGAAGCTAAAGGCAAGAAGCCTATATGTCTTTGTCATTACCTGGTTTTTTGCTGCAAAAGAAGCTTGCCTTGTATATGCGGTAATTGTAAGATTTATGAACATATGAATCAGCATGGTGACATTTCAGTTTTTTATTTTTTTTTCTATTTTCCAAGTGATAAAATGCTTCTATTTGTACTCCAGAACCAGACAATCACATAAATTTGACTTAAAATAGTAGCCAAATTCAGATGAACTGTATCAAAGGATCAAATGATTAAAGCAGGCAACAACACCAACCCTTTATGGATTTTGGGCATTGCACCCTAAGACAGCCACATGTTGATTCCTCAATGTGACAAAGTTCAGTGTCAAATCAGCCATTTAGAGTATACCTAACATCATACAGGTTGGTATCAATATCTTATCTAAGTGTCAGAAAGACAAACTTTCAGCTATGCAGATCCACAAATCTTCGTGCACCATCAAGGTAGAGCCTCAATTTGACAGGGATGGCAGTAGGCACCAAGAAAAGTTTATTTTCATTATTCACATGGTAAAAGTTGTCAAGGCAAGAGACATCATTTCAGTATTAAGCACAATATTCCAAAATGATTTGTTGAAGAAGAAGACGCGTAATTGGAAAAAGAGCCACCTTAAGTTCTCTAAATCTTTATTAATATTCAGAAAAGGACACATTAGGTTGATTTGGACAATAAGCCCTTCCAACAAAGCCCTCCAGCAAAAACAAACACATACACAAAGCACATGGTTGCCCCAGACAAAGAAAAATGAAGTATGCACGTACATGGACATAGGTGTGCACATGAAATAATGAATAAAGAAGCATGGAATTTCAATCTTTTATACATGTAATGCACTGAGTAATGTGCAATTTAGCCGGGACTTTATTGATTTAGGGTTCATTTCATGCCTAGGATAGGATAACTTCTTTTTTAATGCCATATTTATTAGTGAATAGAAGGATAGAGCAGTTAGCTGGATTAATTATCTTATATGAATAGGATTAAACAACCCTATGGAAAGCTAAGAGGATTGTATAATCCCACATGAGCAGTGTTACACAAAATAAGATATAAGCATTGGAGTTACAATAAAGACAATTCATTGATCAATTATGTCTTATTCTATCCTAGTCCCTACTCAAAGTCCTCTCCACCAAATGAAACCTAAATGCATAGATGAGCAAAAGGGAACCCAAAGAATTCTTATGAAGTGAAAAAATATTTTCAAATGTCCAAAACATACCTCCTGACAACACCCTCACAGATGCACCTGTGCTCTCTTGTAATGACTTAATTAAGGAGCCTTGCTTTCCAATCAAATTGATTGCTTGTGTAGATGCTACCAACAACCGGATTGAACAAAATGCAGCTCCAGCTGCTTTAGCATCCCCATCGTTGTCAGGCAATCCAGAGACACGTTTGAAAACTCTTATAGCAGCATCCATTGCAGGGGAAAGTGGTGCCTCTGGTTCTTCCTTTCCAGATATTAGAACCTACAAGAAAATCCAATTATTTCAAGGAACTGCCCAAAGGGTATCGAGAAAAGAGGATATTTAACGCCAATATCTTATTAGCTCAGTTGTTACTTCTTACTACTTGCTTTGTGCTTGCAGAAGGGCACAAAGCAAAAAATAAAAAGAGTGTTTTGAAACAATGAAAAAACAAAAAATTTAACTTTTTTGAATCACAAAATGCATGGTTTGCTTCCATACGGATTAATTAGGTTTGAATTTATGTAATATTTGACCTCTCTACTCATTTTATCAAGCATATATCAACTAAAGAGAGCGAAACCCAGATTTTTGGAATTTTAGTTCCAAAGAAAAAAAAGAGAGTTACAATGCGATCAGGAGTGCCAACAGCACCATCAAGGATGCGGATGCGGGCGCGGGTTTCCTCGCACATCTTCTTGATGAGTTCTCCTTTGCGGCCAATTATGCTGCCCACTTTCAAAACTGGCACAATCAGCCGAAACACGCAGTGACCTGGCCATCCGGGCCACTTCTCTACTGCTGGATTAATGGTGGTTGCTTCTGAAGGGTTTTGGGCTGATGAGTCGGCTATTGTGGCCATGGTGGTTGTTGGCTGGGTTTTTTCCGAACCCTTCTCCGTAGCGTCTGCGACTTCCATGGGAGGATTTCCTGCAAGAGCTGTTGGGCGCATGGAAAGGTTTCGATATCGACTTGATAGAAAAATCGCAAAGAAAATGAAACATACTTCCTAGTTAATGGATTGTGCTATCCGTACAGAACCACTCTGGGCTGAGCCTGGATCTAAGGTTTTTATGTTAAGTCCATGACCATGTTCTGTGGGTTTTTTTAATTGAGACGTCTGTGGCCGGCCCGAGTTAGACCCGGCCATATCATTACATGTAAGCAGTGAAAGAAACGACGAATACCCAATGATGCCACTTTCAGACAAAGCTTCGTTATTACAGCACATAAATGATTAAATATAAACTAACTACATCAACAATAATAATCACAATATTCATCCAGACAAACTACTAGGGAACATTCCAGAGAAATTGAACCAAGAACTAGCATCCATATACAACTCAGGGCCCTGTGCTATCAATGACAAGGGAATCCACTGCAGTTTGTGTACATGCAGCACAGACGTCAGAATTAAGATTTCTACAAGAAAAGTGATCTGTATTCATCTGCTTCTTTAGACATCTCTTCAGGGCTTCTGTCCTTCCTTTCTTTATCTAAATCAAGCTTTTCCGTTAGTTCCTTCTCTTTCACATTTATCTACACCATGAACAATAGACAGAAAAAACAAGAGTTATTCAAGGTTAGCTGATAAAAGCAAAGCCAATAGGAATATCTATCTTACTGCATCATAGATGTCATCATTCCTCTCAAAGTCACCATCCGTCCTTGGAAGGATATGAATGTGAACATGGGGTACTGTCCGCCCAGACTGTGGCCCATCCTAAAGAGAAAATGAATACGTATGTTACAGACTTTAGTCTATAACGATCCACAACAAATGCTATTAACCACACAACAGCATTACAATACAGTGAGAACAGCTAAGAACTCCCACAAGTATCACACAATCAATTTCTCCCATTCAATTTTAAGAAATCATAAATTTTCATTCTCAAATGATCACTTAAATACGCTAATTGCTTGTTATTGCATGAGAAACAATAACTAAAAGTTGAAATGGGTAACAGGAGGTACTCAGCAAAGGCATCCAGAGAATTAAAAACCACAAATACCAAACTTAATGATATGATGTAAATTTTACAATTTTAGAAAATATTAAAACCAAGCCACAAGATAAAGTACTCTATTAAAGGCGTCTCAAGGAAAGAGGCATCAATATGCAAGTGGTGCAAACAAAAACACGATGGAAAAGGCCAAGAAATGAAAAACAGAAGGTGAGCAAACAGGAACAGAAGATAAATAAAACCATTAACAAAGAGGTCGAGATCTCTATCACTCTGCTAAAGCCAGACAAGCGGCGCCAATAAAATTTAAAATGTGCCAACACATGATTTGAGAACAACAGCATGATTAGCAAAAGTCAATTACTATGGAACCACTGATAAAAAAAAAAAAGAACCTTTATATATTTAAATAAAAGTAATAGAGCAATTCCCTTTCTATTCTTACTTGGATGGTAAAAGTGAGCGATGATGCTTTATGGTAGCCGTCAATCCCACCACCTACCCTCTGTGCTGTTAGCCATAAATCACATGTCTCATCAACAGTGAGATCAACAAAGCGCTTAACTTCACGCTTTGGGCGGACAAGCACATGTACACAATGTTACGAAAACCTAATTCAAGCATGAATTCTTCAAAATGAAGATTTTCATGATTTCCAAACAAATTGGATCAAAAATCATACCCGCTTATATAAAACAAATGTAACATAAGTTTCGCTTGCATTTTAGCATGTAATGACTTGGATACATACATACATTCATGTGTGTGTTTATATCATTCCCATATGAACAGTTTAATACGCAGTAGCCAGAAAGTTATCGTATAGGAGAATGATATTACGACATTGTTGCTTATCATTACCAACGACCAAAGCGGATTAGACAAACCCATCATTAGAATTAAAAAAAAAATCCTACAAGTGCTGACTCTCTAAGGAAAAGCATGTTCAATAGCAAAAAATTACAATGATACATACAAAGATTGTCCTGCGGATTAAATAGTTTGTAACTTTGTATGAATGCGTAATATCGGAATGACAAATCTCATCCCGTTTTCAAAGAATTCCAATACACGTACAAAAAGAAATATTCTAACATCGAGATCTTGAGTTCGATCGTATGGAAGTTGGTGTTTAGCTCAAAATCATATACAACCAAAAAAAAAAAAAAGATTGAATTTAAATTTCCAAATAAAAAAGGATATGACCTGCAAAAGGAATAAAAGGGAAAATTAGAAGAGATAAAGAAATAAAAACAGGAAACATGTTTAGTTAAAAGGAAAGAGGATTGAGATGGTGATGAGGAACGTCGTAGGGTGGTAACTGAAATGAAAGGAAACTATGGTAGTTGGTGCTTGCTCATTAGAAGCAGTAGTAATAATTAATTACCAGGAACAACAGGACGGAGGTTGACGAAGGCATAGGAAAGTGGGGTGGAGTAGAAGACATTCTTGGGGTCTATCGTATATGGGCCGAACCTATAGTACTCCATTGACATCTGCTGCAACATATTGGTTATAATACCAATGTTCAGTTTCGAGTTCATACAATACAATTAACTAAAATATTGTCATGTCATTTTGTTAATCACTTGCCTTAGCAATGGTGGCGGCGGGGTGGACGATGAGATTGTTTGGAACCCTCTCCTGATAAAGCAACAGCCAACCACCCAGAGCAGAGCAGAGGACACAGCAGCTGCAACTTTGTCATTCATTGACTTGCCCCTCTTTTCTTTCATCAAATCCTTCATCGCAGGTGCGACTTGGGACTTCCGAGTCTTAATTCGAATTTTTAAAACACTAGCTTTGGCACGGCGGCCGGCACGGCACGGCACGTTATAAATAAATTAATATGTAAAATAATTAAGAATATTTAAAATATAAATATAAATTTTGTTTTAATGTATATAAAGAAATAATTATTAAACTTTTTAACATAATAAAAGAATTCATTATGAAAATTATTCAAACTTAATATTGCCTTACATTTTAATACAAATTCATTATCTTAAAAATCATAATGAAATATTTACATATATGAAATAATATTTTTTCAAAAAAAATTCTGACATACCCTATATTTTAAGTGAATAATCACAGTTTTAGTAAAAAATTTAGTTGACGGATGATCATATGATTATATATTATTTAATTACTTTTTTTTAATTTTACATTTAATTCATTATTTTTATTACATATTAAATTTCTTATGACATGTTAATTGAATATATATATATTTTATATATGTCATAAAATATTAATATTTAAATATAATTGTAGAAAAAAATATAAATTTAAAGTGTAAACACGTATTTAAATAAGTAAAATAATCCATATATTGCATAGTTACAAACTAGTTAATAGTGAATACAAAAGATTTAATTTTTTTAATTTATTTTAATTTTAGTAATTTATAAATTTTAAATATAAAAATTTGACCTTTTTTGCATTTAATTTTTAAAAATATAAATAAATTTAGAAATTATCTTGCAGTGATCAGAAGAGATTATCTATATAAACATACATGTAAATATATTATATATTTTCGAAGCAAAATAATGCATGATAATGAAAAATTTTGATGAACAAAGAGCCTAAGACTAAGAGGTCACCCCCGGCTTTACTTTTAATTATTATGGTTTAATTAGTAGTGGTAAATTTTATTAATTGGTTATTATTGTTCCTACATGTGTTCTTTAATATGATTATTTTTTATAAAATTTATATTTAATATATTATTAATATATGTATTTCATACTCGATCAATTAATTGAATACTCACTTTATCAATAAAAAAATTTAAAATTTTGAAAACTCTTAAAAATAAATATTTGTATATTTTAATTATTTAGATTATATTAGTAATAATTAAAATTAAAACTTAAAAATAATATAATTTATTGTAAGCAAAGAAATTTATCACGTGAGCACGTGAGAGTGAGTGCAACGTTCATTGTGTTGCGTTGCTTTGCAATTAAAGACGGAGCCGTGGTTCCCGGTATATTTCCGTGACAAAAACTGCAGACGTTATGAATCTACGAGTCAATTTTGGGCCACACTGCCAAAGCCTTTCAGAGTGGCACGATAGTAAATAGATGTAAAATAGTGGCTTTTATTGAATCCAACAGATAATAAAGTAACAATCCGCTGTAATCATGGTAAGTTTCGCATATTCAACCAATAAACAATAACCAGCCGTACCGCTCAATTAAGGTAGTTTTGTTGACCAGGTCCAATAACCTAGACTTTACCAATAGACGTTCATTAGATTATAAGTACTCTTCCCTTACCTTCCCTTATAAATACATTCAAAGCTTTTTTTTTAATTTTTTTGTTATTATTATTTTTAAACCGTGGGAGTGGCTCGGTTCTTCTTTTTCTTCCTTCGCAAGCTATTGAAGCAAACACAAGTGAGGTGGTGTTTTTCAGTTTTCAAAGGTATAAATAAACAGAAACATCCTCTGTTAATTCTAACAGCAAAACAAAAAAAAAAAAAAAGATGACGGAGGAAGTGAAGTTGAGCGTGGTAGTGAGCCTGTTCACGTGGATCCAGAAGAGCAGAACATCGGCGAAGAAGCGGTCTAAGTTTCGCAAATTCCTTGACACCTTTTGCAAGCCTTCCGACTACTTCAGCGCCATGAGGCTTATCCTTCCCTCCCTCGACAGAGAGCGTGGCACTTACGGCCTCAAGGAGTCGGTGCTCGCCGTCTGCCTCATTGACGCTCTTGGCATGTCCAGGGACTCCTCCGATGCTCTCCGTCTTATCAATTGGCGCAAGGGTGGTGCCAACACCGGCGCCAGTGCTGGAAACTTCGCTCTTGTCGCCGCCGAGATTCTGCAGCGTAGGCAAGGAACGGCTTCCGGCGGACTCACCATCAAGGAATTGAATGACTTGCTTGATCACTTAGCTTCGGCTGAAAGCAGGCAATTCAATTTTGATGAATTAACCTAATAATAATTCAATTATTATGTCTACCCTTTGCTTGTTGTTTTTACTTTTTCAAAACCTACTCGGAAAAATTAATACTAAAATTAGCGAATGCTTTCTTTGACGTCAGGGCCGAGAAGACTGCAATCCTTTCTACTTTGATTAATAAGACAAATGCACAGGAAATGAAGTGGATTATCATGATAATTCTAAAAGGTACTATCTCTAAGCATCTCAACTAATGGAATTTTTTGTCTACTGTGAAAGTTTCGATCCTTGGCTTACTTTTCTTGCAGATCTCAAGTTGGGAATTAGCGAGAAGAGCATATTTCATGAATTTCACCCTGATGCCGAAGACTTGTTTAATGTCACATGTGACCTAAAATTGGTTTGTGAAAAGTTAAGGGACCGTATTCAACGTCATAAGCGTCAGGTGTGTTATACATGTTGAAGCTACTCTCTGAATCTCTTTGAACTTATACTTCCAATGTGGTAAATTTTATCGAAAGTTAGAAACTGCTTCTGTTGGGTTAAGTCTATAATTTCCATTCTTCATCTATGATATGTCTATCAATAAATGCATCTTAAATTTTTGTTGGCCTGTGTTGTTGTAAAGCTATTATATCAATTGAGGGACTTTCTGTTCAAGTTAGCTTTGTAAGAGTTTCAAAATTAAAATAAATTATATTAAGATATGGCATTAGCTGATCTTTGTTTAGGTAGCTCTTATCTTATTAGTTGGGACTAAAGACAGTGAACATCTAATTCTTTATACAGAGATTACTATGCACAACTTGCTTTTATTCTTTTCCTTTTCTTTCTAATGATTTCATCTATAATTCATTGAAATTTTGCGTTTGGAAGTTTTGAAACTGTAATTGCAGGGCAATCTAGATTTAAATAGGTTACTCCCTGAGATCTCTTTCTCTCTCCCTTCCTTTTGGAAACATCCTCCTGCTTGCTCCACCTTCTATCATTCAATGAGAACATTCAATTTTCAGAAAGGTTAAAGCCCAAAAATACCTTTAAGTTTTCTGAAAACTGCAGTTAAGCCCTGAAACATTAGTTATGTTTTAGTTAAACTCTTAACTTCTATTTAGATGAATCAATGCCCATTTGTAGTTCTATAAAGAAATCTTCCATTAGCATTCATTTCAGTTACTTAGCAAATGTTTAATATTTGTGCATTGCTGAAAGAAATACTGAGAAAGCTTTTTGTTATCTATTTATTTAGTTCTTCAACTTTCTTGCTTTTTTATTTTGTCTTTCCTTCTCACTTTTCTTCTTTTCTTTACTTTCTTCATCTTCCCTCCTATATACTCTTTCTCACCAACTTTGCTCTCACCAGGTTGAAATAGCCAGAAACCCTTTGGTTCTAGCTTGATTTAATGAGTTCCATAGCTCATAAAACAATATTCGTTTGCTGTTGTTGTGACTTTTCATTCACTTTTCTTTGTTAATTTTTTTCTTTTACTTAATCACAATAAATGCTACTAATTTTTAAACCAAGACTTGTGCACCTCATGATAGTGGATTTGGCCCCAACTCATGGTGAGAAAGAGGGTTTTTTTTTTTTTTTTGGTCCTTGTCGGCGGGCCAGAAGGCATGGCATGGCTTGGGGTACTAGTGAAGAAAGGATTGTGGCTGGTGACGAAAAAGGAGAGTGGTGCTGGAGAAGGAAGATGGAGAGAGGAGCACAGGGTTGAGAGATGAGTATGTTGCCTCATTAGGTTCTGTTATTGCCCTTTTGTTTTCCAATTCATTTATTATTCCCTAATCACTCTTCTGTCTTTTTTCCTTGAGTTTGGAATTAATTGTTTCTATTGGATGGTACCATTTTGTTTTATTTATTTCAATTAGTCAGAGGCAACATCTCATTAAATTTAAATTGTGGTAACAGTTGTCTTGCAAAATTTATCAAAGGTTAAGGGTTTTTTTTAAATAGAATTATATAAGGGTTCGAAGCAGCCAAACAGCTTAAATCCTCAATTCAGATCACTTTAAAGGGTCTCTCTCTCTCTGTCTCTCTGTTTTTTTTTTTTTTTTAAAGAATGAGAAAACACATAGGAGCAAGGCAAAGTGGCTCCTCCATGTTCAGTAGGAGCTTTTTTCAGACCACATTCATGTCAAACGTTGGCCTTTCTATGTGTAGGGTTTTTTATTTTTACAAATTTTAACGTACACTTTCCTCCTTGATACATCCTATGAGAATAGATGTACCATCAGTATACCTATAAGTATGTATTTAAGAAGGAAGTATCTTTTCAAAGTTATAATCAGGGTATATTGTTGCGGGGTGTTAAATATTAATAGTATGTATTCTTTTAAGTGATGTTACTCTTTTTGCAGGACATTGAGGTTGGAAAGGCAGTACGTCCACAACTAGCTAGGAGAGTCTATGATCCAGCTTCTGCATGGAAAAAGGTTTGCTTTAGCATATTTGCTTCAAGAAGTTATAGCTGATCTTTGTCCCAAATATTCAGGAATGGAGTAATAGCATCCATTTCCATTATGATTTTATTCATAATGACATCATAACACAAGCTTATTTAAGGATTGTTGTTACTGTTAATAGTTTCTATATGATTCTATTCATTAATTCTTATCTTACTTTTCCTTGTATTTTTTATATACTTTCTTAGTGAATCATCTTTAATTCTCAACCCTTTCATAGCTTCATGGTAAGGAGGTAGTTGTTGAGTGTAAATTTGATGGTGATCGCATCCAAATCCACAAAAATAGAATGGAGATACATTACTACTCCAGGTGGGTATATACTTTTACTTGGTGAAACCATCTTTATTTTTTTCCTATCTCCTTTTAATATCTACAACTTCAAGGTTTGTGTAACTGAAGCATAGAATAGCTTTATTGGTAGCCAAACCTTCCCTCAACAGTGAAGATCTCACATTCAAATCTTTTGTTCCTTAAACTATCAAAACTGGAACAAAAAGGGTGGGTGAAATGAAAATGGTTGTTCATATGGCATTTCCCTCCAAAAAAATGGTTTTCTGTTTTTTATGTTTTATGTGATGCTAATCACAAGCATTTAGTAAATGGTATATATTTTGTTTGGCTCTATCTTAACAGGAATTTTCTTGATCACCCTGAATATGAGCATGGGATGTCAAATATTATTGCACAAAATATTTTGGTTGATAGGTAAGAATTTTCTAGTTTTAATATGGTCAAACTTGTATTATTTCTGAAGAATTTTAGTCTTTTCACTTGTTTTCTGTTTGTCTTTCAACAAACTCCTTTATCGGCTTCCCCTCTTTGCACTTCTGGGGCTATAGATTTTAGCATACATGAAAATTTAATTTTCATTATTTCTTCCATCTAAAGAATAGACCAACTATTATTTGAGTTATCTATGCTAGTACATAAAGGTGAAGTAACCATTTGATCAATCCGCAGTCAACAAATATATTTTCAAGAAAAAATGATAACCTAGTATAACCTTGTGCAGTGGTACTCAAATGATAAAACAAAGTTGTTGAAGTCATTCATCTCACCTACTACAAGACATTAGGTCATAAGTGTTCTAGGGTTTTTCGTTTCTCTAAAGCTCCATAATCCACTTTATATCCCATTATATGAAGTTTTAACTTTGCTGGAAAAAAGAAGAACATAGGAAACCTTTGAGACTACAGATGATTGCGCATTTGTAAGACAAAGAAACAAAACGTGATTGTCAAATGAACAGCTAGAGTAACAATTTTTATAGAGCTGGTAGAGTCTATGGTAGATGTGAAGGATGCCTAGGATTGGCAGCCCAAACCCCTAGTTAAGAGTTGTTTCATTGTCATCAAGATCAAGTTTCAAGCTAGGTTTATTTTGGAGTAGATCACTTTGGAATTTGGAAGATGATGAGAGGTCTTGGAATTTTCTGCGATTATTTCTATATTGAAGGATTGATTAAGGTTGTCTGCTGTTATCAATGGTACAGCCAAGTCACTATCCAGAAAGGTACAAGAGTGAGATGAGATCCTATAAATAGCTTCCTAAAGTCTTCTTAGACTGAAATATAACTGTGCTTTATGAGGATATCTTATTGAAAGAAAAAGGCAAATAGACATGGCTAGTTGACTTTTCTGATAATTACTGTAGTTTTACATGTAACCAGGTAGCATGATTCCCAATCTATAATAACAGTCAAGTCTAACAAAAAAGTAAGTCCTAAAACAGAAAGGAACTACAATTTCACTCTTCAAAAATCAATGTAAATATAGAGCCTCTTGAGCAGTAAAATGGATTCTATCTGAAGATAACTCAAGTTTCAGGATATTGGTTTGTTTATTTTGTTTCAAAAAATGGGATATGACATGGCCTTTACTCACTTTTGAATACCTCTCTCTGAATGAGATGGCCACAGTTGATAGTTTGACAGCTTATTTACATGCCATTATGGAATTGTATTAGAAGTAGCTGTATTACCAAAGCTAATAGTTTCCTCATTGCAAATGTTCTTATTCTTTGCATGCTTGTAAGGCTTTGTAGCAGCACTAAAAGTTTGTTGCTGCAACTTGGTATGATCAATGTCTGTCTCCAATAAGAAAGTTTTTTCCTCCCCACCTCCCATTTTTGGAAAAAAGATATAAAGTTTGGGATCCTTCTGCTACTGTAAATCATACTAAACTTTCTCCTTAGTTTCATCTTTCTTACTCTAGATGCCCCCATAAACTTTTTGAAAAACCTTTTTATTAATTTTCTGTTAGTTTTAATCTTTTAAGAAACTTGGAGCTCATGGGATATATTAGGGAATTTACAGTTTCTTATTTCTTTGTAGGATGTAATGTTTTGAAAGTGTAAGGACATCACTATAATAGTATAACCTTTTCATTCTGTTATCCTTCATTCTCATATAAGGTTCATGCTTGGTTATCTTTTCAAGTTACTTGAGTCTTGTGGTCCCTTAAGTTTCTACCTTTTAAAATTTTCTGTATTGCTACTTGATTTTTCCTTGTACTGTTGTATTGGTGTGTACTTGATGGATATTTGACCTTGGATATCTAAAGCAGGACAGAGCTAAAAATTTATTTCAAAGGGGGCATATGGCATTACTTGAAAATAGTGTAAAAAGAGAGGGAAAAGTTCATCTGGACTATGTATAATTTGTTTTTAACTATAGTACTTTTCTAGGCATTTATCTGTTATTGATACCTTTTCAATGGTAAGATTTAGTTGCATCAACAAATCCTTAAGAGAACCATTTCTGTTCACAAAACTGTGATAGTGCTTTTTTTTTTTTTGGTACAAAGAATCTAAGAAGGGTTCAATTCACATACTACTGAAGGCTTCCTTTCAATGTTGCACATACAAAGTTTTCGAATATGTATGGGGAATGTGGTCTAGATGACAAATGGCTCCTTTCGGATGTGCCTTTATTCGATGCTACTTAATTTTTTCCTTTTAATGTTGTGTAGGTGTATACTTGATGGAGAAATGTTAGTTTGGGATTCCACTTTAAATCGGTTTGCCGATTTCGGATCAAATCAGGAAATAGGTTCTTATAAATTTTTATTCTTATTCCTACATTTCTTTCATTTTCTGCTCGGTTTGCTACCTGCATATCTTGCATAATTTATCATTAATTAATGCCTTCATATTATTATTATTATTATTATTTTGTTTACAGCCAAGGCAGCAAAAGATGGCCTTGATAGTGAAAGACAGGTTTTATACTGTACAGAACTTGTTTTTCTTATCACTAATACTATCATGGAGAATATTTTCTTGAAGTTTGATGTATATGTTATTTTTCCTTTTTCTTTTTTCTCTCTATTGCAGTTATGCTGTATCCTTTCATGCCTAACTTGAAGCAAGTTGCTGATCTTGCTTTCAAACTTGTTGATAATGTTATACGGGCCTAAAATAAATTTATCCACTTCGTGGATTTGGACATGCGAGTTTTTTAAGTAACCTTGACTATAGGCTAGATGTTGCATTTGATATTCTTTATGTTGGAGATACTAGTGTCATTCACCAAAGCTTGAAGGAACGTCATGAACTTCTTCAAAAAGTTGTAAAGCCTTTGAAGGGTCATTTAGAGATTTTAGTGCCTAATGGTGGTCTTAATGCACATCGTCCTCCTGGTAAAGAATACTAATATTTCAATTGCCCTTCTGGTATTTCAAATATTTTGTTGTTTAGTTGGCACTGATTATTTATCCTAACATGACATTTTCTTAAGAATATAATTGAAGATCTGGTCCAAGCTCAATTGATGATTTTGTCCCCTTTATATAATTAGAAGGGATGGTACTTTGTCATGTTTAAGTCCAGCACCACTGTTGTTAATTAACATGAAAAACTGTTGTGTGTGGAAAGGAGGGTGGGGAGGGCAGGGAGGCTTGTGTTATGGCATTGTTCTGGCTGCTGTCTTTCAGCTAAAGAAGTCTTAACTGCATTAGATGATGCTATGTATACAAGTGTATGCCAGGTAACATCATGTTCTTTAAAGCCATTAATGCAGATTCATTTTGGAGAAATTTCTTCCAGCTTGCAGCTACTGCTTGTTAGTAAAACAACCTTTTGGTTCAAATGCAGAATCTAGTAGTGGTGTGCTCTCTGCAAACTAAAAGGGGGGGGGGGGGGGGAGAGAGAAGGGGATTTGCATTGCCATGTTGTGGAAATTTGAGGGAGGGTAGAGATTTGTGTTGCCAATTCTCTAGTCATGTAGTTAACAAATGTAAATGCAAATGCAATTGGAATTGGAATTTGATGATTAATGGTTCACTTGGTCCTGTTATGACATCTTCGGAAGAATCTTTGAATCTTCATTTTCAAACTGTTGCAATCTTAATCTGATGCTTGTTAAGTGTCTTAACGTATTGCAACTATGGGCCTTTATTACTTAGCATTCTCAAAATACTGGCAGGGAATAATGTACAACTTTAGGGGTTTTCCTATGATTACCTGAAGTATAAATATACATTCGGTTCTGTGAATTTGTGAAGTGTGAGCAATATTTTCTACTTATGTGAAGAGAAGCAGTGATTTCTATGCTGATCATGCAGGGGAACCTTGTTGGTCATGTGTCACATACAGTGTGGATGATGTTGAGAGATTTTTCAAGGAAACTATTGAAAATAGGTTTGTCTTTTTCAAAAGCTTCTTTTGTATATTAGGTTGCATAACTTTTTCTTAGTATACGCAATATGTATTAATTTAAATTCTTCTTTTGTTTTGTCATTTATGGGTTCAACTAAACTGTTATCTCATTACTTGCCTTGCGTTCTTGCAGAAATCACAGGTCAATGGTAGGTTTCAGTTTTTGAATTGAATCCATGAATCTGGGTTTGGTTCAATGTGATAATATAACTATAACAAACAATTTATGTTGATATAATAGCTTCCTTGATTGTTTAATTTCCCTTGCCAATATTGATGCTCATTTTGGAAGGTCTAGGCTTATAATGACTTTAAATAAATAGTAGCTCATTTTTCAGATAACTATGGATATGCATTTGGTTTATTCTTTGCTCTTATTACACTGTTTTCCCTTCCATCCATATTATTATATTTCAATTATGATTTGTTGTACCGTTTCTTACCATCTTAGGGATGAAGGAATCATACTTAAAGACCTTGGTTCCAAGTGGGAACCAAGTGATAGAAGTGGAAAGTGGTTGAAGTTGAAGCCTGATTACATTCATGCTGGTTCTGACTTAGATGTTCTCATCATTGGTCTGGAATATTTGTCTTTATATTTTTTTTTCTTTTCTTGCCATCTAATGCATGTTTTTCAAGGTTACAATTAGCAATTTCTTGTATGCATTTCATGGTTATTATTTTTGGTTTTAGGAGGATATTATGGTTCTGGACGTCGAGGAGGAGAGGTTAATTTTTTTGTCCCTTTTCCTTATTTGTTTTTTTTTTCTTTCCTATACATATTTATATTTTATTTTTGCAGGTAGCTCAATTCTTAGTAGGCTTAGCAGATCGTCCAGACCCAAATGCTTATCCCAGGCGGTAGTATTTAGCAGCTTCCTCATCTCTAAGCTCCAGTTGTTCAACTGTGGTTGCATTAGTGAAATATTTCTTTAACTATTTCGTACATGGTCATAGAAGTCTGAAGGATTGTATATTGTTATTTTTTACTTTTATATATTATAGTTGGTCGCTGGGCTGTACAACAAGTAGCTCTGCTATCAATATCAGCCCATGCCCCTTCTGAAGGTTTGAACCTGAAACCTTGAAATCTTGAGTTCTGAACATTTTAGTGTTCCCCTAGGAGACTACAGATTGTCATTGTTTATTCCTGTCATGAGCTCCCTCTCTTAGCTTCTTTGATCCTTTATAGCAAAAGAAGTGGGCCTCAAATGCACAGAGGGCCGGTATTTATCCCTTTATCACTTCAAGTTTCAGCTGAATCAACCTGACACTTAAAACTTGAGACTTCAACTAGGAGGTTTTAAGTTTGAACCTTTGGTGGAGGTTTTGGGATGAAAGAGCTACCACCCTTTGTAGAGCTTAAGCCCAAGGGTCTTTCGCATTTACACAAAAAAAGAAAAAAAATATACTAGGATGTTATCTTTATATACAATCTTACTAGTAATTATCATAATGACATCTTAGTTAACTTATTTAGTATAGTTATTCTTAATTGTATGAATTTTTAATATGAATTACAGATTAGAATTTATAAAACTAAAATTTAGGATATATAACTAAATGTTATATAAAATAATGCTAAAAAATAAAATAATTTTATTATAATTTTTGTAATTGAAAGAAAGTTGGTATGTGCTCCTAATCAAATTGACTGCCATTATCTTGGGTAACACTAGACTTGGCTAAACTGAAATAAATCTGCTCCTCAGCTATATCTGTTGCGTCAACAGTGACACTTAAATCCTTGTTTTCTATATTATAGGTGTTTTACCATCCAATAATATGGAACTGAATCATCACAAGTGAGTTTTTTCACAAGGTATGATCTGTCAACTACCTAATCATTGGTCCTTTTCTTGCAGATTTCTATCCTTTTGCAGAGTTGGTACTGGGCTGACTGATGATGACTTGGAAACTGTAGTAAAGAAATTGAAGCCTTATTTTAGGTACTTTCGTGGTAACTAGTTATTAGGAGAAGCTGGTTGCTTCCAGGTTTCTAAGAGTCACATTGAATAGCCATGGAAGTGGCCGAAATAGCTTTTGCAGTGAGCATAACTTCCAGTCTCTGGCCTTACGACCTTAGGAATTAAAATCAGCCTTGTTAATAATTTTTCGCTACTTAAAATGGATTTTTTTAAGGCTTGGTGTGACCTTGAGCATCATGTATCCTTTTGATTAAATTTAAGATTACATACATTAATGCATGCACATAAAAATAGATGACATTGTACTTGAACCTGACTATCAGAGATGAATTACTTACTTGTACCACAATTTGGAAAATGACATCCTTAACTGGGAATTACTTAGGTTAGGTGGTTCCTCTTTTTCTTATTCAGGGAGACTTTTTATACGATTTACTTAGCCACTATGTTGTGTCAGGAAATATGAATACTTGAAGAAGACACAACCAAGTTTTTATCAAGTCACAAATAACTCAAAAGAGAGACCTGATGTTTGGATTGAAAGCCCAGAGAAGTTAGCATTTCTTTGTTGTGATCTTATGATCTGAAAGTTTGTAGTTTTTAGTAGCACTGTTTTCTCTAATTTTTTGTCTTTATGTTCAATATCTTGTTGCAGATCAATCATTCTTTCTATCACCAGTGATATCAGGACTATAAGGTCTGAGGTGTGTATTTATAGCCATTATTACATAATTTATATTTTGGTCAAGCAAAAGTAACAGTGCCACCCTAATAGTTGGACTTCTCCTGTCCACTTGTGTTATTTAATTGTTGACACCTGCTTTCTTGACTTGTGCCTATTTATGTTTTGTTTGATTTTTTCAGGTATTTGCTGCACCATACGGCCTCAGATTTCCACGCATTGACAGAGTGAGATATGATAAGCCTTGGCATGAGTGCCTTGATGTGCAATGTAAGGGATTATAAAATATTGTCGAAATAATTAATGAATTTCTACTTTTGGGGCTACTTATGTGTCCTTTTCATTCAATTGTTTTTGTTTCAGCATTTGTAGAACTTGTGCATTCAAGTAATGGTACCACTCAGAAAGGGACAGAACAGGGAAACCAGAAAGATGGTAAAACAAAGCGCAAGGAACACACTAGAAAGGCAGACAAAAAGAGTGTCCATATTGTTCCTTCTCATTTTATTCGGACCGACACATCCAGTGTGAAGGGAGAAACCTTAATATTTTCAAATCTTATGTTTTGTATCCTTCAATGATTTGCTTAACAATTTAATTTCTCTTCTATATTCTCTGTGTGTGTCTCTCCCTTCCTCCCTCCCTCATTGTATGCATTAGTGGAAGTATTACTACAATTTCTCTCCTTCCCCAATTCCTCAATTTTCAAGATTCTGCTGCAGAATCTACCTTTAGTTTTATTTTTCAACTTGCCTTGACATGTATAGACTTTGTTAATGTGCCTCCAACATATTCTCTTGATTCATTTCACAAAATGATTGTGGAGCATGGGGGAATGTTCTCGATGAATTTGAACAACTCAGTTACCCATTGTGTTGCAGCTGAAAGCAAAGGTTTCTCTCTCTTCTCTCTCCCTCTGTCCCTCTCACTCATGCACACAACCACACCCCCGTCCCCTCCCATGCACAAGCGTATCCACATGTGTGCTGACACACACACAAGTGGCATGCATTGATGCTTCTCTGCACCAGCAATTGTCTTGGCTGAATAATTGAGTTAACAAGAAAATCTGTTAGGGATCAAGTATCAGGCAGCAAAGTTTCATGGAGAAATTATCCATTACTCTTGGGTCTTGGATTGTTGCTCACAAAAGAAGCTCATTCCTTTGCAGCCAAAGTAAGGCTTACATTCATCCAATTAGCAGCCACCCTTTCTCCCTCTTCTCTTCTGCTTTCCTCATTTTAGCTGACTAATCCTTTTACCACATGTTTTCTCTTAAAGGTACTTTCTTTTTCTTTCTGAATCATCAAAGAAGAAATTACAGCAAGAAGTTGATCAATATTCTGACCCATACTATTGGGACCTTGACCTTGCAGATATCAAACAGGTAAACTTATATTCCAGTACTTCATGCCCATTTAAATCTATTTGGATATTGCTGCATTAACTACCATTATGCATGACAACCATAGAAAAACAAGAAATTAAGAAATGCATTCTTAATGATAATCACTATGTTGCTTCCAAATATTTGTTGGTTGAACTGGTATATTTGATGGAGTAAACTTATGACAACCATTCCTTTTTTCTTGTCCAGCTCTTAAACAATATCCAAAGGTCAGAGAACTCCAACACAATTGACTATTATAGAAAGAAGTACTGTCCAAAGGATAGATGGTCTCTGTTTCATAGCTGCTCTTTTTACTTCTACTGTTCAGCTCATTCTTTGTAAGATATACAGCCTGTTATGACTCGACATTTGTCTTGGTTATCAGTCTTTATTCTGTGAATCTCTTATAGTAGGTGTCTTAGAGTTTGCTACCTAGTTGGTTGTCTATGTTCTTTCTGATAGCCTGTAGCTAACCAATTTATCTAGGAAAGCTGATTGGCAAATCTTGTTGAGACTTGCACTGAAGAGGTTAAAGCTTGAAGTTTTAATGGGTGGTGGCAAAATAAGTGAGAATCTCAACCATGCAACCCATTTGGTAGTCCTATCAGCACCAGCATTGGATGTGAACTTTGATTCTCTTATTAATAGGTAATTTATGGCCAATACGATTTTATATTTGATGATTAATGTCATTTGTTGCCTGATAGTGAGTGGTTTGACTAGTCTATGGATCTTGGTTACCCTATATGTTCTACCTCTGTCAGAGAAGATAAGACATTGCAACTGAAGTATGAAATTGAAGAGCAATTTTTTTGTTTGATTTGTGTCCTTTTTGGGTGATATTAGCAGCTGTACTTTGTATCATTATTTGGGATTATCTCATTGAAAAATGAGTTCATGATAAATGACATTCAGGGTACTCATTCCACATTGTGATTGAGGATCAATTATTTTAGACCAAAATTTAGAAAATAGTCTTTGTTATTCGGGCTTCTTTATTGGACTCCATTTTATTTGTTTATACAGGCTTCTTTTTAGGTTTATGAAGCTCAGAAAAATAGGTTTTTGTGAAACATTTGAGGCAAGGTAATTTTTTATAATTGAGATATTTTTGAGATTTGTGATTTGAATATTAAAACTTGAATTTTGGGATTTGACAATTGAAATTTCATATTATTTCTTGACTGTTTATTTTGAGATTAGTCGTTCTGCATCACTTTGTTATTTCAAAAGGTCTTTACTGATTATGCTATTCAGAAGTTATTGTTCATTTATTGAGATTGGACTTTTAGTTTGTCAGGTTTGGTTGCTACTTTGTTACTTTGATTTTTGATGTCTGTCTGTCTATGGTTCTCACCACGAGTCTGATACTTGGATTGCTTAGGATAAAAAAACGGCTTCTTGATCTTGTTATTTTCAAATCAGTTGAGATATACCATTTTGGCTTATGACAGCCATTATTTGGCTATTCTCTTTGTAGTAGTCTCTTTAGTTTGCCCAAACCCTAGACCTTGTCCTTAAAGGATAGGTGGTTCCTTCTTTGCTCTTTGGAAACTTCAACAATACCCAATTCATATATTTCTCTGTTTCCGGTGACTTTTCTAGCAAAATCATTTCTCCTATCTCTGTTGCGTCACTTTCCTGTTCTACCTGTAATCTTTCTCTTTACCTTTATTTTCTTACAGATTTGCATCTTAAGCATGTGTATTTTGATGGTGCTATTCTCTTGATTTTCTGTTGGAGAGTATGACCTTTTTTTTGGCTTGCTTAAGGATTTGAATGTGGAGATAAGGGTCACAGATGCAATGGGAGAGGATGGTTGTCGGATATTTGGTTTTGGAAGAACTACCAGCCAAACAAACAATTACCATTCTATATTTTGCAAATGCTGTAGTTTCAATTGGCTTTATGTTAAAATTCTATGGTGCTCCGTCCAAACAAGACTGGGATTTTTAACTTTGTTCTTTCAGTAGTTTCTCTTTTGCAGAGAAAAATCTTATGTGGAAGAAGGGGTTTCATGTTGTGGGATCTCAGTGGTTGGAGAATTGCTTAGAGCAGGGGCAGAAGTTGCAAGAAGACCAATATAGCTTGAAACCCATTGAAGTTGAAGAAACAAACTTCTTGGAAAGGTTGGTGCAAATACACTTTAAGTTCTGCTGTCGTGCGTGCTATGCTACTGCCTTGTGATATGTTAACTTCTCCTTGATATGAATGTTGAAAATTTACCAAATTTAACTAGTTGATGATATCTGTACAACTCTGACAAGATGAGAATTTGTTTGTGGAGATGGGTTAAGCTAGCCTCTCAGCAATACGGAAATAAACACTAGCAATCTTTGCATCCATCTTTAATATACAAAGCCTCTGTTCGAACTAGTCTCTTGTGACTTGGTATCTTTAATATACAAAGCCTTTGTTTGAACTAGTCTCATGACTTGGTAGAATCCAATTTAGTTATAGTTCACATTAAAGCCATATAGTATAGTGAGGCTATTTTACTTGGAAAACGAGGATATATTTGCTTTCACTCTCTACACTACAAATCTAGCCTCACTCCACAAGGTAGCCTCACATTTCTCTGAACTGGTCATTAAAACCGGGCATACAAGGTAGTTCACATGCTGTATAAGTTTACTTGGAACTTTTGAATGAACAAGGAACTGCTTTGTAAGAAATCTTCATAAGAGACCTTGTGAACATTTGCATCACATGCATGTTGTGCTTTACTAGTCCTCCCATGTGGATGTCCTAACTAATAATTACTTTATGTTATCCTTTTGTGCAGCAAACTACTCCAAAATCTGAAAGAAGCTGTGCCAGATTTCAACAGTGTTCAGAACCAGGTTACAACCGCATCTCCTGAAAGTAAAATAAAACAGAGAGGCGGCAAAGATCACCTAGAAAAATCAATTTCATTGGTCCCACCTAATCATGGCAACAGGAAGAGAAGACGACCTGCTAGCAATAACACAAAGGAAGGAAAGACAGTTGTAAGCCAAGCTCAAAGAGTACCAAGGCGTCGTGGAAAGATGTCTGTTAAGATTAATGAAGACATATCAGAGGAAAGTGGTTCTGATGACAAAACAAATGAGGAAGAAATAGAGAAAGGTAAAGGGAAAATGGAACGCTATGGAATGGTTGGTAGGGAAAATTATGAATTTCACCAAAATCAAGTAGTGGAAGATATAGAATTGTCTGAACTAGAGGCTGCAGAAAATGCGAGCAAAACATGGTGTAATAAAGCTTCTGATGTTGTGATGTGTGAAACAAAAAATGACCAAGGCTGCAAGAAGGCTGAGAAGTTCGACCTTATGGAGCAGGATGAAGGGGATTGTGGCCATGACAGTGCAAAGTCAGAAAAGCTAGAAGTTATGGTTGATCCGGTTCAGGCCATGTTACTGGACATGATTCCAAGCCTCGGAATAAAGCATGTTGAAACTACAAATTCAGTTGTTGAGAATGAGAAAACAGGTGCAGATAACAAAGCAGAGATTCCTGTTGCAGATAACAGTGAACAGCCAGTAAAGAAAAAGAAAGTAAGTTACAAGGATGTTGCCGGGGAACTACTCAAGGATTGGTAAAAACGTTGTATTTTGCATCGCTTTGTACATTTTTTGTCTTATGGGTCTCGTTGTATAGAACGTAAATCATGGGATGACAACAGTTTGTGTGTTATTCCAACCCTGTATCTTTAATGTGGTGTACTTGTTCATTGTGCGTGTGATTTTATCTCTTGGATTCATTCGTAAAAATAATAATAATAATAAATGACACCAAAAGTAATGCGCAGCTCGTAGAAATATCATAGAGCAAATCATTGACACAATTTCCCAGATACAAACAAACAAAGATGCAGAGGATTAACACTTTTATGTTTCATAGGGATCAATATTACATAATCACCATCCATACTTGGCTTGTGTTTCAGCTTTAGTGAGCAAGCCTCTAGAACGCCTCTCCTGCAGCTCCATCTCCTTTTGCTTCATATCATAGAATAGGGAACCAATTTGATGCTTCCTCTTGTGAAGTTTTGATGGTTTACCCTTTGTCGAAGCAGGCTACATACAAAGTGAACATAAAGTAAATACCCCAAAAATTAACACACATTGATTTAGCAACAATAATCATGCATAACCAGCTCCATTTGGCCGCCATTTTTACAGTTTTCTTTAAAAATAATAATAATAATAACATAATCATATCAAAGATGTATAGTCTTGCAAATCAAATGGACAAAATTGAAGTAACAGGCTCATCTATTATGTTCCAGTGATTCTGTAACTATAAGGACTTGAGATCCACCAAATGGACAAAACAGTCTAAAACTAAGAACTAAAATCTGCAATTACCACACTACCTATGATACTTGAAGACAACAGAAAATAAAATATAACCAACTTCCCTCCTAGAGAAAAATAAAATAAGACTTAATAACATATTTCTCAAAATGCTGCATTCCCTGAAGCTAGATCCAATCTGCAGATCCTAGATTAAGCTCCTCTTTATCCTGAATCAAGTAGGTACTTGCCCAAATTTGGTACCCTAATTGATGGCTGAAAGAGAAGATACAGGCATAAATGAAGAAATGGAAAAGAGATTAGGGGAAAAAAAAATGAGGAACTCAACCAAAAGAAAAGCGCAGATGGAAGAATCTGCAAAGGCAAAATGGTCAATGCATGAAATAATGGCAAATAAAAAGTGCGGGGACAAGAGGGAGCATTTGTTAACTTGAGAAAGTCTAACAATGGTTTTGAGATTTGAAAAATGGCAGCCACTTGCATTGCTAATCTTTCTACTTGCAACAAGCTATTAATCTGATGTTGTCTTAGCCCAGACAACCTTTTTCTTTCCTGAGAAGGAACCTTGTTGATTAGTAAACTATTTGCTGGAAATAAGCCACCCCAAATCTAAAAATCCTTCACCACTAGAGCTAAAGCCAAAGAGACTAACAACTAGCAAGTAATAAATCAGGATCTAATGAGTTCGTGGACCATTTCTATTCAGCAAAATAATAAGTGTATAAAAGTAACACAAAAGCAAGAGCAAAGTATGGAATGCGACATATATTAGACCAAAACAGAAGTCGAAAATGTACAATAGCCGGTAACAATTCAAGAAAAAGCAAAGAAATTGCAACACAAACATATATAAAAGTAAAAAAACAAACTGAAGAATTAGATTAACTTTTAAGTTCAATCAATACCTGGTAAGAAGGCCCAAAAGCTATTCCAGTCATCTTGACCTGGTCTTCCCTCGGCCGATTCTTCATAAGCTCATCCTGTTTCACCTCAACAATTTCTGTTGGTAACTCATTCCTCCCTCTCTTTCCTTTTAATTTCACCCCAATTTCAGCCATCCCGGTCGTCTCTGGCAACACAGTGGCCACTGACCCATCAGCCCAATTATTCTCATATTGTCCATGGTAACTCCCATGACTCTCATAACTCCCATAAGTAGTAGCAACATCAATGCTCCCAACATTTGGATCACTACTCGATTGATAGCTATTATAATTTGCATAATTTGCATAATTGCCTAGATTTTGATCAGAACCAAAATCGTAGTTTCCATAGTTGCCAGAATTTTGATCAATACTCGACTGATAATTGACATAATCATTATAATTCATAGAGTTTTCGGCATTTGCATCGGTACCCAATTCGTAATTCGAATAATTTGGCGGATTATGATTAATACTTGCCTCATTTTTGTCTTCAAAAGTGGCTGAAATCGATGTGGGCATTTGGGTTTCGACAATGGATCTTCTTCCTGAACCAGAAGAGGGAGCTACACCCAACGTAGTCGAGTTCCTGGGCGCAGGAATGCTCGATAGAAAGGATTTAACAGAAGGACCTTGGGACAGGTTTTCGGAGTCTCTGCGACTTCGTCTTTCTTTCTCTTCGTCATCGAAATCATCGTCATCGTCGTCAACGAGGCTGTTGGGGTTTACAGGAGGCTTGAATTGAACAATTCTTTTGACAATGGGAGGATCGGGTTGTTGTCGTTGTGGGGTTTGGGATTTGGGTTGGGGAAGAGAAGAGAAAATATTGGATGGGTTTTTGGGATGAGGAATAAAGGGTTTCGGAATTTCGACATCTACTTTTCCAACGTCGTCTTCTCTTCTGTTAGTATCGACGACGGGGATGTTGGGGGTTTTGAAAGGTTGTTTGGGCTGAGTAAGAGAAGAGAAAAGGGAAGAAGATTTGGGTTGAGGGAGAGAGGAAACATGAAAAGGTGGACGACGTTGTGGGTGTTGTTGCTCTTCTTCGTCGTCGGAGGAAGCATAGTTGGCTAGCAAAGAGTCCATTGCAGAGGCGGATGCAAACAGGATAGCAGAGATTAGGGCACCGACTCCACCTTTAGAAATACTGCCCAAAAAAAAGCCCACCCAGCTAAAGATATGCCATGAGCCTGTTTGGCTTCGGGCATGGCCTTACCACCACACTTACAAATTTTAAAATCAAGTCCGGCCTAACTCACTCATTACACTCTTTTTAGCAGCTTCAAGTTGGGCACCTGACTCTTAACAAATTTCTAAAAATATTTACCAGATCTTTTTTAAAGCAATTTAATTAACCTTAAAAAAAAAACGTGTTTCCAAATTGCTGGAAAATTTATCGATTTAAAAAGAAAAGGCATAAACTGGACTTTGATTGCACAAGTGCCAGAGTGGCAGTGAAACAGACTGACAATTGACATATTATGTTACAAGAAAAGCCTTTTACAGACGGATTCCCTTTTTTTTTTGGGATTTTCGAAAGCGAAAATTGTTATTATTCTATTGAAATTTCAAACAGGGAACTTTGGAGCAGACACTTATTATACATTTCAACCACGAAGATTTTTTCAAGAGAAACCAAAAGCTAAAAGAAAATAACAAAAGGCGGCCATAGTGAAAGGGAACAAGAGGCGTCCATGAGGGAAATTGACAGAAATTTGATTCACTTGGATATGGTTTCATTACATGCTCATAGGACTTTGAGGATCATTAAGAGCTGCAATGGCTGTCTCAATCTGCACCTTTAACTCATCTTTCTCCTTTTCATCAGCCTGCATTTATGTCCAGTAGAAGAGCAATTAAAACTGAGTTAGCAGTAGCCAGGAACATTGGCTTTCAACCCTTCTTAAAGACATTCCAGTAACAAATTAAAGCATATATCAAAATCACAACAAAATACACTTCCTAGCAGTTTGATTTTGATCTTCGTCTTTTTCTCAATCTAGTGTCATTAACAAACCCAACATGAGAAGTAGCTCAAGTCCCAAATTGGATTTGATTTTGTTGTCCAAATCATTCTAAAAAACATTCATCATATCTTTCTCAAAAATAAATAAAATAAATTTATAGACAAACAAAGCAAGCAATCCACATCCCAAGGTAAAGTAGGAAAACCAAAAATGGTGGAATCCATTCTTTTATGATACAGAAACATAGCCTCCATCATTATTTTAGGAATATTATAATAAAATAATATTTTATTTGCTGTCAACTTGATGCAAAATTTAACAATTTCTTTTAGAAAAAAAGGCCAATAAATTTACCCAAAAAATCTGAATTGTTTCCTTTTAAAACCCAAACCTAATCTAACTAACACTTTAAAGTGTCAACAGCTCCATCTACGTCTGATGATGTGACAATAACATTATAGATAAACTGAAGAAAAATTCAAATTGAGAATGAGGCGTTCAAAAGGAAAAAAAAAAACATGTGCTTTAGTCGAAAAAGAAAACTCAAAAAAGGAGAAAAAAGTTGGATATTTAGAAGATGCAATTATGCACGTTGCAAAAACATGTTATTATTATTCATGTTAAAAAAAAAAATGGTGTGAGAATGACATATTAAAAAACATGCTAAATTTTATGTGTTTCGCACTAGATAATTGAAATGAGATGACAACACGTGAGGTTTCTATTTCTAAGCTTTTGGAGTTTTCTTTGATAATTTCCTGATATTTTACAGCCAAAAAAGAAATATTGGAAACCTGGTTTTGCCAGTCGGCTAAACGTGCAAGTGATCGTACAGAAAACACAGGGGTGTTTGGGACCCATAGCTCATAGGAACAGGAATGCAACAAAAAAACAAAAACAAAAACAAAAACAAGAACAAAATGTGGGGAAATTGTACATCTTTTTGTATGCTTTTGCTCCCACAGTGACAAATAACAATCACAATTCTCAGTGGTCCATGCCTATTCTCAATCATGGGTCCCCTTCTCACTCAAGTTTAAAAAAAAAAAAAAAACCTTCAATTTTTATACATCATTTGTAAAGTTTTTAAATTGATAAGAGATTGTTTAAAATATGTGTCATCCTAGTAATTTCATGAATAAATTTAAAAAAAAAATCAATGATTGCAGAAATTGGATAATTTTTCAAAAGAAAAAAAAAATGCTAAAGAAGATGGTAGACGTCTAAAGTGGAAGGAAATGGGGTCCTTTGTCCTTACTTTAATTGTGGTGTCCGAGTGGTTTTATTCGGACACTCTGGATTTCACTTGCCCTAATTTGAATTCATCATAATCCCACTTTATTAAAGTTACCCAATCGGTTTCCAATCTTTTAGGCCCCACATTTCTTGCAGTTTTTTTTATTTGATACCCCCACCCCCAACTATGTACGCCAATTTTATTAGCATTACAATTACATAATCCAACGATTAATGCTCTTAATTTTTTTCTAGTTTATTACTACTAATGTAGAGATGTAAATTTTTAATGATAACTGTTTTTTTTTTTCAACAGCCAAGTGAATTTTAGTTGAATTTAAATCTTGATAACCTAAGAAAAATTACTAAAAGTTTTAGATGCAGTGAATCCTCAATAGTTCAAGTGGTAATATGCAAAAAATTAGTAGAAAGTAGATGGGTTTTTTTTCACCCCAAACTCAAAAAAAAAAAAAAAAAAAAAGATCCATAAGATAAATCTTTTCTAAAGGACAATTTAGTTAGTAGATAAATCTTATCGATTGAACACATCTTATTGTTTGTATGTGCAGATTTTAGGGGTATTGTTGGCGCGTATGACACAGTTACAAATAACTCCCATTTGGACCTTTTTATTATGTGTGTGACTTGAAAAGGGAACAAAAATAAAGAGTACATGAAAATTGTATGGAAATTCCTAAAAAGTGTATGATAGTTTGATTGTTAGATTATCCCCCCCCCCCCCCAAAAAAAAAAAAAAAAAACAAACTTATTACCCTATATGATTGAGGAACAGTGAACAATTAGAAAATAGCATAAAAGAAGAAAATTGAGTGGACTTACCTCAATAAACACGGTTTTCAACAGCCTCCCTGAGACAGCAGTGATGTTGGCTGTAATAATTTTCAGCTTCAAAGATTCGAAAACCTCACACAATTTAACCATCGTATCTGTCCTCTTACTGCATGTAATGCTCACCACGATTGTCTTCTCTGCCATGTGCGTCACTTTCAGCTGCAAAAATCAGGACAAAAAAAGTTACCAATTATTCATTTGGAAGACAGAAACTTTGAAAACAACAACTTCTACTACTATATGAATCAGACAGAGGGAATTAGAGGTTTGGTACTTCAAGAACTTCAATAGGGGAAGTTCTTGATCCCCCATAATCAAATATGTTCTCCAGTTTGGTCTTCTTGGATCTTAGCAGCACCGGAAGCTCTTGGTCATACTCGTACCCTGGATTTTTCTTCAGTTTTCCTGACTCCAGTTCCAGTATCTCAGCCTTGATTCTGGTCTCCTGCTCATGCAGTTCCTGGATGTAGTCAATGGCATCCTTGATTATCGAAGCCTTGTCCATCTGAAATAAATTTATCAACAAGATCAAACAAATAATTACCAGCAACCCAAAGAATCCCATTTCTTTATTTCTAAAAATAAAAAAGAAATCATTGTGCTTTTTGTTTATATTTACATATATATATATATATATATATCCATCCATCATCACCTTGCTGATATTGGGAACAACTGCTCTGAGGGCAAAGAGGCGTTCGTTAAGCTTCTTTCTCCTGTTTCTCTCAGAAACGATGTTCTTAGAGGCTGCAGAGGATGCTGCTCCATCAGGAGAACTCGAATCATAATACCCAGAGAACTCATCAATTGCCCAACTGCTTCAATTCAATTCAAACAAATTAATTCCTTTTTTATTAGTAATAATTCAATTCTCTACAGTTTAAGTGCTATACGTGTAGCCAAATTAATGGATAAAAAGAAAACAAAAATTAAACTTGTTGGAAATTATGGTACCTATATTCTTCGTTTTCAAGGAAATATTTCGTCTCCCAATAATTTTTGTACTCATCACCAATATTCTCAATATTCTCCATGGCAAGCATACGTTTGATTTGTAGAGAAAACTATGGCAGAAACAACCACAAAGAGAAATTTTAACTTGCTGAGAGAAAGGAAAGAAGGAAGGAAAGATTCGTTTTCACTCCAGCCTGAACAAGTGAGAATTTATATAGGGGAGAGATTGGAGGGGAAAGAGAAGGAGAGAATGAGCCAAACAGAGAGGGTTAAAAAAATATTTGTTTTTGGGTGGAAAATAAAATCCGGGGGAGGAGACATTTATACCACGTGGGTAGCCATGTTTAACGTTGTTTGCCTTCGTAGAAAGATCAGAGCCGTTCTATCCAATCGGACGTGGTCTACAAGGACGCGTATGTAAACATCACGAATGACAGCGTCTCCTCCACCCCCACTCTCTTTTATGCCGCTTGTACCCCACGCCCCTAATAATTGAAACAATCAGTTTTGGCTTGTCAGTTGTCACTACCATGGAATTATTTTGCTCCAAGTAATTTTCTCAACATCTCTTAACTCATCACCATTCACAATTCCACACGTCAAAAACAAATAAATTCAATTACTTACAAAGCCTTGTAACTTGGCCTATAAAGAAAACATTGTATTGTAATGTTTTAAGCCTTGAGGGTCAAATTGCTTGAATATATCACAATTAATCCAAACCGTACCATATATATTTAATACTTGTGTCACGCGCACCTAATTAATGTTCTATGGTCGTACATTTGTGATATACAACATATATATATATGTTTTGTAAGATTTAATATTTTCTTAGGCTAAAGTTAATAAATAAAAAAAGTAAACCTTTATTTTTCTTTTATATTTTTTAATATATGTATACTCGCATTGTTCTGATTATGACATAAGAAGAGAAAATATTTAGTGTAACATCTTGTTGATTTCAAATATTTTTTAATTGACAAGGGAGATTTCTAGAAAAGCTGCCCTCAACCGCTAACTACTTGATTAAATTATGTGACTGTGCAAATTGGAGGAAGTTGATGAATTCTTTAATTTATGTTGATAGAATTTCTGAGAATTACCCTAACAAATTGTATTAACTTCCATGTTGCAAAAAGGAAATTACTATTAGTTGGTCATGTAAAATTTTCTATATCATATGATAAAAAAAAATTTTTTTTTTACGAGGAATAGAAGAGTTATTAATATCTAAATAGACATTTCAACAGCTTAAACCAATGTTTTAATAACTGAACTGATACCTAAATGGACATTTCAACCAATGTTTTGATAACTGAACTGATCATTGAATCGGTGAGAAATTCCTTATTCGACTGTTCTGCTCGATTGGAACAAAGAATTATAGTTAAAAATATGTTTTGTTAGTAGATAAGCATTAATGAGGTAATTGCATACAAATTTTTTTGATTCAATCATTAAAACATTAATAAAGGTAATAAGAGTCAATACAATCTGCTTTTTTCGGTTTAATTTTACCATGTACATCAGACATTCATTGTGATTTTTATTGTTTAAACTTAAATTTTTACAATTTTGAAAAGCGAGATTTGTCAATGGTCTTTTTTTTTTTTTTGTTTTTATACGGCTCAAATTAACAAAGCCAACAAGACTTCTACATAAAAAAATGAAAAAAAAAAAAAAGTTGAAAGGGCACTATAATTTAGAGGTATTTAAAGATCGAATTATTTGTTTAGATTCGTGGGCACTATAGCTTAATTTTTGATAATTTTTGAATCACATTTAATTGAAATAAAATATATTATTAATATATTTTAAATTAATTTTGAATAAAAATATAATATGAATATTTCACATGTAAAATCGTGCATTTGATGTGCCATATTAAAAAAAGTTATTATTTATTTTTTTATGGAATTTATATCAAATAAATACTTTTCAAATAAAATAATTTATTTCTTAAATTGTTATGAGAGTCATACTTCACGTTATATTTTCGTAGACAATTAATGATTTGTCATTTAAGTTATATTTTCTTGACACTTAACGACTTTGGGTGTTAGAAAAATTCTAATCTCCATCCTAATTCTTTCCCATTGCATTCTCTCTCTATTTTTTTTCTTATTTTATTTCATTTTTTTTAAAATTAACTATATGTCTTTTTATTTGATAAATTTAATTATAAATTTAATATTTAAAAATAGATCTGATAATTTATATTATCGTGTCTTATTTTATACAAAAATCATATTATAATTTATATCGACACGAAAATATAAAATATATATTTTTTATTTTATTATATTTATTTATAAAATTTTTAACTTTTAAATAATATTATCTTTATATTTTTTATTCGTATCGTGTTACCGTATCAAATTTTAAATTATTAAATTTATTTTAAAATTTTTTATTTTAATATAAAATTCATTAAAAAAAATCAAATAGTAACTTTTTAGTGTAACATATCAAATGTACATTTGTATACTTGGCCATAAAAATGTACGTTTTTACATTGAGAATATCCGTATTATACTTTTTTATTCAAAATAAATTTATATATACTAACAAAATATTTAATGAAATATTCAATTTTAAGTAAATGTGTTTAAAAATTCATAAAAAGTAAAAATAAAATGACAAATTTCAATCAAATCAAAGTGATGACAAATTTTAGTATCCATCAATAATATAATAATAAATTTATCTTTTACCGTAATGTGATTAATTTAATTGATTAAAATTTATTTTTATTCATAAAAAAATATTAAATTTAAGTTCTATCGATAATTATTTATTATAATCATTTTAAATATATGACTTGTAATCATTTATTTTAAATTATCATATACAATATATCTTATCATAACTTAAAAATTTGAAAAAATTATCTATCTCAAATTTTTCTTAAAAAAATTAACCTTTTATTTTTTTTACTTACAAAAAAAAAAATACCTAATCTTGCTACGTGCATTAATAAGAACCACATGTTGAATGGCCTTTAGCATATGACTTGAAATGAAAGACGCATTACTTAATTCTTTTTCTCATCTTATTCTCAATCAAATCCAATCGTGTTACTTTAGAGGAAAATACACTCCCACATTCTTTTATTGAAGGATAATGAAGATTTTAATTAATTAATTAATTAATTATTAATTTTATGTTAATTCTGATCTGCCAACCAAACAAATTAATTAAGCATTGCATTTTCACGTAAAAAGCTATAGGACCACTATGATAATTAGCCATTTATGCTTTCAAGTTTTCCAAAGAAAAATATATTAAAATTTTTTTTTTTCCAAAGTAAAAAGAGAGAATCAACTTTCCTTTCCATATAAATCATACTGACACTTGGAACAAGCAAAGCAATAAAATAATACAATAATTAATACTGTATTTTATATATATTTAATAAACTGACGCACCTATCAAATTAATCTATTCATCATGTTTCATAGTCTTATTCTCCAACGGCCCTATCCAAAGCAAGAAGAACATATGTAATTAGACAACGATATTGCTAATTTATTCTTTTGATTTAACAAAATGTTTTACTATCGAACTTTGATCTAGAGTGTATTAATTTGTGAATTTATTTTTTAAATTATAATTCAAAATAAAAAATAATTATAAATATTAAAATTTAAAATTAGTAAAATTTATTTTTTAAAAATAATTAAATGGACTAATAAAATTAAACTTTGAATTTATTAATTCATTGTTTCTCGTTTCAATATTTAACAACAATCAGTACACAAGCCGAAGGGGAAGTTAAAGCATTGGGAGTTACAAAAGTCCTTGATTTGGATGAGAGATAAATCTATCCATCCAATAAAATCAGAGTCTCGTTTCCGAAGGGAAACGAAGACTTGCTTTTTTGTGCGGTACAGGGCAGGAAAAGCAAAGACTTTCTTGTCATTTACGTGATGATGTCATCATCCATTACCTTTTGTAATAACGTAAGAGTGACCGAGTAATTCATTCAGGCAAGAGTTCACCCCAACACAAAAACATGACAAACTTAAGAGTAATTCATTCAGGCAAGATTTCAACCCAACTCGAAAACATAACATCCTTAGATTTAGATTTTCTTTAATTTATGCAAGTATTTATAAAAAATACACTCCTCATCCTTTTTTTTAAAATTTTTTTAATAAGTTAAACTCGTTTTTTAACATTATTTGAGCTTAATTTATTTTTAAAAAAATTATCTTAAGAATATGCATCTCGCAAGATCAAATTTTAATTAAAAATAATTTCTCTCTTTATCAAGTGGCTTAATTTTTGTTATTTTTTGTTAAAGTTATATATTTTTAAGTTACATGATATTCTTATTTTTATATTTTATAATATCATTTTCTTATTTCTTTCAAATGTAATTTTTTTTTTAATAATTTACAAATAATTTTGGACGGAGAGTATGGAAAAACATTAACAATGATAATAAAGGATCTTAGAGGAGGGTAACATGGGATTTGGAATTGACATGTCCGTGCGGCACGACTTTGCGTCCACCCGTCTACACTTGTGGAGGTTGATGCCTCGCCACGCGGAAACGGATCGAAGACAGGACGATGCCCACCGAGTTGACCTGGACGGATCATGGATGTGAAGCTTCAACTATCATTATTTCCTTTTCGTGGTTTGGGATTTTGGTGCTCTTCATTTCTAAGAAACCATCATGAACGTCGCCACGAAATTTACCCTCACCATTGCACTTTGCACATGCTTTCTACTTGCTTATGTTTCTCTTTTTTGTTTTTGTTTTTTAGTTATTTGTATATAGTTTTTATTTAAATTTTATTTTTTATAAAAATAAAAAATAATTACCAAATGGAGCTCAAATAAATGGATCATCTGCACAATAACAAAAATAAATCAATTGAATGAGTGTTTAAGAAGGTATATATTTTATAGATTAATTTTTAAATTAATTGGTATGATATTAAAATTAATATTTAAAAATTATGAATTTTAAAAAATTTATGTAGGTAATAACATTTTTTTTATTGTTCAAATATAAAAGAAAGGAGTTCAATGATTGATTAAAATTTAAAAAATATATGTTTTTTGGGTTTATTTTGAAATTTGAAAAGACATTCAAATTTTAGTTTAACTTGGCAATAATCAATCTCGAATAGACCTTCAAGTTAGTAAAAATTTTATTCAATGTTAACTTTGAATGTTCGTATTATATCATATTTTGATTTAGAAATTAATTGAGCAATTTATTTAGTTGAAATTTTGTCGCAAAACACACGCGCACACACAAAGATGGTTTGCCTTTAATTTATTTTATGGAGTCAAACGCCAAAACTTGGAATTCGGAAACAATAAAAAAGTAGTTTCCTTTTCATTTTCTTGCTGTGTTGGTTTCTTTTGTAAAGATAAAACAGGGGTCGGGGCTTTTAAGCATGGACAGCAATGTTGCAAAGAAAATGAGCGAGAGGGTGCATGGATATGGTACAATAACAGTCAAGCAAAGATTGTCTCACAAAACCTTTTATAATAAAACACGACAGTATGAACATAGAAAATTGTGAAAGGAAGCAAATGGCTGCAGTTTTGACTATAAAAAGAGCAAATTAGACCAAAAAACATGGACGACGACTATGAATGGGCGGTGGTCTTGGTTCCTTCTCACAGCTGCAATATTATTATTGGTTTGCCAAAATGCATGAACATTCTTTGTCAAATATCCAATGTAAACCATGGCTGTTTCTTCCAAACATTGAATTTATTAATGCCTTGTCCTTGTGTACCTATCGGCTACTATGTTTGGGACATGCTTCTTAATGGGACTCCTTTTTCGTTTTTCATATATCCATACATTAATTGAAGAAAAATTAAAATTAAAATTGAAATCATTGAAAACAATAGATTGATGTTTATATCACCAATCATAATATATTTAGTAAGAACATCAATTTACGAAACGTACTAAAAATTTTCAAATTATTTAAAGTTTTCTCTCTTATCGTTTTAAAAGTGCTTATATCAATTTTATTGACTAAGACTTTTTTATTTTTATTTAATTGTTTTAATAGATAATCTAATAAACTTGACTTAAGAAAACTTACTCAAGTCTTTACCCAAATGAGAAATTTTTGTTTTTCGGCTATTTCTTTCACACTATATATGCATCTAAGATGATTTCGGGGAATGAAATAAAAATTGAAATATTTTAAATTTGATATAAAAATTCAAAATTTATATTACTAAAGAATCAACTCATCTTTAATTTTGTTTTTATTTATAGCTACCGAATATCTATAATTAAGTAGTATATATAATATTCAAAATTAAATTTGAATTTGAATACATAGAGTTTTGGATACAATAATGGTCCCTCTTTGACTCTTTTTTTTTAGGTAACTTCCATGGCTGCTAAATCAAGATTCATATTGTGAATGGAAATCTTATTTTTTTCCGATAAGCAAAAAATGATTGCAGATAAGAGTAGGAAGCAGTTGCACATGAGGCAGACATCAATTGAGAGAAGAATTTGAGGCAAAGCACACATCAAAATTAGTAACGCGTTGCATTGACAAAATGATACTGTTCATATGTGTTGGTTGGAGTCGCTTTCATTGACACGAATTCCAGATCATCCAATACAAGCCCGTGACGTTAGGGCCCAGCGGCTGCCTCTGCTTGCACATGAAACTGCAGTCAATATGCGTTATGTTTTTACTTGCATGAGATGCTTGTGCTTCACGTGCTTTTTTTCTTTTTCTTTCTATAATAATTTTAATCTTTTTACTCATCTATTTGCCGTTTTATTGCAGATATTTTATTTTTGTCATATTATTCACGTGGTTGTATGACCATGCATTTCACATACAACATTATTAGTACTTTGCTCCCAAGATAAAATATTGTTATTTTTGCTTGCATATCTCGAAATATGCTATTAAACACATATTACATTTTGTTAACAACAATAATAATGCTAATAATAAATAAATTTAAAATTAACAAAATTAAATATATTAAAAGTAATTATTTATAAATTATGTATTTTATATCATGAATGTATTTAAAACTGTAATTTCACTTTATATAATTATATGAAAACATAATTTTGAAAAAATTATAAAGGTAATTAAACTAAAATAAATTTTTAAAAAATTATATGCAATTGTGTTTGGAATGGGCCACTCACTGGCGTCTCGGCTGTACTGAACCAGGTCCACTCTCCCCGTATCGCCTGGGCTCATATTTTTTCAACTTCAGGCCAGCCCGATCTGCATGGTAGCGAGCCGGGGGGGGGGGGGGGGTGGCGCTGTCCATTTTTTCACCTAAACTGAAGGACGTGGTATTGGTTGGTCCATCTTTGGCATTTGATTCATGACATTTGTCATGAGAACATCATGGAATCTCTAGCTGTGAGATGGAGACACTCTTTTCTCTATCTCGCCTTGATCTATGCCGTTCTCTACTTTCTCCACACCAATTTGGTCCTGGACAGACGCCCTATTCGTCTGAAGAAATGGCCGGATCTTCCTCTCAGGTTCCGCCACGATGGCACTTTCAAGATCCTTCAGGTAGCTGATATGCATTACGGCACCGGACTCCTCACTCGCTGCAGAGACGTCCTGCCCAGTCAGTTCGATCACTGTTCCGATCTCAATACCACCCGATTTCTTAAGACCATGATTCAACTTGAAAAACCTGATTTCATCGCCTTTACGGGTACTTTTACTTTCTTTCTTTTTAGTATGCCTTATTTTTATCGTCTTTTTTATTTAATCTTCACTTTCTGGTGCTTCGGCAAAACCTTTATTAAGAAAAAAATTGGAATTTAATTCAATTTCCCAGACAAGTTAAAGAAGTTTGTATTATAAATAAGCACCCACGGGCTCAATTGAAGTAATCTTTATCTGGGATTTCAATCCATTCGTAAATGGTGCTAAAAGAATTTGTGCACCTTATGATTCCTTATTGCTCATGTGTCAGTCTCTGAGAATCTTCTTTGGATTCTTTAAACCAGGAGACAACATATTTGGTCCAAGCACTGCTGATGCTGCTGAATCTCTACTAAGAGCCTTTGGTCCAGTCATGGAATCTGGACTTCCATGGGCAGCTGTCTTAGGAAACCATGATCAAGAATCTACAATGACTCGTGAAGAACTGATGTATTTCATCTCTCTAATGGATTATTCACTCTCACAAATCAATCCACCTTCGAAAGGTCTCTATAATGTAAATGGGGGCATGATGACAGCTATTGATGGCTTTGGAAATTATAATCTCAGTGTCTATGGTGCTCCAGGTTCCCATTTGGCAAATAGTAGCATCCTTAACCTCTTCTTTCTTGACAGTGGAGACCGGGAGACTGTTCAAGGAATTCGAACTTATGGATGGATTAAGGAATCTCAACTTCATTGGCTTCGCAGTGTTTCACAGGGACTTCAGGTAGCATAAATGTAGCAATGATTATAAAACAAATGAATGATTCTGACATTTAATAAAAATTGTTTGTTCTCGTTTCATATGGTGTCTTTCAAATAATTTGTGGACACTGTTGAGAAACGACCTGGTTATGTTTTCTGAATAACTATAGGTGATCGTTTCTTTCCTTGGCTGAAAGAACAGGAAAAAAGAAAGGGAAGGGCAACCCTTTTTTTTCGATTATAATTAAAATGATAACATTCCTTTAGAATCATACTGAAAATTTTCCAATATCAAATATTTTAAGCCGTTAGAAATGATCAACTTCCTTTAAAATCATAATGAAACATTCCAGTGCCTAATATTTTATCCATTAATGACATTTCCAGAATGCTGTGATATGCATCTGTATGCCATTATTAATTCTGGCCACCATTGCTTATCATTTTCTTACAATTCCCTAGAAGGAGGTTTATTAGATTTCGATTTCAATAACATGCTGCTGGTGACCTACTAACAGGGACAAAATCAGGAGGTCAAATACATAACAGAAACTCTGCCTGTAGCTCTGTCACCAGCACTGGCATTTTTCCATATTCCCGTCCCTGAGGTTCGGCACTTATACTACCAAAAGATTATAGGCCAGTTTCGGGAGGGTGTGGCTTGTTCATCGGTGAACTCAGGGGTCTTAAAGACTTTGGTCTCCATCAAAGATGTAAAGGCTGTATTCATAGGCCATGATCATAATAATGACTTTTGTGGGAATTTGGAGGGAATATGGTTTTGTTACGGTGGAGGCTTTGGGTACCATGGTTATGGAAGGGCTGGTTTTTCAAGGAGAGCGAGAGTCATATTGGCAGAACTTAGGAAGGGCGATAAGGCATGGATGGGGGTGGAGAGGATTAAGACATGGAAGCGTCTTGATGATGAGAATCTGAGCAAGATTGATGAGCAGGTCCTGTGGGAGCTGCAGCCATCTAGATGATTCTCTTTCAAAGTACTGAGATACTACGTAATCTGTATCCAAATGATGCTGTACATCCTGTGTGTTTTTCTTTGTATTTAACTGTTTTGAGAAAATGCTTGGGTTTTTTTCCCTGTAATTTCATAACTGTGAAAGCTGTCTTTTAAAAAAAATTGTTTTTTTCAAAATACTTGTAATGTATTACATTACATGTAACACCAGCGGGGAGTTTGACTTCTAATCCACTTTGCTAAAATCTCAGAATATAGACATTGATTCTGATTGTTAACATATAATTTTTGATTTGTTCCTTTATTTCTTTATTTTAGTGACATTTCTGTAATTATATACTTTAATCTATTTATTCAAGACAGAAGGAATGGAACCATTAGATCTCTTCATTGGAAAATTAGAGATATACCTTATGGTTTGGCTTTAACACCATTAAAAGAGGTGTGACACCAAAAGCCATTGCCATATTCTACAAGCAAAAGTAGCCATTACCATAAATAGAAATTGCTCATGGCTTACTACATGCTCCGCCGGTAAAAACATCTATCTCATCCACGAAAGGCCTATAATTCCACTACAGCTAACACAATAACTTGCAAAATTTTTAGGACCTCATGCCGTATTGCTGCATAGAGATGGCATTTTTTGAATGCTGACTAGCAACTCACTTAATTTTCCACATACAAACTCCAACCTTTGAAACATCCTTTTGGCTTTCGTGGTCCAGCAGTTAAACTTCATGATTTGGCTCCTGCAGTCTTTCTCATTTGAATATGTCTGAAAACAAAACTAGTCCCTGCAAACCAAACCAAGTGACAGAAGTTAGCCTACAGTCATGAGCAAATTTTATCATGGGCATTTTTATTGACTTCTAAAGAGAATACAATATTAAATACAAGTATCAAACAACTAAAACTTCTAAAGAAAATTAATTAAAGACTTCGTAAACCAGTTTTACTGCAAGTTAGCTCCCATGGGCATAGCATAAGGTAGTTAGGCAAACAAATAAGAACTGGATGACAATCCAAGTCCCTTTCCATGTCACTTCTCCTGCTAGCATCTGTTCAAGTCTGGCACTATCAAAGTGGGTGAGGGTCTTCAACTTCTTAGACTAGTGGTTAAAAAGGCTTAGGAAGACTTGTAAGGTGGGAGTTCGAACCCCACCATCTCCATCCCCATTCAATGGATCAAAACTCTTCCCCAACTCAACTATCAAGCAGCATAAACAAGAAAGATGAGCTAAGCCAGAAACTTGATTACATAAGCGAGCCAAGCTATCTCTGTAACCCCTTTAATTGCTCCAATTCTTTCTCTAATGGAAAAGATGGCATAGTTGTAAAACAGTGTGTGTGTGTGTGTGTGTGTGTGTATATACACACACACTGACACACACAAATATATATCACTTGAGAACATGCATATAAAAGAAAGGTAGAGATGTTAAAGAAGACAAAGACTGGAAAACTAACTACATTTCCACCTTTCATTCTCGGACAACTTATTGACAAAAGAAATAAAGGAAGAAAGGGGAAAAAGAAACAAAGTGATGTCCATAAACTTCAAGATAGTAAGATTTTGAACCTATGCTTGTATTAAACATGTGATCCTTATTCCTTAGTGAAAGAGATCTTGCTCAAAAAAGGAAAGTAAATGCAGAGAGAAATGGGTTAAATTATATATTCAGGTAATCACATTCAATTACTTGGTGGAATTTGCCTAAAGCTTAATAAAAAAAGGATTTCCTACTACAATCAACCAAATTTCCATTTCGATATTTCATCACATGGACTTATTACGTAACCATTTGTCATGGGATTAGCAATTTTTAAACATAAATATATAAAAATAGAAGAAACAACAAAATTAACCACCTTAAACAATCATCAGATAAAAGGCTGCTCACCAGTACTTAATCAAGCCATCCCAGCCACAGGTTGCAACTTTACTTTGCTCCAAAGGATGCCACTCACACCCAATGCAAACTCCCTCATGGCATTTGAGAGTTTTAAATACTTTGCAGCTCTTCCAGTCCCAAAACCAGCACTTACCCTCTCCATCTCCAGACATAACAAACCGTCCATCTGGCAAAAAATTGACTTGGCAAGCATAGCCAGCCACAATGTGCCCAGCAAACCTTTTTTTCTTGTTAAGCTGCAATCTTTCCCTAGTGCTGCAAAATTTGATTATCCAAACTCTGAGCTGCAAGCCAATTTGTGTTAGGGTGAAGCGAAATAGATGGCATAGAGTGCATGTGAGGCTCACTAATATACTTTATAACGACAGGAATTCCAAATTCCCATACTCGAAGTGACTTGTCATCACTTGAAGTAACGAATCTCCCATTGTTATCAACAAATGTAATGGTATTCACTGCCCCTAAAAGCTGATCATACTCTTGTGTAATTTGTCCTGTATTAATATCCCACTGCACAATCTTCTTATCACTCATAACCGTAACAGAATATTCTGCTTATCTTCATCAGGGTTAAGCTTAACTACATAAGGAATCTTCCCGGTTGAGAAAGTTGAAATAACCCGCCCAGTTTCCGTACCCCAATATTTGATGATCCTGTCGTATCCAGCAGTAAAAAATTTAGTGCCATCATTACAAAATGAAATATCTCTTATTGCCTTTGAATGACCCATGTATGTCCTCATACACTTGCCTGAATTAAACACATCCCATATCTTCACTTTAGTATCCATCTCTGCAGAGAGAATCAAATGCCCATGCTTGGGGAAGAACCGAATACCTGAAACACCCATTGTGTGCCCACTCCAAGTGTGTACTAATCTCTTTGGTATATAACAATAATCATTTGTTGCTTTTGCATCTTTAGGAGGAGCAATCCAAGACCTTCCTTGGTAGTCTCTCTCCTCTTTTCCATGAAAAGTAGTCTTATCCACCACATGCTCACCTTTCTGACCTGGTTGGCCTTTCTCTTCTTTCTTCTTTGCAGACTCCTCTGCATACTTCTTCTACTCCTCTGTCAACTCTGTTTGCACCCCGTCTTTTTTACCTGCCCAAGGACTCTTTTTATTCTTCATCGACCACACATCGCTAGCTGAATTATCAATCTCTGTGGGATCAACCTCACTCTCACCACCCACAACATCATCTTCCTCCATCGCCATTTCCTTCTTTTTGTCAAATCTTCTCTTCTTTTGCTCATGTTGTGGGATGTTATAGACAGAAATGGCATCATTCTTATGCAACGCATCCATATCACCAATATAGTTGTTTCCTGAAGGGTCAGCAGCATACCCATATTTGTGGAAGGTGTTGTATTGCTCATCAAAAACAAATGAGTCAATGGAGGCGTCCTCAACAAACCCCAGCTTGTGGTTGCGCATGCCTTGGGCAATGCCATCCTTCGCATATGAATGAGCTGGGCCATAGATAGGGGCCCAGAGTTGGTCATAGGTTGGGTTGAAGGCAATAACATGCTGGGTTGGATCAATGGGCTTTGAATGGGCTTGGTGTGCTTTCGCTGCAGTTAGGGCCAGCATTGTATCATCAACCTTACGTGCAGCAGATTTGAAGGATATGAGCCGTGGAGGTGACGAGTCCGGAGATAAACTAGATGGTTGGTGATTTTGATCTTCACCATCACTATTATTAGCACATGTTTGGAGAAGATCCATAGATGATTGAAGCCTGATTCACATAAACAGAGATGTCAAGATATTTGTCATTGAGTTATATTTCTAGATTATCAGGAAAGCAAAACTAAAAATGATACACTATTTTATTTCAAAGGTGACTTGGAGATGGGATCAACCGCAAAAACTCAAAATAAAAAACAGGAAGAAGAAATAACACTGCCACTGACACTAACTATAGAGATATGAGTTAACAAAGGGAAATAGAAGAAAAGAAAGGGAGAGTTATGATACTAGCTTGGTTGTTGCATATTTCAAGATGGTTTTTTCAAAGCCTGCTTTACAGAAACAGGGATATTTAGAAAATTCTCATTGAGTTAAATTCTAGATTATCGGAAAAGCAAACGTTCTAAACAAAAAAGAAAAATAAAATTATTCTACTTGGTGATGAGATAAGCACAGAAGATTCAAAACAAAAATAGGATGAAAAAGAGAAAACATCACTGCTGACAATGACAGAGAGATATAGTTAACAACCAGGAATAAAAGAAAAGGGAGTCATAAGAGTGGCTTACGTATTACTTATACTACGAAGAAGAGGGAAATGCTTGATTGGAAAGACAGCAAGTGTACAGAGCGAGCCAATACCAAATAATTCCTTCTTTCTTGGTCATTATAAAAAAAAAAAAGAATCAATGACACATTTCAATAAATTTTTTCCCTTATGAGAGACAAACAGACAGAGAGACTAAAAGATATGAATTACACAAAATTTCATCACAGTAAAAGCAAACAATACAAAGAACAGCTTAGAGCAAAAGATTGATTAGAACCAAGAAAAAAGTAGGTAAAGCTCCCAGCTTTCAAATAAGAGAGAGCACTAAGACTTCAAGAGATACCAGTACTGAGTTTTAACTAAAGGAAATCAATAAGCAAAACCCATATGTAAAATTACAACTACAAGGAATTTGAGAGATGCCCAATTTGATTTTTAAGGAAAAAAAGCGAAGAATGAAAATTACAACTATTATACTTTCTTTGGAGTTGTAGAAGGGATCATACTTAACCCGGGTGAGAATCATTCAGGACCTTGGAGCTTGGAAGTGAAGCCTGAGGAAATCTAGGTGCGAAACCAAGATATTCGCTTCCTTTGGTCCAACACCTCATTTCAGCACTATTTCAGCCTAAATCAAATCACTCTATACCCTACCGCATCACATATAAATCAAGTTTATACCAAAGCAAGTAAGTAGCCATCAAATTTCACGCCAAATTAAGCTCCAAGATTGATGCTTTTTCATCCCAATTAAGCTCCAAAATTAATAACCATAGGACCAATTTCTGAAACAACAAAAGCTTCTCAAATACTTAAAGTGCAACAAAAGCTTCCAACATTGTTTAAATTCAAAAAAGAACAGCATAATTTTGAAGGAACAACCCAATAAATATAATAAATTTAGCAGGATAAAAAGTTAACAAACAAAAGAAAGGAAGAGAGGGGAGCTGACCTTGGCTATCTCGATTCTCAAGACGGGCGTTGTTTTTCACAGTCTCGAATCAGAAAAAAAAAAAAGAAGATAGATTAGTAAAGTTGATTTGAAAATCAAAAAGGAGCGAGACGCAGGGTAAAATACAGGATTTATGAGATTGGTACGATAGAAATATTAAATAAACCTATAAATATATAACAATTTTTTAACTCGACAGAAAAAAACATAAAAAAACATCGAATACTAATACAAAAATAAAAAGGGTTTGTTTTTAATATAGACATTATATGTTTTAACAGATACGTAGTTTGACCTTAAAATCAGGGATAAACCCAAATTTACCAAACAAATTTCCTTCCAAATTTGCAGTACTACCACTAATTGGTTTGGAATTGGGCAATGTGAAAGGTCTAGTTTAGGTGCATACGTTTGGGTTGACTTGACCTGTGTGGATAATTTCTTTTGATAAAAGAAAAAACACCTCCCTCAGACTCCGTCGTCAATTCAATCTCAATTTGAGAAAAGAATTATCCTTTTTTTAATTTTATTTTTCAAAACATTGTTGTTTTGGTTTGATCCAACAATAAGATCGCAGGGGTAAAAACGCTGAGAATGGGAAAGAAATCGTCATCTTCAGCATCATCTTCATCTGTGTGGAGCAGAGGAGGATGGCGATATCTTCACCCGTCGCGTTACCTGAAAAAGCCTAAACGATTGGCACTCCTCATTTTCGCCTTCCTTTTCCTTAATTACTTCCTCTGGGACCGCCGAACCCTCTCCTCCGCCCATCAGGTTTATAAAAAAATAGTCTTTTATTTAATCTTTTTTCATTATAATTAATTACTTATATAACTAGTTTCTTTTTCAGCTAAAGGTAACCGAATTAAATCAACAAGTAACAAGCTTGCAAAATCAGGTAACTTTTTTTTTTTATTATTATTTTGTTTCATAGGCTGAGGCAGAGCCAGAATAATAGTACATTTGTTACAATAATGTGTGGAAATTTGCAGGTACAAGAATTGAAGATCAAGCTGAGAGGTGCAGGTGTGCAGAGAAAGATTATTGGGATTGGAGATAATAATATCAATAATATTAAGAAGAAAGAGGCTGATTTGGATGATGAAGACCCTATTAATATTGAACGAAGACAGAAAGTGAAAGAAGCAATGCTTCATGCTTGGAATGCCTACGAAAAATATGCATGGGGCCAAGATGAACTTCAGGTGAATCTGGTTTTCTCGTTTTCCTTTTTTAGATTTAGTTAAATGATTTCACGATTATTTTATGGTGTTCAACTCATGTCCATAGTTTACTTTTTTGGGGGATCCATATGAAAAGTGTTTGATTCCAAATAAATGATTTTTAATTCCACAATTCATTACTATTGTAATTTTTAAGCTGTACTTCTTGTCGCAACTCTGTGTTCTTTTCCGTATTCTAGAACTAATGAGTTAATTTTGACACAGCCACAAACAAAGAATGGTGTTGATAGCTTTGGTGGTCTTGGAGCAACTCTTGTAGATTCTCTTGATACATTGTATATAATGGGTCTAAAGGAGCAGTTTCAGAGAGCTAGAGAGTGAGTTTGCAATTGTTTATATGTTGTCATTTTATCTGCATATAGATTTTCCACATTTGTGTAATATGTTGCATACCATTACACCATTACATTTGGAAACACACAAATGCAATTTCCAAGGATTTATTCCTGTATATGTCCAATAACTTGATTCATTGCTCGTGAGTTTTATTTATATTTATGTTTAATAGTTTTTGCACTAACATTGCTATTAGTAATTTCTTTTTGCAGGTGGGTTGCAAACTCGTTGGATTTTAACAAGGATTATGTAGCTAGCGTTTTTGAGACAACGATAAGGTTGCGTTAGAAGGTTTAATCTTATTTTATTTAGTAATTTCTTTTCTCTAAAGTTTGGTAGATGAATTTCCTGGTTGTGCAACAGGCAAGCATATTTGCTGTTTTTTTACTAACCTATCTTTCTGCTTTTTGTTGGCATTTGTTGAACTTAGAATTGTTGGTGGGCTTCTTAGTGCGTTTGATCTCTCTGGAGATGATATTTTCCTTCAAAAGGCTAGAGATATTGCAGATAGGTTGTTGCCTGCATGGAATACAGCATCAGGAATCCCCTATAACAGAATTAACTTAGCACATGGCCATGCTCATAACCTTAGGTGGGCAGGAGTAAGTTCTGAACTTTTATTGTTGACTGTCTAAAAGTAGTTGATGCCAGCACATCCATTTCTTTCTTCATGTTTTTCATTATTTTCTCTTAGACATATTTCCTCTAGTATTTTAGTGTTACCAAGGAAAGTATTTGACCATTTATTCACACAATTATTGCAGCAAGATTATGTCCTTTGCTTATGGAGTGCTAGTTCACTGTTTTATGCTTGGTTAGAACTTTACCATGTGTTTTTTCTTTTGCAGATATGAGGTGAAAACACAGGATATATAGGAGACAGAGTCAGAGAATTCATTAAAAGAGGAACACAAGTCTAGTTGTTTGGATTGGAGAGAACTAATTAGCAGTGAAATAGAATAATTATACAATTATAAGATTTGGTTAATGTTTATTCATGAACTTAAAGATAGATTTGTAAAATTATAAGGAATCTCAGTGAGTCTTTTGCCTCTCCAAATCTCTCTAGTTTTAAAGAGAGATGAAAATATGTGAGGAAAGAAATTGTAAGTAATAGTGATGTAGAAGGGGAAATAGGGTGAAACTAGAGACGAGGAAAAATTAGAGGGAAAAGGGAAGAAACAGAGGAAGTTGGGGAGAGTAACAGAAGAACTAGGGAGAGAAAACCAGAGAGAATTCATAGAGGGGGAAATGTCAAACTCTATTCCAAAATTTCAGTAATTCTTAATCCAAAATCTTCTGAAGGAAATAACCTTGAATGTATTTGTAGGCATAATTCATAAAACCCATAAATGCAAATTCAAAATATATCCCTAATTAAAATAAACCCTAATAAAATAAAACCCTAAGGTGATTCTCCATCAAATAGTTTCTCTTCTTTTCTTTTGACTTCTCTCCTAATTTTTTCTATCCTAAGAAGAAATTTAAACAGTTTCTATCCACTTAACTTTTCATTTCTCTCATCCTAACAAATATTAGTTTCAGAATTAGTCACTTTTGCACATTTGGATAAAGTCTGCTAAAATCTCTGGTAACTATGACATCTTGTGTGTAAGGTTGCATCCTTAGGGAAGTCTGGTTTCTAAAATTTTCATGATACTAACTTGTGCACCTCACTGGAAGGTAGGTTGTTATTGTTATGCTACAAAAAGTTTTACTTGTTGTTTTGCTATATTGAGATCTTTTTACTAATGCACAATCAATCCTATGAGTGTTTTTTTTTTTTTGAAGTAGACATCCGGGATACTTGGGGCATTGCTTCTTCCATTTATTGAGAATATAATCTTCTGTATTTCTAGGGAAACAGTATCCTGGCAGATTCTGGAACAGAGCAGCTTGAGTTTATTGCTTTATCTCAAAGAATAAACGATCCCAAATACCAGCAGAAGGTATTTCTTCTGGTGTCTTGCTTAATAGTTTGCGTTTTCACTTTGCATTTCTTTGTTTCCAGTTCTCATTTCCTGTTTAATCAAGCCTTTGCATTTTCATATGTTCTACATAGTTTCTATTTGAAGATGGTAAATTTACGTATAAAACATAAGCTTTTTTGTTTACTTTCTGTTGCTTAACAGTAGACCTCTATTTCAGGTGGAGAATGTCATCAAAGAATTCCATAAAATCTTCCCTTCTGATGGTTTGCTCCCAATCTACATCAATCCTCATAGTGGAACAACATCACATTCAACTATCACATTTGGTGCTATGGGTGACAGGTGCTAACTTTTTCTTTGATTAGGATGCCATGTCTGCATTGAATGTTTTGAATTCTTATTTTGAGACAATGACTCATTGTAATTTGTTATTGTTGAAAGACTAATTTCTAGCAAGTTATACTAGGTGTAGTTGGATGATGGCATTATACACTAGAATCAGAATCCTTGTATAATTCAATTGGTAGAAGGATGGCCTGTTGGGATACTTTACATTGAGCTTATTTGAAGCTGGATATTGTGCTCTAATTTTCTAGTTTATACCCTGATGAAATATAAGTTTTTTTTTTTATTGTTATATACATGTCTGTATAGATGGTCCTTCGTGTGTGGTGAGATAGCATCACAACGAGTGAATAAGAATGAGGTACACAAGTAGAAGTGTGACTGAAGAGTACCAAATAATATGATGGGTGAAGATGATAGGGCCTAGGAAGCTAGGTGGAGGATGGAAGCAATGACTAGAAAATAGGTTGTGGAAACAGTGAGTAGAGAGTAGGAAGAAAGAATCAGTAGATTGGAACTAGGATTCGGAATTGAGAAAAGATGTTTGGAGTAGCTGCGTTAGATGGGGAGCTTTGTCTCAAAATTTTCTTTAACCAAAATTAAGTTTATACACTTTGGATTAAGGATGGCCATGGTTTACCTTTTGGGTGACAACTTATTGCCATGAATTTGTGAACAGAGGTGGAAAGTAGTGCCATTCATGTTTAATATGACACTTGGAAGCCTTCATAATTTAGAGAAACCTTAACAAGCCAACTCTCTATAGCATATCTGTATGGGTGTTCTTTTGTAGTAGGGAGAGTTAGTGTTGCAAACAAGTAGATCAGATCTGCCTAGAGACAACGGAGAGGAAGATTGGAGCAGGCCTGCTATTGCTAAGTGTTGTGCCAGGCGGTGGTAGACAAGGCATAGAAAATAGGCTGGTGGTGTAGCAAGGCGGAGAATAAGGTAGAAGGAGGAAGTAAGGAGGAGAGAACTATAGAGAAGATTGTAGAGAGAGTTTTGAGAGGGAGAGAGCTTGTTGATTTACCATAGGAAGGTCCCTAAGTGAATGGTCAGAGCTCCTATATATCTAGGTCAAAGCCTTTAAAGGACTAACCCATGAACCCTGCCTTTCATTCTGGGGTTTGTTTCACTTCTATACATGGTGATGTAGCTATTCTACTCATTTTGTTTGTTTTCATTGCTCTCCATATAGTATTGTAATTCCCTGTAAGACAACTTTCTTCAATATTAAAAAGAAAACAAGTTAGTAACCGAAATCAATTATTTACAATCTCCAAAAGACAAGATCATAGCCAAGAACCTTACCAGCATTCTTGAAGTTGAACCCCTGTATGTATTGTATATTCCACAATCTGATTCCTTAGGAGTACCTGCAAGACAGCTAGGGAACAAGTTTCAATTTATAAATTTAAAATTGACATAAAACATGTATTTAGAATGTGCTGTATGCTGTTATATTAAAAGTTCAAACATAATAATGTTTGGAATATAATAATTGTATGGATGGGCTTTTTAGCTATATACCATTGTGCTTATTAAATCTGAGTTTTTCATGGGTGTATTGGGTGATTAATTTGGCTGCAAGATATAGCTTTGGTTAAACTTCATTGACTTTTGGAAGAAATTAATTTAAGTTTTATCTGTTGAGTTAGTTCTTTGGAGGGGATGAGTTACCTTGTCCACGATTAGGGAAATTCAAGGGTGAGGTTTCAGAGTTAAGGCATTCTAAGGGAGACGCTATGGCTGAGAGATAGATTATCACAAATTTAAGAAATGATGTCTAGTCTACCACCTATGTTTTTTTTTAATTTTTTTATTTTGGAGAATAGTCTATAACCTAAGATTTGTCAAAATATAATTCAACTTTATTTTTTCATTCTCTAGTACCAGGGATGATAATTAGTATAAATACACATTGTTGCTTTTGGTGCAGTTTTTATGAATACCTACTTAAAGCTTGGATACAGGGTAACAAAACGGAAGCTGTAAAGCATTACAGGTAAGAAGCTTCAAACAGCATTTATTATAGTGTGGCAAACAGTACGGGTACTTGCTGATAAATGTGCATTCTTGTAACTTGTAAGAATTTATAGCATCTAGCTTGTGCATGGCGTGCTTGAGGGTTGCCCATCATTATGTTCAAGGTAATCATACCACTAATTTATTACGTGCAAGAGTGCAAACCCCTTATCTGTTGCATTCTCTAGGTGTACACAACGGTTTGTTATCCTAGTATTCCTATAACTACCAGTCTACTGTACTACCTAGAACAGGATTAAGTTTCAGAAAGCTGATTGAATTAATTGTTCATGTTTCACTGGCGTGTTACACATTGATGTTATGACAATAACTTGATATTTTTAGGGTAAGCCTATTTCCACACATGTTTGGGTTCCTATGTGAATGTCAGTCATCATGTGAGTAGGCAAGTGGGACCCACATGTCAGTAAATGTGACTGGCTTAAGTTGAAGAAAAATTGTGCTGGGAAATAGGGCCACTTGTATATTTGTTATATGTCTGTGCCCATTTTATGCATCTGGCTAGTGCATGGCATGAATGGCAGTTGTGAATCCTTATATTCTAGGTAACCACATTGCTATGTATGAAATGCAAGATTGCAAGCCACTAATGTGTTGAAATCTCGAGGTGTACGCAGCTGTTTATTGTTCTACTGTATCCTAGATACTACCTACAACAGGATTCAATTTCTGAAAGCTCACTGAATTATTTGTTCTTCTGTATAGTGACATGTATATGTTAATGTCGTGATTGCGATGCGGGTATACTTTATATTATCTCTCTGACCAATTTCTTTTCCCAGTCATAAATTGTGTGTGGTCTCTTTTGCTGGGACATATGTAATAACGTGATGCTTTATTAGTATACCTTGTAAGCATTTCAAGGGGAAGTAGAAAAGTTGTACAAACTATATCAAGTTCTTTAATTAGATTATTAAAATTATTGAGAATGTGCCTGTATGGAAATCCATGCTAACTAGACCAGTATAATGGATACTGGAAACAGGGATATGTGGGAGACATCAATGAAAGGTCTGCAAAGCTTGATTCGAAAATCAACTCCATCCTCATTTGCGTACATATGTGAGAAGACAGGAAATTCACTGTTTGACAAGGTAGTATCTAATAAAGCAAATTTTCTACTTTGTTGATGGACTTGGTTTCTCTGAGTGGATCTTTTCTTCATGTATACAGATGGATGAATTAGCATGCTTTGCCCCTGGAATGTTGGCTTTAGGATCTATTGGTTATGGTCCAGGAGAAGCTGAAAGATTCTTAGCACTTGCAGAAGAGGTATGAATGCATACTCACACACACATATATAGGCATATATATTACAAACACCTTTTATTATTGAAGCTAAGGCTCACATGAAGCTCGCTGCAAAATCAGAGTTGAATACAGCTTGTTTGAATTGCAAATTCCTATGGAACATGCATGTAAAACTCTGAAAGGCTTTTGATTGTGCTGACGGTATGTTTAAGTGGGAGGAAAACAAAAAATGAGAAGTATAAATTACGTTGAGACAGTATAAAACAGAGTTATCTGACAAAATTTTCTTTCCTTAAAAAATCCGTAGTCATTCAACATAATACGAGAATATAAAAGGTATAACAAATATTCTTATGTTGAAAAAAAATCCCTTTGGTATTTCCACTGATTCTCCTAACCTGTCATCATTTTGATTGCTGCTTTGTAATTTTCTTTTGCCATGGTTCACTGTGTTCAAGTTGGTTTAGATTTCTTTCTATTTGTCAATGTGTTACCCCTCCAACTAAATTTGCTTGGTCGATTCACCAAAGGTACTTCTACCAGCTTTGCAAATTAGAAGCATTAAACATCTCTATGGGGTGTAGAAAAGTTCTTGTTTTGAATGGAAAAGCGATGTTTGATGCTGGTTATTTATCCTTGAAAATGTTCTATGGGGTAAATGTTGATTTGGTTACGGGTATCTGATATGGTTATGCATATAAAATTGTGACTTACCTTCCATTCAAAATTTGGACTCTTGTAGTCAGCTAAAAAGAGTCCCTAATAGGATACATATATGTGGATTCATCTTGTAATAATACTATAAAAAATAGTACATGAAAATTGAAATTCAATAACTAATATCTAGCATTTGGGTTTTTAATTTTTGACATGTTTTTATCATACGATTTCTTATCTGGCTGCTTAGACTACTATTCCTTGTTGGTCCCATCCTGACTGGATCCTTTGACATTTTGTTGTAGCTTGCCTGGACTTGCTATAATTTCTATCAGTCAACCACCACAAAATTGGCTGGAGAGAACTATTTCTTTCGCACTGGACAGGTTTGATGCATTTATTCTCCTGCTATTGTTTTGGTTATTGTTGTCTTCATATCTCTGCTTGATATCTAAGAAATTGTAGGACATGACTGTTGGTACGTCATGGAATATTTTGAGGCCTGAGACTGTTGAGTCACTCTTTTACCTCTGGCGTCTTACTGGAAACAAAACATACCAAGAATGGGGTTGGAATATCTTTCAAGCATTTGAGAGAAACTCCCGTGTTGAGACTGGGTATGTCGGGCTTAAAGATGTAAGCATTAGCAAACTCTTCTTGCCTGTCCTTTGTCCTTTTTGTACCTTCTTCTATATGACATTTGCTGTGCATTTTATTTGGAGGAGACAAATATGCTTATTAATACAATCAAACATGTCCCCTGGATAATTAGCATTGCCTAGTTCCATATGGGAGAAAAGATGGGGCTGCCCTATCCCAGAGCTGCCTTTACTTTGTTGATAGTCATGTGCCATTCGCCTTTATGATGTTCTATCATGCAAGCTAGGATTTATTATTGCTATTTCATTAGCTGCTAAAGTTTCATTTCTTTGAATGGTTATAATGAGGCATAATATGTGTGGATATCTACCTCGGAAAATCTATTACTGTTATTTATTTATTTTTTGTTGTAGCAGTGATCATGTATGTGTGTGTGTGTGTGCATGATGTGAATTAAATTTCATTTGTTGAAGAATTGATCCATTAAAATACAAAATGATTTGGAATGTGTGAAATCTAAAGTTGTAAACACTTGCATGGTTCTTTTCAATCAGAGAAGTGCATCGATTAAAGAAATTGAAGTGATGCACACACACATGCATATATATTAACTTAATTCTAACAGTGAGGGGTTAGCCTTGCAATTTTTCCCCTCAACAAGGTCCAAGGTTTAGATCCCCCCCCCCCTCTCCTGTAGACTTCCTCCTATGTATCAAAATAAATATACATACATATATATATGTATGTGTGTATAGTTTCTTTATGGTACATCTCCTGATCTTGTCCAATATTACACTGACGATCTTTTCTTTCCGTTGGAGTTTCGTTTGTGTCCCAATATGTCAAATTTGTCGTTAAAAATATTATTGCCATTCTTATTCAGGTGAATACAGGTGTGAAAGACAATATGATGCAAAGTTTTTATCTTGCGGAGACGCTCAAGTATCTGTATCTCCTGTTCTCACCTCCATCTGTCATCCCTCTTGATGAATGGGTGTTTAACACAGAAGCTCATCCTTTGAAAATTGTGACCCGAAGTCCTGATGAAAGAGAAGAAGAATAGCTGTTTGAGGCCATACCAACAAAAGAGAGTCAATGTGGTCTGACTAGCCTCTAGGCAAGACAAATACTTTGAAAGCTTGGTTAATACTCCCAGCTGCCCTCTGCCTCAGGTTGTCAATTATAAATTATTGGAGAATCCCATGGAGGGCATTTTTGAACCACCTCAACTGAGTGTAGGGGTAGTGACCGATGGTGTACTCCATCTGAAAATTGGACTGTATCCTCAGTATTCGACAATGGATTGTATATTAGTATCTTTACTTATTCGTGATTCCTGCATAGTAGGAATAACTACATTTCAAATAAGATTAAAATTATATGCGATCCAATCCTTATAGACCACGAGTGCTATTTTTCATATTTATATATTTGACAATTAAATTTTTTATAGTTTTGAAAATAACCATGAATTTTGAATTAAATTTGAATTTGTTATGCAAAAATTTACATGGATAGAACATGAAAACTGATAGTTGGATTAAAAGAAATATTAATTTGTATAAAACTATGGAAATATGCAAATAGAACTCATACATCAATGTAATTTGATCACATAAAAGTAAAGATGTCTCATGCTGTAGTAAAAAATATTGAGGATGAAAGTGATGAGAGACCGTCTTTTATTTATGTTTATAGGCCCAGGATTTCCCCATCACAACTATCAATATTATTCATGTTTTCAAATGAGAATTAAATATTAGTCGCAAATAACTAAAACTTGTTGATTGTTTATCCATTTCGTCATGCCAAGCTAGCTATATTTTTTTATTGGCATACAAAGTTAGCTTAAACCCAGTAGGCAAAAAGTAGTATAAAGGATAAGAGAAGATTGACAAGGTGAAGCAAAGAGACATTCCTTCAACCCTACAAAAAAGGCATAAACAAAATGAAAAGCAGCCATGTTCTCCGATCACATCAGCTGCAATGATGACACCAAGAGTGGGGGTGGGGTCTCAATGCTTCCTCCTCCTACTACTATTCATAAATTAATTTTATGACTGTAATAAGTAAGGTATATTAATTTTCCCATGCAAAATAGAAAAGATTCTAAAGAAAAGTAAACTACACCCTGGTCCCTGGATGATGAAAAGGAGAAAACAAAAATGAAAAAACAAAAAAGAGTGAAAACAGAATCTAGTACTATCTCTTGAGATTGAGAGTGATGGGTTTTGCACTGGCAAAGAGAATCCATGTTGGGAGCTTGAAAAGGTGAGCCAGCAAAGCAAAGAGAAAGAGAAAGAGAAGAGGAAAGAAATGCTTGTGTCAGCTTGATAGGGCATGCGTTATTTCAAACTTCAAAGGGAGAGCTGTGCTGTTGCTTCAAACATAAAGGAATTATAGGGTGTTGTGTTGGGTGCTTTCCTTTTGGCATTTTCCCACATTCCTTTCTATTCCGAGAGCCAGGCTGAGGCTTATTCCTTGCCATTTCTACCTTTATCATTATATATATATATATATATATATATATATAATTTCTTTGCTGTGCAAATTGGGGTATAAAACACTCAAATCAATAAACCAAACCCCCCCCCCCCTTTTTTTTTGTTTTTTGTCCTTTTGGTGGGAAATTCATGTTTTCCTGAGAGTCGTTAAAGTTAAAAGACACAAATGTAAGATACGAAAAGAGCTTTCCTGATTCGATCCTCAATCCAATGATTTAAATAAATTGCATAATAATAAAAAAGGATCCATAAAAGATGCAAAAGGTAAAGAAAACTTTTGACTGTAATAGTGGGGTGGCCAACTTTTTTGCTCTTAATTCGTTGTGACTTCCAAAGCTTTTTGCCTCAAAGTTATTGCCTTCTCTTTAACTCTCTAGCCTTCATTACTACATTTTCTAACCACCCTTTTTCTCCCACTTTATATTTGACAAGATTTTATTAGCAAATCTCAATTTCTCCTCAGCTTTTTCAGCACAAAGGATGTGCTTTCACACACACATACATATACATCCAAATCCAGCAGCTGGTGTTAAATGGGTTTATCATTAAGTTTGAATGTACATTATGCCACGTGAAATAGTTGGGACATCGATCATTCTAGTTATAGGTACAACAACTCTTGATTGATTTAATGTTGCTACAATAAAAAAGATGATTAATTTGAAGAAGTTTTAGAATCATGCATGGAACATCTGAAACAAGTATATATTAGGAGCACATAATTTTGTTTAGTAGAAAGGATGAAACTAGTTAATAATGAAAATATTATTAATTCAATGATTAAACCACAAAATAAAAACAATTTTTTTCATTTTTACTCTTTTTCATTATTCCTACAAGATGTAATCTAAATATTGTTGACATTTTATCCTCGCTCATTCACATTGTGGTGGTAATATTTGACTTGGTCATTTCGTGATATTGAGTCGTACTTTTTTCAATGATATTATAGATAAGAGAAGCATATATATATATATAATATTGTCAAATGCTACCATTATCTTTATATAGGTGTTTATAGATAAGGTCAAGTTGAGCTAAATCAACTTAATTGGCATCTTTAAAACCTAATATGGGACCGGCCTACTCATTTATATTTGATTCAATATTGGAATATTAAAAAATTATATTAATATTTTAAATATATTTATAATTAAAATTAAGTAAAGAACAATTATTTACTAATATAGTAATGTCATGGGCTAGCCAGACCGAGCCTAGGCCTTGAAAATCTTATCCACAACCCGGCTCAAGTTGGTGCAGGCTTACAGGTCTGGCGGCTAACCCAGGTCTACCCTTCTGCTTGCCGCCATTTTATTAGGATAAAGAAAGCTAATGGCACAAAAAAGAGGTGAAAAACTGGGCATAGGCGGGCAGCATGGAGAAGTGCAGTCTGTTTTGGATGCCAAAATGCAGTATGTTGGCAGCCAGAGGCAACACCAATGCAACAAGAATAAGTGTTATTCCCTTTGCGAAACAGCAAAACCAGCACCCCCTTCTCAGGGAAAGTGTATATGTTATGTTAAACCCATTTTCAACTTTGAAGGGTCAATTTTGAACCCAACACCAGTGGCAGATATCAGCCAAGGACTTTTTGTTGTTTTGCAACTCAGTCTCCGTCTCAGAGCCCAGAGAGAGGGCTGTTACAATGACAAATTCATAGGGCTTTGTTTTAATTTTGTAACTTTGGCTGCAACTTTTTGCACCCTAACCATACAAAACTTGATATTTTTTTTTTGGTTTTGTTTTGTATATATGTTTCTGACTTTGCCCAGAGATGTGTAGGAGGGAAATAGCCTTTCTCCCGTCAACTAATGTGAACTTTTTTGTCCATCAATTATCAGCTAGCTCAGTGCATATATATCAGCAACATTCCTGACCTTCTCAATTTATGTTGGAATTTATTCTCTTTTCTATGACATTAGAATTACTGTCAAAAGAAAGAAAGATGGATAAAGTTGACAAACTGAAAATGCTCTAACTGTGACAAACTAAGAACACCGAGGCCCTGGCGTTGTAGCCGGTAGCCTTTTTTTTTTTCCTTCCAAAGATAAAAAATAAATAACAAAAATAGAACATAAATTAAGTACAAAGTTAACCATCAATGGAGGAAAATTGAAACATATATACAAAACAAAACAAAACAAAGAGAGGAATTGGAGGGGCAGCAGAAAACAAAGAACGTGAAAGAAACCAGAAAACAAGAAAAAGAAAGAAAGAAAAGAAATAGTGTGAACTGTGAAAGCATGCTTTTCCTTTCTTTTCTTTTCTTTTCGTTCTCTCTTCTCTTGCATGCAAAAGCATCAAGCAAACCATCATGACTGGCATTGCCACTTTCTTTCTTCGCTAATCCCAATGGAAGTGAATAAAACTCCTTTTGATGTTTTGTAAAAGAATTTAATTTCATCAATGAATTAATTATAAGGGGCAATAGAAAAGTACAAATATTTGAATAATAATAAATTTATGAAAAAATTATTCTTGATCCAACCGTTGAAAACGTTTAACGTTTCACTAAAATCTAAAATGAAATAAGAAGATGAGTAAAAACTTCACTTCCATTAATTTAATTATCTCACAAACACTAGTTCTATAATAAACCTCTTGTGAATTTCATTTCATAAACGTATATATTGACTACCATGCACAAATTATGAAGGCAATTATGACAAAATTCGATCAAATAATCAAGTATATTGATATGAAAAATATGTCATTGATCATTGCCTCAAGTGATGAATAATTGAAGAAGATGAAACTCCTAAAACATAAAATGATCTAAAAGACATCTAGTGGATGTTCAATCATCGATGATTTCACATGTTAAAATTTTTTAGTGAGAATACGATCTTATAAATCAAATTTTGGAGTTTAAAATTTTCATTACTGATGTATATATGGGATTTTTTTTTTTTAAGGAAAATATCAAATTGTGTTTGAGAGAAAGAAAGATCCTGTAAGAGTGTACTTAGAGAGACTTTTTAAATGAAAGTATTTTTAAAATGTATTAATTAAAATATTTAACATTTGCAATTGTATTATTTAGATAAATATTTTAAAAAATAATTGTTGAAATTTATCAATTTGTCAGAGGCCAAGAGAATCACTATATATAATTTTTAATATTCACACTGATTTTTTTATCTTTATATATATATATATATATATATATATATATATGGATGAGTAGCTAACACATGTGGAAACTAATTTTCAACATTAATAACTAGAGGTGGAAACGACTTCTTTTTTTTGTTAATTAATTAATTAAAATCATATTCACCTCATTAAACTTTTGGTAAGTGAGCCTGAATGCCCCATTTCATGCAAACTTGTAATTTACCATAATTCATAATTATCCATGCTTTGTTGAAAACTTGTTAAGTAAAGATGTAAACCTAATCATTAGACTCGGAAAGATGTGACATTTATTTCGTCCCAATTAATTCATAAAGGCTTACAGAAGAGAAATCTAATTCTCTGCCTCTATCTCCATCATATTCATGCCACTACCTTTACTACAATCGACAAAAAAATAATGCTCCAATGATTTGGGCACCCTAGCTACTTCCCCACTTCAATCAATACCCAACCCAATCTCTCTAATTTAATTTAACTGTATGTATTCTTTAAAACAAAAAGGTTGTGTGAGTCTTAGCTGGCTAACTTTTTTCACAGTAAGCAAATTTCATTAATCATAAGTAGATTAAGTTTTTTTTTTTTTTTTTCTTTGGCCAATTCCTTCATTAATGTTTGGTTAATATAGCTATTACCCAGAAAATCATTTTTTAAACTTGTAATTAAAAGTGATCTACAATATATAATTAACAGTAAAAAAATATTTTGACAGCATACTTTGAAATTTACTTTAAGAGTTGAACGTGCATGCTTTCGGAATACTTTGATGGTAGCTAGGCTTAGCTTTGAATTTGCTTTTGGCTACTTTTAATGCAATAAAATTAGAATTAGGGAAAATAGGCCTACGAATCTGCCTTTTATCTCCTGTTTAGATGAGTTTGTAATGATTTTGTTTACAATGATTAAAAAGACATATAAATGAACAATAATGTTGGTGAACTGATGGCTTATGCGACGCTAGCTTGTTCCCTACCCTTAGCATTTGAAAAGGGTAAGAATTAATATAAAAAAAAAAAAAAGGGCTTTTCAAGTGGGTCGTTGGAAATGGATGCAGGGGATTAAGACAAAAGCGTTACAGAAATTTTGCAGAGAGCTGAAAAAGAGCCCAATAATGCAATGTAGGATAGCAGACAGAGGGTTGCTTTTTGGGTACTTGGGGAATAAAATGCTGTCTCTCTACGAGGATTGGCGTGAAAGTTGAACCTGCTTTGCTTTCTCTTTTTACTCTCTCTCTCTCTCGTCCAGATAAACACATTAATGAATTAATGTACAATCTTTCTTATTTCTTTGTATACTAAATACCACAACAAATGATAAATATTATAGTAATGAGAAAGGAAAAGAGAAAAGAAAATATCATCTCCACATCACCTACACTCTGGTGGTCTGCCTTCTTTCTCTATCTTTTCTCTTTAGTACTTTTTTTGAATTTCTGCTGCCTTTGTCTGTCCATTCAAAGGGTAGGGAAGCAACCTCTGTTAAATTTGAAATGTGAGTCTCTTCTCTTTGAGGTTGGTTGGGTCTCTCTTTTTCTTTTTCTTTTTCTTTTTATATACAACCAAAAGCTTTGTAGTACTCTATGTATTATATATAGGAAATCATGCATGTGATGCTAGTCCTATATATATTATTTTAGGCATGGATGGCTGTACTATAAATGGTATTTATAGAATATATTATATACAAGTGCAACACATGAATATAGAAAAAGGAAGATGGTTTAGATTGAGATCTTCTTTTGCAGCTTTTCATATCTTGGGATAAAAATATTTATCTGATAAGTGCATATCATGCCGTGAGACGAAAGTTTTACTGCTCCATATACATACATACATTCATATATATATATATATATATTTGCAGGTCCCAACAAGTGATCGTGAATATTAATATTATTATTATTATTATTATTATAAGAGCTAGCACTTTGTGTTTTAATAACAAAATCATTCTTTAGTAATTAAAGTAATTTATTATCAGGAGAACAAAAAAATTTATGGGTGATAAAAAGATGGTGCAGGGTAACTGTAAACTGAAGAGAGAGAAAGCAAGGAAGTGGAAAATCAAAAGCAAAAAAGCTGTTCTCAATTCAAAAAGGAGAAATAAATAAATAAAAAATAAAAAAGGAAAAGAAAATGAATCACAAGCAAGTATAAAGAAAAGTAGGTTTGGTCTGTCGTGTAATTGTTTCTAAAACTCTACTAAGCTCTTCTTTCAAAAATCTCAGAGTCTATTTTCCTTTGAAGTGGTGTGTGATTTCATTAATTTCAAGTCATCTAAGCTCACACTAGCTGCAGTTTTCTTTTGAGCACGAAAGAGGAAGCCTAACAGCTTTATTTTCTTAAAGCTTCTACGTTACAAAGAGAAACAAAAGGGGTGGGGAGGTGCTAAGGCTAGAGAGATAAGCATAAGAAAAGAAAGTAGAGAAGAAGAATTTTGGCCTCGAAATAGCAGAAGTTTTCACAAAGGGGGTGGTGTGGGGGGTGGGTTTTGGCCAAGTGATGCGCTCAGGAGTCTGTACGGTTCAGCAAACTCTCACAGCAGAGGCTGCTTCAGTATTGAAGCACTCTCTCAGCTTGGCAAGGAGGAGAGGCCATGCTCAGGTTACTCCCCTCCACGTGGCTGCCACTTTGCTAAGCTCAAGGGCTAGTCTTTTGGGAAGGGCTTGTCTCAAGTCTCAGCCTCACCAGAGTTCACATCCTCTTCAGTGTAGAGCTCTTGAACTTTGCTTTAATGTGGCTCTCAACAGGCTACCGACAACTCCAGGTCCTCTCCTTCATGGCCAACCATCTCTCTCAAACGCTCTGATTGCCGCACTTAAAAGAGCACAAGCCCACCAGAGAAGGGGCTGTATTGAGCAACAACAACAACAACAGCCTCTCCTGACTATTAAGGTGGAGCTAGAACAGCTTATCATATCCATTCTAGATGACCCTAGCGTTAGTAGGGTTATGAGAGAAGCTGGCTTCTCCAGCACTATTGTCAAGAACAACATAGAGGACTCCTCAAATTCATCTGTTTTTCAGTGTTATAGTGCGTCAGGTGGGGTCTTTTCTTCACCGTGTTCTCCTTCTCCTACTGACACTCAGAAAGACATCGTCAACCCTAGCAGTTTCTGGCAAACCCACTTCTTGACCTACTCTTCTGAGCAAAGCCCATTTTTCTTTTCCCCTCAAAAGAAAGTCTCAAACAACTACATCACAGATTCAGCATCTGTGAAGGAAGATATCAAGTTGGTTTTTGAGGTTTTTCTGAGGAAAAGAAGAAAGAACACTGTTATAGTTGGTGACTGTGTCTCCACAACTGAAGGTCTCGTTTCAGAGCTGATGGCCAGGATAGAGAGAGGAGATGTTCCTGAGGAAATGAAACACGTTCATTTCGTCAAATTTTACTTTGCGCCTTTGTCTCTGAGATTCATGAAAAAAGAGGATGCTGAAAAGCATCTTACTGACCTGAAAAGAAGAGTGGATTCTATTGCATCAGGGGGAGAGGGTGTCATTATCTATACAGGAGACTTAAGATGGGCTGCTGAAGAAAATCTCAAAGGAGAAATCCCTGGTTATAGTGCAATTGATCATCTAGTAACTGAAATAGGAAGGCTGCTCTCTCGCTATAATTTCTCAAACGCAAAGGTGTGGTTAGTGGCCACTGCAAGTTACCAAGCATACCTGAGGTGCCAAATGAGGCAACCTCCTCTTGAGGCTCAATGGGCACTTCAAGCTGTTTCTGTTCCCTCAGGAGGACTTGTTTTGAGCCTCCATGCTACCAGGTTTGCATTCTTCATTTCAAACTTTTTATATATTATGTACATGAATCCTCCATTAATGTGGTTAATATTCCTTGAAGCGATGTTTTTTGTTCTTTTACTTGTTTCGTCTTCAAGTTCTCAGTCCATAAGGTCTGAATGAGGCCAAAATCATTCTGCAAAAGTATAGTTGGTAAAACAGATATGCATCGCGGTGTCCTTGCCTTGCATTTTTACCATACTTCGTCGGGATATAGCCTTTGCATAAAGTTGAAAGAAAAGGAAAAAAAGAAAAAGTTTTCAAGGTTGCTTTTGTTTTCTTCCTCCGTCTCCCTTCGTTCCCATGTTTCGATGTGTTGGTGTTTTTTCCTTTTGCTTTTTTTTTTCGATATTAATTCATTTGAAGGAACACTAAAGCTTGATTTTTTTTTTCTTTTAATTTTCTTTTAAAGAGAGACATAAACGGCTTTTCTTTGAGATACAGCTTCATTTATACTATACCTCCTTTTTATAACTTGAATTTATACGGCTAAACTTGATAGTGTCTGCCTTCATATATTTCAAATCCCCTTTTCTCTTTCGGACGTTTTGATCTTTGACTTTTAACTGTATATTTCTCGGCCCTTTATAGCATTATTTTCCCTAAATTCCTGTAAATTATGCTGATAAGAAAGATTATGACCCAAGAATCGATCCTCCCAACAATTTTGCTGTTTAGCTTGCTACTTGCTACTTAAACTTATTTTTAAAGAGAGAAAAGAAATAAAGACATAAATAAACTAGAAAAACTTCAATTGGAATACAACCCTCTGGGTTAATTTGAATGAAAAGTGATTGACCCGATTAACCAAATTCACATAACTGACAGCTTTTCTTGATTATGCTTTTATCCTGTAATAAATCTTCATATGAAGGTCATATATATATAACATCCAAATTCTCATATTACAATAGAGTATTTCATTATGGAGTGTATATCGTTGCCTAATTGCTGGTGCCTATTCAGTTTATATAATCCTAGTATAAATTACAAAGATATAATTTTGATATTTGTGTGATTTTGCAGTGTCCATGATTCAAGAATGACCTTCGGTGAGAACCCATCTCAAGGCCTGGAAATGAAGCCATTTGCTAACAAGGAAGAGCATGAAAAGCTTACTTGCTGTGCGGAATGCACTTCAAATTATGAGAAAGATGTACAGTCGTTTAAGTCTTGCCAGCAAAAGCTCTTGCCTCCTTGGCTGCAACCTCATGATAGTAACAACGCCACCCAAAAGGTATCAAAATTTAAGGAAAACCAATCATTAAAAACGATATTGAAAGAATGTCATTCCTTCATTTGTCTTTTTTTTCTCATGAATTATCAACTTAGACGTTTATTTAAATTTGCAGGATGAAATGCTTGAATTGAGGAGAAAGTGGAACAGGCTATGCCATAGTTTACACCAAGGTAGGCATAATCAGAACCATTTTAGATCCACCATGTATAACGACCAAAGCTTGGCTGGAAAAAGCTATCCTTATGCTTCATCATACCCTTGGTGGCCTTGTCAAAGCAGCAGCTTCCCTGATTCAACTTCTATCTCTTTTACTGATTCTGGTTCGAAGCTGAACCACAGCCCCAATAATTCGGTGCCTAAATTCAGAAGGCAAAACTCATGTACCATTGAGTTCAATTTCGGTAATGGTACTCAAAAGCACCAATCAGGTGAGCCAAACTTGGATTCACTTAAGAACAGTGAGGATAAAGAGGTAAAGATCACCCTTGCTCTTGGTGATTCTCTGTTTTCAAATTCAGGGAAACCAGCAAAAGAGACGAGTGAATTGTGTAAGCTGTTGCAAGCTAATCTGCCTTGGCAATCTGAGATTATTCCTTCAATAGCTGAGGCCCTGGTGGATTCCAAGTCCACCAAAAAAGAGACTTGGTTGCTGATTCAGGGGAATGATGTGATTGGAAAAAGAAGATTGGCACGTGCAGTTGCAGAATCTGTTTTGGGGTCAGCTGATTTGCTCTTGCACATGGACATGAGAAATAGTGAGGTAAACTCGTGTAATGAAAGACTCGAAAGAGCCTTTAGGAGGAACGCAAGGTTTGTAGTTTTGGTGGAAAATGTTGATTTGGCTGATACCCACTTCCTAAAACTCCTAGCTGATGGATTTGAAACGGAAGCATTTGGAGAATCAAGAGAAAAGGAGGGAGGTATTAGCCAAGCAATATTCATTTTAACCAAATCCATTTCTTCGAGCTATGAAGATGGGAAAAAGAGTCAGGATTCTGTGATCGAGATGAAGCTGAATGTCAATGAAAAAAGTAGCAGTTCTGGGACACCAAACTCAGATAACAAGAGAAAAGCCGAGTGGGATGTTTCAAACAAGATCAAAACTACAAGAATTGATGAGGAAGATGCATCTTCCATTGCTGCTGACAATGGTACCATCAAGAAAGATTTATCAAGGCAGTCAAGTTTCAACAATCTTGATCTGAACATGAAAGCTGATGAGGATGATGAAAGTGGGGAAAGAAGTGGAGAGTTTAGTCCCATTTCAAGTGACTTAACTAGGGAGACCACAGCTGATCCGCATATCCAAATTGGGTTCCTCGAATCGATCCAGAACCGCTACATTTTCAACCAAAATGCAGCTCAGGACAAGGAGATGAAAGAGTTTTTCATGTCCAAGATGAAGGGATCCCTGGAGGAAACTTTTGGAGGTGAAAATATGATTAGATTTAGCGTTGAAGAGAGCGTGTTGGAGGGGGTTTTATTTGGTTCAAGTTATTTTCTCAACAGCCTTTTTGACAAATGGCTAAAACACATTTTTCAAAGAGGCTTGCAAATTGTTAAAACTGGCGGGAAAGAGGGTATAGATGAAATTAGATTAAGTTATGGGGGTATACTTGAAAATGCAATGGAAAATGGATACAAGGGGACTTGCCTTCCCAAGACAATCCAAGTTTCTTTCATGGGATAAAATTGGGGTGGATTTTGTTCTGTAAAATTCCTGACAATATTTGTGTAACTGCTCACTTTCATAGGATGTGTTTTGTAGTACGTATTATTTCTTTGTTTCAATTAATTTTTCAGTGCTTTTTCTTCTTTTTTTTTTTTTTTTGTTTATATCGTATTGGTTTTGTCATTATTGTATTCCTCTTATACCTTCTTTTCTTATTCTTTTAACGTATTTAAATGATAATTGGCCCAAAAAAAAACGTATTTAAATGATAGTAGATAACAACATACAAGCATTGGCTTGGCATAATTCAATGTAGTAAGTAATGTCTAGGATAAATAAATAACATTAATGACTACATGAGAAATTTAGAACCTTTCAATTTCAACATTAATTAATCATTAAGCTTTTGTGTATTTAATTCAACAGCAGCCTTTTTCTCCTTTTATGACAAGTTATATTATTAAAAATAACACAAACAAAGACAACTTGTTTTAAAAAAAAACAAAAACCAAAAACCAAAAACAAAACTTATATTTGTGCAAACAATGATGAATGTTTTTACTCATTAAGACCTAATCAACTATCCCAACAATTATTGGTACAAATTGTTTAAATTAATTAACAACATTAATGATAACTTGAAAAGTTCTTTTTTTTTTTTTTTTATTTATACAAGAATACTAATAATTAAAAGTTAATTCATTTTAAATATCATGAAATTTTATAACATGCAAAGTTTAATAAATATTTTAAGATAGGGGTGGAAACTTTTTGAAGATAATATTATCTTGATTAGTGTTATTAATTGATCATCATCTACTCTTTTGACTGTAATCAATGCCCATTCATATGTTGGTCTTCATAACTAAGGCAAAGAGAGCAATCCTTATCATACCTAAATAATATTTCAAAGGAGTCGAACAAAAGCAAAATACAATATATATATATATATATATATATGTATGTATGTATATAATCTCCTTCTCCACTACAAGCTAATTTCAGTTTTTTTTTTTTTTTCATTTGAGATTAAATTACTGTCTAAACTCTGCACCATTATTTTGAGTTGAAAAAAAATATGATTGCATCAAAGGGCTGAAGTGGGACCTGGCTTCCTGTCATACATACAATACACAATTCTTCCCTTTTTTTAATCTAATTAATTAACTAGTAATATTAAGTTTTAGCATTGATTTGCTTTAGAAAAAGCAGTCTAGTGTCCTAGAGCATTAGGAAAAGCTTTTTATCTGCGATAGAGGAATATTGATGGATATTTTATTTCTACATCAATAAAATAGTATTAGTATGACACATTGGCTTAGCATATCCTTTCCAATCAGAACAAATCTTCCTGGAATATTTTGATAAAATTTTAATATTAGGAAAGGGAAAATATGATAAGCATTACCTTATGTTTTTAATTTTCATTGTTATGGGTGTCGAAAAGTAGAAGTTTGGCCCTACTTTTTTTAAAAAAATATATAATCATGGAATAAAAATTGATTTTCATGCTTTTTAAACTTACTTGAATTTATTTTCATTAAGAAAACAAGAGCACCAGTCTCAAATTTACAAATTTTCGCACCCTAGATGATTTCTGCTACCAATAAACTGACAATCCAAATACTTCTAAGTAGTGCTGATGCAGGAAGAAAATCAGAGAACCAGTTTAACATACCTAAAAGTGGCAGGAAATCCTCCCGAGCCAAAATGGAGACTTTTAATGCCACCATCAAAATATGTCATTGATTCTTTGCTTGGCTAACTGGAAAGTTTTCTTCAGGTTGCTTCTGCCACAAGAAATTTGCAGCTTCTATCCACCGTGGATGGACCAAAAGCTTCTTCTCTTTCACTGCCCAGCGAGATTTCTCCGTTCCAGAATCTGTTGAAACGACATGTGTTACTGAAGAATCAGTTTCCGTTGAGCAACTAGCTCCCAAATGCTCTGCCATCTTCCACAAAAGATGACTATCTGCCTGGAACTTAGTAGGAAAGACACGGCTGAAAACAATTTTGCAACCCTTGAGCACTTCCTTCCTAACTGTTTTCAGCACCTGCAAAACAAAAAAGGAAAAACTCAAGTTGAACAAATCGACTAGCATCCTCCAAAATCAAAATGATATTGAATCAATAAAAAAGTTTGGTGGCTGGCGAAGAATCTAAATGTGAAATTTTTAAAATTTCACAATATCAACATGCATATTTTGAATCTGGATATCATAACAAAATGTATACCTGCCTGACATCTCTGCTAGCAAGATTGGAATCCAGTTCCTGCAAGAAGTTTCCAATAAATGAAATCAAGCAAGACTCACAAGGCAACACAACTTATAAAAAGTATTTATAAGAAATGATACATACATCAAAGAAAATATGGTGGATTTGCCTCAGTACTTTAAGAACAGAGGCGAGTGCTCCATCAGACTCACTTTCATCATTCTTCAATTGAGAAAGAGACTTGCAATTGTAGCCAAATTGGTGACAACTCAAAGCAAAGAAATGATATCTCTCCATCAGTATCAAATTGTCTTTATGCTTCATCCATGCCTAAATTATGAGAAGGCAACAAATACATCAAGCTTCTAAGGAAAAAAAATGGATCCAATCTTTTGGTGTTTTATCAAAGTTCCTCCATCCACATACCACACCACATACACTCCTTTTGATACCTAGGACAGATATTAACTCTCAGCGAAGAATTTATCATCAACCATTGACCCATTTTTAATTTATGTAAAGGTTGTTAAAAAAAAAAAAAGAGAAAATCAATAAATGATTACATTAAGGAAAATTCACACATCACAATTAATTACTAACCAAAATGTGCTTCTAACTTAGTAAAATATCAAAGTTAACTTATTGAAAATGCACTCACATTTTCTGTATCATCAAGGATCACAACAGCACTCTCTTGCCCTAGGACCACATCAAGGCCCTTTTGGTGCTTCTGGGTGCCATCATCTCTTGAAATCACTCTACCACTGAAATACTCTCTTTTGGGATCTAGCAGTTTAGCCATTTCTAATGCATAGGGTCTATCACCCATTGTATAAATGTACATCTCAAACATTTCACTTGCTTCTTTGAGAAATGCATGAACAAAGGGCCTCAATTTGGTCATCATATGCATAAAATCCAACATGAACAGGCTGCCTTTTGAAACATCTGTCCATAGAAGCCCAGAAAGTACAAAGACTGTAAATCCATTAAACTAGCCAGGCGAAATGATATATATATATATAAAGGAAGAAGAAAAAAGAAGATAGACAACGCATGAGGACCAAGTAGAGTCAAAAGCAAAACTTGAAACTCATTAAGGATTTCAAACACCAAAAATCATAAGTAAACAGAAACTGACCAGCATAACTTATATTGCATGAAAAATGATGCACCATTTACAAACAAAAAATGTCAGTCAAAACATACCAACATATTTTGCATTCATAGACCTAGTTGATTTGTGTTTAAACTCACCAAATCATGCTCTGAAGCATTAGGTTATTTGCAAATAATATCTAACACAAGCAAGCAGCTGACATAATAAAGCTACTGGCCTGAAAACGAAAATGGCATCTCACCCAGAAACATACAGCATTGGAATACAAACAATTACACTGACACAGCATGGAAGGCAGAAGAAGTTAAACAGTTTAACAAAACATACCATGAAGAGAATCAGATTGGCCTTTCAAATATTCTTCCTCAGGTGTTAGGTGCATGAGTTGAGTAGAATTGAGCAGTGTGTGGTCTAAATCAAGAACTAAGTAAAGCTTCTTATGACGTAACAAATTTTTCATGTCTGTGCTGCGTAATCGAATAATTTCATCATTACCAAGCCTTAAACCCTGCAAGTACAATTGTTCCCCACATCTTAGTCTAGAGACAATCAAAAAAGAGTACAGCTAAATATTCCTATTCTCATTTGTATGATGGGAAATAAATGCCTCAAATTCCAAAGAAAAACTTGTGTGTGACTGATAATAGCTAATCAGAAACACATCATGACTCAACACATAAAAAATTATAAAGTAGAGAAATAGTGACAGATGGAAGAGATGATTCCACATGCTATCATTTCAAAGAGTGAATACCTTATGTATATACCCAAATGTTACACCAGATTCATCATCCAACCTTTGCCCACAAAGGATGCACATTTGTCCAAAAGAACCTGGATGTGTACAAATATCCTCCTTCAAGGATACCTCTGCATTTATAAAATGAGAAATTAGCATAGAAAGTAAAGCATAACTGAAATTAGACTTAAATGCTAGATATATGCAGCGTACGTATGTAAACCTTTTTCTAGTTTTAATTTGTAACAGAAATTTCAAAGTGATATGGGATGACATATGCAACTTCATCAGTGGAAATGTGTTGTTGCATCTGTGGACACAAATATTTATACTTTGCACAAAAACCTTTTTCTTTTAGGCAACAGTAGTTTCTGAAAAAAGAAAAGAAACTATCCAAGAGAAAGCATGCCTGGATGATCCACACGTCATTTAGACAGAATCATTCACAAGCAACTTCCATGAAGCTTAACAGATAAAGGCAATTGAGGCTTTAAAACTTAGAAAGCTTTAGTATGACGATCCATCTAAAAAAGACACACCCTATTTGAGCATTTACCAATAGTGCTAGATTAAAATATAAGAATATACTAGTTCCAGCCTATAAATTGCTTTCGTGTTGTATCTCCCAGAAGCCGTTGGTAGCATGAGACACTTCTGGGCATGTCACCAAGTAGTTAATTGTGCTGAAGTTCGGGGTGTGGAAGGGATCCAAATTCCAAATAAACTAGAGGGCAGCCAACCAATTAAAGAACTTTACCTATCTTTTCTTCTATCAAACCCTGAGAAGTAGACCCTTCAGGTTCTTCTAGGTCTTCCAACTTCTCAGTCCTGCACCTTTTGTTCCTGCAAGTTAAATTTAAAGTCGCTTACTTTAACCAGTGAATTTTATAAACAAAAAGGAACAGAGGCAGCAAGTTCAATTCAAATTTCAATGATATAATCAATAAGATGCTAAGATTATCAATCCTCAATTCTATCAAGAACACAACCAAATAGCCACATAATTCATTACCATAGTAGCTGTCAGAACAAAATAAAAAATATCTTTTAATATTTCCATGAATTTATTTTAGTATATTAACTGATATCTATCTATGTATCTATCCATCTATCTATATAAGGAGGATTCAATCAAAACCCATATCATAAATTTATAGGAACTCAACCAAGGAAAAGCCTATGCTCTGTGCATCCTTTGAAAAAGTCATGGAGCTCAAAACTAGCAGACTTTCATGTAACAAAAGCTAATGTTCCTAGAAAAATTAGTGACTCTGATAACTCAAACAAAATTAGAAGTTTAATATTTCTAGAAAACGCACCTCCGACTGTCAAGGTCGTCATCATTATCATCATCATCGTCATCATTATTATTAGCATCAACATCAGCTTCTTCATCTTCATCGTCTTGTTCATCGGGTGACGAACCTGAAGAACCGACTTCCAGCTCAGCATCAAGCAATGCGGCAAAGTCATCGCTGCTAGACGAGTGTATTGGGGAATCAGTTACGAAACTCATCTGCAAAATTACAGAGCCAAATAAAAAACTCCTTAATTCAAACATTCACGTAAAGAAGAAATTTTTTTTTTAAAGCACGAATAAATTTATCCAACATAGGGGAGATCGATGTAATTCATACCTTAAGCAATGGAAAAGGGAAAATAAATGAGATAAAGTAATTCTTGACAAAAATCACTGAAACTGTAACTGTTGGTTTTTGAGTGCCCCAATCTCAAGGCCCCCAGTAACTCTCCCCTCTCCCTAGTTCGCTTTGTGTTTGGCACAACCGAATTTTGGTTTGGGGCAGGTTTTTTATTTCAAAAAATAAATAAATAAATAAAAGAATAATAAATCGGGAACGGAGAGACTCGAAGGGTTGGGCTCTTAATTAGTAGTGGGGCCTAATAAGCGAGGGAAGAGTTAAAAACCTTTAAGGTGCCTTCCCCGGCCCTCCGTTGCCCTCGGCATATACATAAACAATATACTTTTTATTTGTTTAATTTTTTATCTATTCATTAGAAAATGTATTTATATTAATAGATTGACTAGAGAGATCAATTTAATAGTATATTAAAAATAAAATTTTCATTATATATATATGCTAAGATAATATCATAAAAATAGGTTTCCAATCTAGTTATATGTTTATCATAAATAATTTTTTTTCTGTTACTATTGAGATTGGAAAGTTACATGTCATTATAATTTTTTTATTTTTTAGAAAATTTGTGAAATTTATGATCAATTCGCAATCTTATATAATGGTCCACAATCATTGTTTTTAAAATCAATCCCATACGAAGGGCCTACAATCCTGGTTTCAAGACTGTCCTTCCAAACCATGTTCACCCCGGCCTCGTGGTTTAGGTTTATGCATATATTTTTACTAACACGTGCTAATAAACCTTTTACAAACAATCTCTTCTAAAGTCAAATACTCTTATCAAGGGAATCTTGAAATGCAATATTAATTCTACTCGACTAAGCATTGTATCTTAAAAATAACATTTTAAAAATCCATTTAAACCATAATGAAAAACATGATTATCCTTGAGATGGTTTCAATCTTGAAAGCGTCTAACCTATGATTTTTTTTTTCTTCTTCTACATCGGTTAAATCATACAACAAGACTTCCCCTAGAAATTCCAACAAAATATCATATCCTTCATATTCCAAGGAAAATATATAGGTGAATGTAAAAATCTGTGTACATCTGAAAGCCAAAAATCAAAATGAGGTCTTAACAAATGTTGAACAAATGTTGATGATGATGATGCATAACTAAGGGTTTCCTCTGTACAGAGCAACGAATGCTGGCATTCAAATTGTTCCACAGCTTTATCAATACTTTATGATAGTAAGCTCTGCGGCAAGCACCGAGCAAACTATTCTGTTGTAATTTTTCCAAATAAAATCAACATGCTGCTGAGGTGATTTCAAAAGAAATGTACAATGATGTTACATAACTTACAAAATTAGGGGGAGAAAATGCCTAAGCTAGGAAGCCGCTTAAAAATGACCAGAAACAAAAACACAAAACAAAAAAAAGGGGCCAAATTATGAAAAGACAAGGCCAATAATAAACTAACAAATCAGACATGGGATAGCTAGTATACCAAGAATGACACTAAATGTGGGGAGCTAATTTACATTTGAGGGTATATCTAGGGTCGCCTTAGGAGCATATATATAAAAAGGGAGTAAAGACAGCAAACTCTCACCTGAAAAGCATAAAGCTAACTATGATTTAGTAAAAGGTAGAATTTGAATAAGTACTCAAGGATATAGAGAAAGCTTTGAAGAATCTACAGTTCAAGGTCAAGAACTGGTTTTAGTCTTCTTTCGACTTCACTGCTTTGTAGATTAATCTCCTCAATAATCATAGATAAAGCAGTTTTGCAGGATTCATCATCCCTGAAAGCTAAGGTCCATCTCCCATCAACAAGAGTTTTTATCCTCATTTTCCCAAACGTGCCGGATTTAGGAGGATCCAAAAAGGGTAATGTTGAAGGACGAATCCGTAAGTGTAGCCATCTTGAATGCTTATCATCAATTCTAGGCTGAAGATAAAGGACAAGAAACAACTCATTACTTTTGAAGACATTAGCCCAATCACAGGTAAAAAAAAAAAAAAAGGTAAGAATGACATGGTATTCAACCTCATAATATTCAACCCTAAACCAAAAAAAAAGAGTTTGGACTACTTCAGGTTTCAAATCACTCAAGTTTTGGTTGTTGACTTTTTTAGGTTAATTCAAATCCAGGTAAGTTTTTTAATTTAATTAAAATTTAAAATGAGGAAATAATACATATTATGCTCAATCTAAGTTTTAAGCTACTTTCAAATTGAGGTCAGCCTCCCGTTATGGTACAGGTTGATTCAGGTCTAAGTCAAGTTTGGTTATTTTTCAGTTTTGGTTTGGTTTGGTCAGGTTAGGCAGGTCTTTTGTGCTAGGGAGCTGTTGCCAGCTCTAGACTTGAATATAAGATATAACAAAACCAAGCTTAAATCCTTCCCAGTTCCCACCCTCACTAATTATGCTAAAAACCAAGGCTGTTATATCAGATAGGAACTAAAATGAAGAATAAATGGCACATGCAAAAGCATTCAATCAAGTGCACACAAGTTCTACAGCATTTAGTAAGAAATACACAACAGAAAATATAGCTGAGCTTACATTTGTACCAGCCAAAGGTGCAGTAACACGTACAACTCCATAATGCTGCTTCAAGGGTAACTCTTCAGCAAGGAGAACCCATCCCAATGTGCCCATAGAAACTGCTAGAAAGCAGAAATGACGTTCCTTGCCCCTCTCAAAAGCAATCCTACAAGGCAGTGCATGAACTGCAATAGCAGTTACCAGAGTCAGGGAATAAGAAATATTGATTGTGTAATTAGAACATGTAAGAAAGTATCTGTAAAGAATTGAAGGCAATTGAACAAGGAAAACACGTGCAACACACACACACACACACAATTACTTATAAGCCAGTAGTACAAGAGACAGAACTGACCAAGTCTTATTTCAGTGCCTGGCTTTGGACCTGAAACATCCAGACCAGCTGTCCTGGCACGGGATATTTCTGGGATATCAATTGGGGGAAGAATAGGAGGCTGCTCAGGCAGAGCCCTACCGAGGGAGAAAATTTGAAGTTGATGAAGAAGTACAAATACCTAAGATAGAAAGGTTAGAAATATTAGAAACCTAATGCAATTAGAATGCTATAAAAGCACTACAAAGGGGAAAAAAAAGTGCACTATTAAATATTGTGCTGAAAAATATTAATGCAAAGTTCTTGTTTTCTTCCCTATCTAATTATTCAGGTGTATACATGTTTAGACCAACTGAGGAGGAAAGCAAAAGAAAAGGCCATTTAAGGTAGCAGACTCTAACATTAAACATCATGCATGCCATAGGATTCACATTGTTACAATGTAATTTGATTTATTGTATCAAAATAAAAGATACAGAGAAAAAGAGAATATATACAAACCTTTAGAAGTTCATTCATCCTCTCACCAGCAGCAAAGGATGATTCAGCAGGAATATCTGTACATGCAAGAGGTAAATCAATGAATATTCCACATTCAAGGAAAAAGAAAAGAAACAAAGAGCACAAAAATAGGTTCAACACCATCCAATTTTTGAACAGTAGTCAATCCTACCTTCAGAATTCAATTTCTGAAATGGCAATAGTATGCACTTGGGCTCCTTTCTAGGGGATGAAGCCTCAATAGCTACAATAAACAGCGCTAGTCAAAAACTTAACAACCAAAATCACTATTTACAGCATTAACTTCTTAGAAGAATACCTCTTTTGCATTTTTTCCACTCATCACAAAGCACTGTTATAAGTAGATCAGGCCAGATTCCTTTAGTCTCCTGCAGAAGAATGCTTGTGCAGTTCCTATATGAATCCTGCACATAATAAGAATGTTCACTAATAGCTCATCACCAAAAGAAATTTTACTATTATAAATTTTAAAAAAAAAAAACATACTAAGAAATGTTCACTAGAATCATTTTTTAACATGCTATTAGTTACTTAGTAATTATTCTATTACATATAGTGGGTCTCAATGTAGTATCAGGGAATTTGACATTTAAATTATCATGTATTCCAAGATTAGATAACCAAATGCTTTTGGCTACCATATCAATCAACAGCCTCATCCTACCTATTAAAATACGGAGAGGTAACATTTTTATCTCATGAGTTCTGGATAAGGAGACAAAAGCATCAAATTTAGGAAGAAATGAAAAGGATTAACCAAAAGGAACTTTAAAGTGAAATGTAGGATTTTAAATTATTCCAGTATTTACTTCTCAACCCAAAGCTGTAATCATGATGATAAGTAATAATTACCATTCATTAATAATGTCATGGAAGTTTAATATAAATCAGACTATCATAATAGCATTTCTTAAATTTGAGGCTGCAATACGATTCCTAGTATATCTTGTATATTCAGAGAGATATCACTCACCTTCATCAATTTAAGATGATGGCTTTTGAACTCGGCCTCACTATAAGGAAGCAATTGGCGCAAAAGCCAACCACCATCCCACAAAGTTTCTGCGGATATATTTGACCGGCAAAGAAGATTGACCAACGCATCAAGTACCTACAATAAATTGCACTTCAAAATTATTATGATTTTTATATAATGCTGAAAGAAATTTGCACTTTTTGACTTTTTTCTCTTATGTTATTATTTTTTCACTCAACAAATATTATTTAAAGTAAAAATATGGATGGTCAAGGTGGTGATGGTTTTAGGAATTCTGAAGTAATACTTCATGCATAATATGTTTTTTTTTTTTTTCATCCAATTAAATCATCATTTTTATATTATTAGTTAGTAACCATGTAACTTTATGCAATTATATTGATGGATTAATGAAATTTTTTTGGAACAACACTCTAATGAATACATTGGTTGCTTAATAGTTTAGAAAGTGTAAATCTTAATTGTGATTGTTTGGAATATAAATACTCAAAATAATTTTTTTTAGAAAAATTGTTACTGTTAATCTTTTTGAGTGGTTAAGTTGTTGATACAATTAATACATTTATTAGTTAACTTTTACCATATATATATATATATTTAAAAGAAGCTTTTGATTCAGAGATTTCTTTTTAAATCTAACAATCTATTTATTATTTATATCTAATTTTTCATTAATAAATAGGATAATGGTCAAATTTATGACTCTGCTAAATTAGGGGATCCATATTTACAGCTTAACATTTTTTGGGGTGCAATGGTACCACTACCATTAAAAAATGGATGTTGACCATTAAGTGAGGACCTGGTTTTTTTTTTTTTTTTAAATAAACAAATTGATATGTTGAATTAAATTAAACAATAAAAAGTGACATGCCAGAAAGGAAGGGAAAAAATGAACATTTTTTTATATTTTCCTCAAAAATGTTTATACATTTTAATGTTAAAATACATAAATATTTATAAATTTTTGTACAAATATAAAATAATATTTATAAAAAAACTTGGTAGCCTTGTTAGCATTTCTTTGGGAAAAAAAAAACAATTATTTCTACGTTTATTTAATCATTGCTATTATCCTTAGTTGGCATTTGAAAATTAATTATTATTTTATTTTTCTTCAGAAAATTAATTAATTATTATCTTTTTCATAGAAGTAATGATAAAATTGCACCAAAAATGGGGTTAGAGTATAACAAAAATATGTAGGGTGGTCAATTTGGAGCCCTGAATTTAGTGAAGTGAACATTATCTCTCAATATTTTTATTTTGCTTTCAATCTTAGCATATATTCTTTTATCATAGACCACAGTAAAGTCTGGAGCTATAAGCTTGTTTTCTGCCAATAAAGACTTGATGGATTGTCCCACTGATTCTTCTCCTCTACGTCAGTTTCTCTTTTAACAAAACTTATTACTCAGCCGAAAAGGAAGTGCAACTTTTTTTTTCTCACTTAGAGAGCTGATTCCTCTGGCCCAAAAAAAAAAAAAAAAAAAAAAAAGGAGAGCCAATTCCTACTTTTTAATTTTCAAAAATGCAAATCATATATAATAATACCTGGTTTCTATGTATACAAGGGCTTGCTCCTGCTTCTGCGACAGAACAAGACACTCCATATTGTTCCTGTTGAACATTGAAGGAAAAGGAAATTACACAAAAATAAAAACTTTGGTTAAAAACATAAATTCTTTCCCCTCAGGAATATAGAGCAATGAGCAGCTGTGAATGAACTAAATCCAAACTCAAGGTTTTCTCCAAGAATGTAGATGATGCGGGAGAGGGTTATACAGATAGAATTAAATAATTTAGAGATTTATTTCAGTCATTTTTTTATAGTTTTTCTATCTCCTTATTGTTCACCCTTTCTCTTCTCTGTACTCTTTCCCACTATTTTATCCATGTTCTCCGTCTTTTCTCCACTTTCTCCCTACTCTAGTTTTCCTTCCCATGCTGCATAAAAAAAAACTTAACTAAGATAAAGTAAAACATATAAAGTCCTTAATAATTAACTAGACCCAATAGATCACAATCAAGCTTATTAAGATAATACATAAAAAAAAGCCCACAATACCACCTACATGGCTATACCAAGATTAAACGAAATTCATAAAGTAGTAAACCAACAACTAATGAACTACCAAGAAAAATTTCTCTTAGATCAAACAAAAGCCCACCATGACCCTAGCCTGGGCTACCAAAGAGGATAACTTTTATCAATTCACACTCTTGATGAGGTATCAAACAAACCAACATAGAAACTGTTCTTTGCATGAACCAATCTAAACGAATTAACAAACATTAAGAAAGAAAATTGTTCTCTTTATCTACCTTTTTTTTTTTTTTTGCACTCTTTCTTTTTACTTTCATTTAGGGGGTAAAGAGAGAGAGAGAGAGAGCAGGAACAAAAGAACAATACCTTCAACTTTTGCAGATATCCATCAAGCTCACTACAAACACCATCTCTTAGAAAGCCACTTTCAGAAGAGAAAAGCTGCTCTTCACCTGAGTCCTCACCAACCAAAGCTTGCTGCCCAAATTCAACGCAAAAGTTCTACAGTTCAATCAATTAGATAAAGGTGGAAGAATTTCCTAAAAAAGCAATTAGGCACAGAATAACAAAGAAATATGCTGCCAAGTTTTTTATTTTACTTTTAGACATCCATTGATAGGTATCAAATTAATCTTCATGAAACTTTTTTTTTTTTCAAAACACTTGCATCTGGTTATGCTGTCAAAGCAAATGAGACATTATTGGACCATCTGACCATCCTTGAGGACTATTTAACCATACAGTCACCTATGAGTTTTCATGAAAAAAATCTAAGGAAAATAGGCAATCTTTTAGTAATGAGATGCAAAAACCCCACTATTCCCACTGAAGATAATGACTAACATTAAAACTTACCAGCAAGAGTTTTTTGTGTTGTTTGCGTTGAGGAAGAATGCCAAGAACATCTAGCATTGATTCATCCAATTCTACAAATATAAATATTCCATAAGAAACTAGCAATAGAAAACAAATGTATTGATAAGAACTTCACCATTATTACCCTTTGTTTGCAACAATGTAGCCAACACACTCAAGGAGCCCAGAGCTTGTACATCATCTCCATCAGTGACATATGAAAGCAAAGTCTCCCTACACATAGTATGCATGCGAAGTTCACAATTAGACTATATACAACACATAAACAGTTAAGAAAAATAATCTAAGTACCAACAAAGAAGGCAGCACAAGAACAACCTGCTAATAGTTGTCATCTACATTAAGACTAAGTTCAAAATGTAAACATATTTTATCCTTTTAACAAAAAAAATCCAGAAACAACAAAAGACTTACATAAAAAAACTATAACAAGAAACAACAAATATTTTAACTTTTGGATGGTAATTAATCACTCTTGATATAATGTTACTTAATAAATGTTTAATAGTGATAGAAAACAGAGCAGGAATAGAAGACCTTTATTCATGAGGAATTGGCTGTAATTAATGAAAATATTTTACCTCAAAGGCAAATGTGAATGGGAAAATTTCTTTTTTGTGATAATGTCTTCAGGTTGAACTTGTGAAGAACTAGCCTTGTTTGGTATATCAAGACATAATTGTCCAGCATTCACTGAGGTAACACTATAAATGTCTGGTTCTTCATTTTCAAGTGCACAATCATTTCCAGAAACAAAGCCATTGAGTTTAGTTTCAGACTTTGCAGCAAAGGCCTCTAGCGGATATAAAAGAGCTACAGCAATGGTGTTTGCCAGATCCCTGATTTTCACAATGTGCAGGATGCAACAAAGTAGATACAAAGAAGTGACTGCACCAATCTTCACGTTCTATATTAGGAGGGTAACAAAAATTAAAGAAGAACAGACAGCATCAACATAAATCAAATGTCAACTTTTAAATCACAAAAATACCCCTACATCCAGAATTTTTTTTTTTGGTTCATTAAACACCCAGAATGAAGAAAAAGAGAAAGTTTCATACACTGTCAGCATCTATTTGAAGAGCCGGAAACAGCAAAGGAATTATCAAAAGCTGCAAAATGTTGTCTGTTATTAACCTCCCAACAACAGGAATCCCAGCAGAGATAACATCACTAAAATAGTAAAGATTGTCCTCAATTTCATCCACAGTAGCAAGTATTGCAGAGACTGACTCTGAGCATGGGTTTCTGTCTTAGTCACAAAACCATACATGTTAGGAAATAAAAGGCATTCTGTTGTTTTCACAATAAGATTGTTACTCAGATACTTACTTTGGACATTCAGAAACCAATTTGCTTAAATTGATGCACTGCTCCCGGAAAAATGAGACCAAGTTTGAAAAATAATCAGAATGAGGGGCACTAGTTACGAATTTATTGACAAAATCATCTCCAACTGAACCCAAAAAGATGCATTAGAATACAAAATTCTTTGCACTAACAGATAAATGTATTTAGAATGGAAAAAATAGGAAAAGAAAAGAAAAGGAACAAAAATAAAAAAATAGAAACCCACCATGATAAACATTCAGTGTTAGCGCACGCACTGCAGTGCGAACCATGCTTTCTTCATGAAAAGCAAACCGTACAGCCTCAACATACAATGGGAAAGAAACTACTTCTTCCTAGAAAACAAATGAAAAGTAGAAGTCACATCAAATGAGAAATGCAGAGAGAAAAAGAAAGAGAGACAGCAGTTTTTAATGGGGGCTAAAATATAAATAAATAAATAAATAAAGCACATTTTACAGGGCAACATATTCTATATATACAAAAGAGAAAAACTTACATCCTGAGTCTTTACAAGCAGAGAAACTGTATTCTTGTTTAACTTTCCACTTATTGCTCTTCACAAACACAACATGCAATTGAAATACCATTGTTAATAAATAGTTTTCAAGACTTAGAGGTTAGGAAATTAACAAAATGAACATACAGAAGTCACTTATAGTGATGAGGAGTACTAAAAGAAGAGAAAACAAACCTTAAGAATGATATATAGTAAGAAAGTAGCTCTTCATTGCGGAAGTCAAATGAATAAGTTATTAGGTAGTTAACATGTTCATTACTGAACATATAGTCTGCAAATTTTTCACAAGGAAGATCAATAAAATCATCCATCAGTGTTAGAATCAACTACAAGGATTAAGGACCAGTGAAATTTAGTTCCTTCTTCAACAACCAACTTACAAATGGCATGTTCACTTTTTAGGTTTTGGATCAAAATGCTTATTGTTTGAAGTAACTGAAGAGAAACAGTCACAGTTTTGCTAACATTCAGTATACGTATGAACTCTCCCATGACTTGCTTCTCCATGAAAAACCTGCAGGGAGAATGTATTAGATAGATGCACTGAAACCAGAAAGGTGAATCAAGTAGGTATTAAAGCATCAAGAAGCCTCACTCAAAAAAAGACGAGTCATGCTGGTCACCATATGTCAACAACTCCGCAATAGATCTCAAAGCCTCAATAACAAAATCCTTCATGACGAATAAAAATATGAGGGCAGACAATAGATGGTAAACTACAACTGCAGTAACAACAATAGTAGAAAGTATGAGGGGGTTAACAAAAATATTTATTACCTTATTAACTTCATTAACAATTTGAACTTTCTGCAGCTGGTCTGTTAAATATCTGCACGCTAGGAAACAAACGATTAATCTAAAAGCACAATTTCAAAGATACAAAACTGCAGCCCACATTTCCAGAGCAATCAAGCTGCTCTTCTAACCTTGTCTTATAAACATCCATATTTATTAGTTACAAAGTTCTAATAACTATTCATTTAAGGGATTCAAGAGCTGAGATTCAATCAGAAATATTACATGCTTGTTCAAGGAATTTCAAGGCAACCTTTTCACTATCATCGAAGCTATCTGACTCTTACCAATAGAAAAGAAATAAAAACGACATTAGAATCATTGCGATTAGGATTGATGTAACATGCCACATTTAATTCTCTGTTTGGTTGTCAATTTCACTACATTGCTTTTTGTTTCCTTTAAAATTACTGTAAAAATCAAAGGCAATTTAAAAAAGAAAAATAAACATATTTGATTAAGAAAAAAAAGGAGCAAATAGCAAAAATTTTGATCTATATCAAGGAAACGCACTTTTTAATCTTTTTTAGTCCCCGAATTTAAATTCTTTTGTAAGAAAAAAAGTAGCAAAACAACAACCAAAAGAAGCATAATATAAAAAAGATCGAATCATTACTATCAATTTCTTCAAATAAGTTTCACTACAGAATTCATGAGAAATTGCCCAAACTAAGCTCAAATTTATCTACTAGATGAAGTTAAATTGTTGAGAACGATTAGATAATTAAATCCCAAAAATTACTAAAGAATGGGTATAAATTAAATGATTAAGAAAAGAAAAGAAAAGAAAAAGAGAAAACCTGAGTTCGTCTAAGGAGAATCGATCTCTGGATCTCCAAAAGGAAAACCACATGATTGGTACCTCAAACTTCAGAATTTGGCTCACCACAATTCATTCTTGCTCCGCCGTACAAGTCATTCCCACTAATTTCATAGCCCCGCCCCCCCCCCCCAAAAAAAAACAATAAAATTTGCTTCAATTTCCTCAACTTTTGATCAAAGTAACTTCAAGGGATCCCGATCGAAGAGAATTTGAGTTAGAAAATCAAGAAAAAACACTTCTATTCTTGTAATTCCTTGCCGAGAAGTGGAATAAAATTGAAGATATGCAGGTGGCTTGATATTATTATTACTTCAGAGTTCTTCTTTTTTTTTTTTTTCATTTTAATTTTGCTAGAGATGCCGGGACAGCCTTTGATGGAGGTCGAGCTGGCATCGGTCTGATTTACGATTGTTGGCCCAGGCCCAAGACTCAATTGGGTTTCTTTTGATTCTTAAGTTTATAATTGAAGCCCAAAAAAGAAAGCACGCGGAGCCTAACTCAAGCTCCGCTTGACCAGTCCGTTATCATTTCTTTTTATTTTTCCTTTTTGATTTTTTTTTTTTGTTTATTTCAAACGCTTTGCCGATATTGAACAAATTTTAGATTTTCTTTTTACTTTGATTGCTTTTTTTTTTTTTAAAAGTAATAATAACAAATTATTATTGTATTTTTTATACAACATATAAGACTTACAATTAGTAAAGAAATAATTTGAACTCATGAGTGGAAACTGCCCTTGATGATGTAGATTTACAGCTTTTTCCGGACATCCGTCTTGGATCATTTGTTGTTGCTGTGGAATATTTGCAGGCTTTCCAAAGAAACCATCTCTAGAACTTGAACCGATAAACCTCATATCATCTTGCTGATTATGATTATTGTGACTGGCTAGGATTTGGGAAACTAGGATTTGAGAGTTTCGGGTTTAAGGGGTTTTAGGAAAAATCTTTTAAATCTCAAAGGTGAAAACTTAAGCTCATTAGAGGTGACAGCAACGATAAATTTAGATTTTTAAGACTTGGTTTCTTTTAAATTTTTTGTAAAAAAATTAAAGATTTCTGAAGAAATTTACAACGAAAGATCTGTAGAGGAGTTTCCGAATAAATTTTGGTGGCATTCTAATGTCGATGAACGGTGGTCAATGACGAAATTTAGGTTTGAATGGTTACCGTCTGTTTTAATGAATTCTTGGTTTGATATCTTGAATTTTGGGAATTTTTTTATTTCGAATTAATTCAAAAAAATTTAAAGTGTAAAAATGACGTGGATAAAAAATCATGTCATATTATTTAATTCACATTAATTTTTTTTTAAAATCTATCTGATCAAAATATCAGATCATTTTAGTTAACGGACATACCAATTAATTAAATACTATATCAACATATTTAATAAAAAAAAAAAAACAAAATTGGTGATTACATTAAATTTATTAAATTAAAGTAATATAAAAATTAAATTAAATAAATTATAATAGAAAGATTTATTAGAGTAGACGGATTTGCGGCAGAATTTGACCATTTAAGATATGTTGAGCTGAGGTTAAAAAAAAGATAAAAGGTTATTGTAGAAGTCACCCGTTGGTCATATGTATGATTTTATTTTGATTATTACTAGAAGCAAAGGAAAGAACGACATTTGGTCAAAGCTTTCCTTTCGCTAAGACTTAAGACAATGGAGTTCACATAATAGACGCGTCAAAGAAGCGGAAGGAAGTATAATTACAATAAATAAATAAAATTTGGAAAGATCTAATTACTTTAAAAAAAAAAATGGAAAGAACTTCGTGAGAAAATTATTTTATTTACTATTTTATCATTTATTTAATCCAATTAGAAGAAAAGCGAATATATATTTTGGGACAGCCGCTTGTTAGAAATCCCGTAGGAGAGGAGATAAAACAAAGGAAGAACAGAGGAGGAGAAAGAGAAAGAAAAGGACGAGACACGAACGCAAAACTAAAAAAAAAAGGTAAAATTCGATCTACCGTTTTCACGTATTCCAATTCCCGTTTCTTTCCATTTTCTTGCGTTGGAATTTCATTTCTCAAGCTCATTTCGATTTGCCCATTTTCAACTAGAATTTCTTATGATTTGGCTTCTCAATTCTGAGTAAGATTTAGATTTAAGAATTGTCCTACCAAATCCAGATTTTAATATATTTAAAGACCCGTAGCACATTTTTTTAAAAAATATAAGAATTTTGTATTTATTTCCAAGTTTCAGATTCGCTTTGAATAATTTTGTGCCAAATTAATATTATCTATATGTATTAATCGCCTTTTAGGTATATAAATCGTGTAAAGTTAGTTTGTTGCAAATCATGCATTTTTTTTTAAAGAAAAGTTCTTGGTATTGTTGTTTTTCAGGTTTTGTGTCTCCTATAATTGAGCTTTGAAGAGAGAAAATCAATGGAATATGAGAGTAACAATTGGATTTGGGATGGGGTGTATTACCACCCACATCTCTTTGGTGGCCTAATGCTAACGGCCGCCTTGCTCGGTTTGTCCAGCACTTATTTTGGTGGAATTGGACTTTTCCCATTGTCATATGTTTGGTCAGATTTAGGGATCTTCCACAAGAAGAAGCGTGAGAAGAGGGGCATTCGGGTTTACATGGATGGATGCTTTGATCTCATGCATTATGGCCATGCCAATGCTTTGAGGCAAGCTAAGGCTTTAGGAGATGAATTGGTGGTGGGTGTTGTGAGTGATGAGGAGATTATTGCTAATAAAGGCCCTCCTGTTCTTCCCATGGAAGAGAGGTATTCACAGGACTCCTTTCTTTTTTTGAGTTCTTTTTTAGTTTGGTATTTTGATTTCATAATCTCTACTTCATTTGTGCCTTGTTCTATTTTGTGTTTTACGCATGTTGACACAGTTCTGTTTTGGATCATCATTAATTGTGTTTATGTTTTAATCACATAGAAAGGATTCATAATATCTCGGCTTAGTGATAGAAATTTTGAAGACCAAGTACAGCTCAAGAGGATATGACTTCCTCAACATGTGAAAGAATAAAGTAATTGAAAGCAAAACAGTAAGAAAATAATATATATCCAGAGATGAAGTGCAAAATAAAGAAGCCAAATAAATAATTATTGACAAATTGGATCTTAGTAGAATTGAACCTTCACTATTTCATGTATGCATGTTGCATTAGTTAATGAACAAGATGGATTGTAGAGGTTAGTTATATGGTGCAACAATTTTGTTGACAATAGCATGTATTTTAGATGGCTGTATACGTTAGATCTGTTCTTTGCATCCGAAGTGATATATATCATGTAATAAAATCCTGAACTTTCAACTTAATTCAGCTGTGTGTTGGTGTTCCCCTTGAAGGTTTGTTTGTCATACTAGCTCCTCTTGGTGAGATTTTGTATTTAATTTAGTGTTATTGTTCCATGGATCTCATTGGAAGTTCTCTCCAGACTGGCACTTGTCAGTGGATTAAAGTGGGTGGATCAAGTAATAGCAAATGCCCCCTATGCAATTACTGAGCAATTCATGAACAGTCTGTTCAATGAGCATAAGATTGACTATATAATACATGGAGATGATCCTTGCCTTCTCCCAGATGGAACTGATGCTTATGCCTTGGCAAAGAAAGCAGGCCGCTACAAGCAGATTAAGCGTACTGAAGGTGTCTCCAGCACGGATATTGTAGGTACTAAAAATTTTCTTCAGATATTTGTTCAAGATTCCTTTGGTTGGAGCCCCTTCATTTACTAGCTTCTGTAAATTTTGTGCTAAGTATAATATTGTTTCTAATTATTTCACAAATTATATTTACATAGGAAGAATACTTTCTTCTGTAAAGGATAGTAAAGGCGTTGGAGATAATAATAGCACACTTTTGAATGGAGATTCGGGTGAAAGACATCAGTTACAAAGGGGTCAGATTTCCCAATTTCTACCAACATCTCGGAGGATTGTGCAATTTTCCAATGGCCAGGTACTAATACTATTTGGTTTCACTTTAGTTATTAGCCTGAAAAGAAAAAGGAATGAAAAATGACTACCACTTGAAAGAGCATAAGCAGTGTATGTTTCCAAACATTTTTTTTTCTGTCTATAGACACTAGGTAAAAGAAAAGGTAATTTATTTCTATACCACATAAAATTGAAAAAGGTGATTTATAATATATGTATACTTTTCCACAGAAGGTTATAAGAAATACTGCCACAGGAAGTATTAGTCCTGAAAGAATCATCTGATGTCATGTGAAACAAATTTCCCTTTGGCCATATTTTTGTGGATAGAAGGAAGAGAAACTAAGCTTTGTATTAGGGATCATCCACAAGTTTCTCCAAGAGTAGCTCATGAATATAGATCATGATAACAAATTATAATTTTAGGCAATGTGAACATGGAATAAAGCGTGCGATTTTTGAAAATCTGTCAACAAAAAAGAGTAATAGCCTCAAAACCTCCAAAAGTGCTTGGCGATCCTATTACAAAAGTGATACTAGTCTTGCCAAGTTTGCCTGGTAAAGGCATACAAAGTCCTATATTCTTATCTCTCCTTTGGCATGTTGATAAATGAACAACAAAAGATGATTTTATGACATCTTTCTTCAAATTAGAGTGACAGAATTAATCATTTGCGATAACAATTTTCTTGTTATGACCAAACTGGCCAGCTGCCCCTCCAACACATAATCCCCTCAACACTTGTTTTGTTAAAGATGTTTTGCATAAATACAACCAAGTTTCTATGAAAAGGTAACCATCATGAATGTAAAAGTCATGATAAAATGCTTGCTGCTTGATTAACGGATTAATATATATAAATGTAAATCATTTGCTCAAAAGATAATTTCTGGAGAGCTGATTTAAAACAACCTGTTGGCTGACTTGGAAGTATGCATATGGATCAATGGCCTGGTGCATCCACTTTTTTTCTCACTAATCACAATATTGTTCCAAAATGGCTGAAAGTTCTGTCATTTCCTTGTGCATTGGCTTCCTGCTAACATTTCTTGTAAAAAAATTGAGAGCTACTTTCTTCATTATCACAGTTCAGGGAGAGTGAGGGGGTATGGATTGTCATGAAGCAGATTCTGTTTTTCTTTTGCTTTCTTGCTTCCTTTTTCTGTAGTATTTGTTTGTGCGTAATGCGTGGTTCTCTTTCACTGTCATTCTCATTCAGTTTTTCCTCAGGGACCTGGACAAAATGCTCGCATTGTGTACATTGATGGGGCATTCGATCTCTTTCATGCAGGGCACGTGGAGGTATTACTATCCTGTTGATAGTAACTCTCACAACTGATTTTCTTGTTGGTTATGTTATTATGATTCCATAAACATGTGCCATATTGACAATTTGGTGATTGCTCTTCATCAAACCCAGGTTTTGTTTTTATAATGTTGCTGTAAGATAGGCATTCATCAACAGCTAATATCTCATTATAGCCTCTTTTAATGTACATTTTGTTGCAAATTGCAATACTTGAGCATAGCTTATTGTTAACTGGCTTGGCTACTGGCATCTGCACATATGAACTGAGTAGCTAACTGATATTTTTTATCTATGCTGATGATTTAGTAGCCCTTCTGAAATTTGAATCTTGATTATAATTTAATTGTAGGATGCCCCATCCTGTAATAAGGATCCTTTAGATATGCACCTTTTCTAGCAAATTTTAAACTAGAATGAACAAGCAAAGTGTTGTAAGAAGCCGGGGGTGTTAATGCAACTCAACCTATGTAATAATTTAGGTTGACACTATTATGTTATTCAAAGGTTATTTGTGTTGGAGGTAGAGGAGGGGATGGTGGGTGGGTGAAGGGGGATTAATTACTAAGTTAAAGGCCAGAAGTTCTAAAATTACATTTGTTAAATATACAATTTTACTCCAGATATAGAAAAAGATCTTCTCACTGTTGCTAAATTCTGTACTTCATTCTTTTGATTTAAGGGGTTCCCCAACAATGGAGTGAAGCAGCATGGTATATATAAGATTTAAGGTAGGAACTATTAGAAAGCTATAATACCCGATATTATCAAATCATAGATTACTGTTAGAAATCCCATTTGCTTTTTTGAATTGTAGTAGTCTTCCACATATCTATCAAGCAACTAACTCATCCCACTATGACACCATTTTGATATCTTTTGTTGTAACGTTGAAGTACGCTATATAATTGAGAATCATTTGCTCAATCAATAACATGCCAATCTGGACAGTGACATCCTCTGACTAATCCTTCAGGGAAAAGGTAAATGTATCCTCATTTATAGACGATGTTGCCCATAATTTGAAGGTGGTGTGATATATCCTCCTTCAATTAGCTGATATTATTTTCAAAGTCAAAATCAGAATATGTTTTCATATACTCATTGGTTAATTAGCAATAACATCACTTCATAAAAAAAAAATAGCAATAACATCAAGAAAGCTGATGCTAAGAAAGCTTGTGCAGGAACTTAAACTACCATTCTCACCCGAATCCTATGCAGTTTATGGACCACATTTCTTGAAAAGTCCTATGAATGCATTGTATGATCCTCTTGAGCATCAAGAAAGAAAACAGAAACTGAAATAAAAAGTTGGGGGTAGCTGCTAGAAATGTGCAGTAAGAGTTTGTGGACTAATCATTAGAAAAGGGAAAAAGAAAAAAAATTGGAGTAAGGAAGGAGGACCAAAATGCTGAGAGTGAGATTTTCCTGTGGCTAATGTTTGAATAAGCCAGAAGGAATTAAGAATATTAAACATATGGGCTTATGATTTCTGTTTGTTCAGAGAAGAGGAGACATGCCATTTTTTTGTGGGGCTTTTGTTTGGGGGTTTGTTTGTGTGAAAGAGAGGGTATACCATCATAAACTTGAAGAGCTGAAAATAAGTGGAGATAATTTGCGACCTATTGATCTATGTTAAATGGCACTTGTTTTTTCTTGAATAATAAAAATTCTGCAACTCATTCCATTTTGTCCATGTCCCTAAGCCATCTTTTATGTTCACTCAGATCCTCAAAAAGGCAAGGCAGCTTGGAGACTTTTTGCTAGTTGGTATCCATACTGACCTTATTGTGAGGTACTTCATTTAAGTTATGCTTGGTTTTTCTTCTGTCTGGTGTATCACCATTTAAATATTGTTGGAACATTTGAGTTTGGAAGGTCGAAAGTTAACGTTGGATATATGCCTGTACATCTGCTTATATCAATAAAGGATTCTATGTAAGAAATAACTTATCAGTCTCCTTTGCGTGCAGTGAGCACAGGGGGGTGCCTTACCCAGTTATGCATGTACATGAGCGCAGCCTTAGCGTGTTAGCTTGTCGTTATGTTGATGAAGTTATCATTGGTGCACCTTGGGAAGTCACAAAGGACATGGTGTGTAATTTCTTTTCTATAAGTTTAAATTGCTATGCCTATAAGTGGATGTAAATTATATTTCTGTGCATGAGAGGAGTGTATTTCCCTTTGACTAGGTATCTATTTCTTCGTAATAACATTCTGTGTAGCATAATTATTACCTTATTTGGTGGTAGAAAAAATGTATGCGACAATCTGTGTTTTGCTTGGAACATGTTTGTGGCTCCATTGTTATTTTTAGGCGAAGTGAGGAAAAGGGAAGGATGATGGATTGATCAGGGAAAATAAGTCTTAATTTCTTCTATTCCTAATTATCGTGATCCATTTTATCAAATTCTGTACAAAAGAATGCACCTAAATGTTAGAAACTAAATTTTAAATTGAGATAATTCTTGTTGGTTTAAGAATATATGCATCCTAGCCTTTTGAGCATCCTTCAGCTCATTGCCAGCTTATATGCCAAAGCATGTCCAATTGTCCATCCATTAAATACTTGTACCGATAGCACTTAATTATTTAGGTGTTGCTAGTTTCTGTGGCCAAGTGATGGTATAGCAAATTGCATCACCTCCTTTAAATATACAAGAAATATATGTTTCCTTTTTTTTAAGAAAATCTTATTTTCAGTTTGTTGTCAACTTATTGTGCATTTCTGTGCTCTCTACGGCTATGCTATTGGCAATTTGCAGTATTTGTTACTACTACTGCTATTCGTTTCTCACTCTTTAAAATGGGAATGGTGTCCTGAGGCTACTTTCTTTATTTTGAGCAGATTACAACTTTCAACATTTCTTTGGTTGTGCATGGTACAGTTGCAGAGAGCAATTATTTGTTGCCTGTAAGTTTTCCAACTTTCCTCAGATTTGTTTCAACTGTTTTGACCCCTTGTGTCTACGGATTTGAAAGATTTTGCTTCCTACAGGGTGAAACTGATCCATATGCGGTTCCTAAGAGCATGGGAATTTTTCGGTTGCTTGAAAGCCCTAAAAGTATAACCACAAGTTCTGTAGCCCAAAGGATAGTTGCCAATCATGAGGCTTACACGGTATTACTTACATTGCTGGATGACCTTATTGGGGTTCACATTTATTGTTGTTTTATGATGTCTAATTTTGGGGCTCATGATTTTCAATGTAGAAACGCAATGCCAAGAAAGCAGAGAATGAAAAGAAATACTATCTAGAGAAGACTTATGTTGCAGGAGACTAGCACATAGAGGTTTAGGTTAGATAGCAAGTGTGGTGCAGCTCTTCATGCAGCCTTGATCATTCATGTAGATGCTTGTTGAAGGCAAGAGTATTGAAAGATAGGAGGGAAGACATAACATTGAAAAACATCAATACCAGACGCTTCTAAGCGAACAGTTTTTATCTTTTATTATTTTCATTCAGTTTTCTGAGATATAGAGTTATCTTTTTAATAATTTGTTTAATACTACCAATGCTTGTAAACAATGTAATTAATGATTAATTTAAGCCTTGGGGCTCGTAATTTTATGTTCAAAAGCAAAGATACGGATGCTTACATTTAGCAGAGGAAGGATTTCCAGTTCCTCACATCAAAGTAGCGAGCATTTATCCCCCCCTCCCAGGTCACAATCTTAAAGCCCGAGATTAGGGGAGTGCTGACATCATAAAAGAAACATTGTCTTAGACAGAGTGGCAAAGCTTGACTGCTGGCTTTGGAAAGTGCAAATAATTTAACTGTATCTCCCGCAGAAAATATCGAATACGACAGGTATATTCATTCACTTAATTGTGTGCATGCATGCTTATTTGCTAGTAATACTATCAAAATTATTTAAAACTGGGCTTTATGCTGTCAGATTTTTAATCTCTGAAAGTTAATTTGTTGTTTTAGGCAAATCACGTATCTATTGCTTTGTTGTATGCTTCAGGACCATATTTATAAAATAATAATAATGATAAAATCGTTACCTAGAATAAAGAAGGGGAAAGCCATAGAGAACAAAAACGAAAGAGATTCACCCATGAACTCCTGTAAAGTGTTTATAAATTCCCTTTTCCCTCCTTCATAGACTTTAGTCTAGTGATAATATAGGTAGTTATAAGCTAACAGAAAAACGAAATAGCAAATATGGTCCTAATGCCCTAATACTTGGAAAATAAGAAAAAAATAGTTAATTTAAAAAAGCGTAAATAATATAAAAATATTAAACTCTTAAAACATAACAGAATAAAAAATGAAATTTCAAATCGAAACAAGTTTCCTACTTCTTCATTTTGTTTTCCATCCTTCATTTGCATGAATAACATATATAGCATAAATTTGCATTGTGATGGGTATGAGAAGCGTTAAGGGATATGATAACGTGGATTGGTCTCTTGCTTGTGATATGAGAACACCCAAAATCTCTTATAATATTAGCTAGCTAGGTGACTTGTAAAATCTGTTGAGATGAAAGATTCTCTACAGGGAAATGATAGTGAAAATGCAAAAAGGTGTTATGGGTAGAAAAGGGCAGATTTGAAGCAATTAATAGCAACCAGAGAAGGAAGGGAAAGGAAGGGAAGGGATAAAGATTGTAGGGATTCATGGCTTATTTTGAGGGAGACAAAAACAAAAAATAGTTTTTGCATGAAAAATGGTAAAATTCTCCTTTGTAATGATTTCCCTTAGAAACATTAACAGATATGATGACATGGAATCAGGCGACTGGCATCCAAGACAAGAATGCCAAAAAAAAATTGCCTCATGATATTCAGGTGATCTATAAAACTTTCTGGATGAAGATTCCTTGCGGGAAAAATAGTGAACTGAATTTGAAGGGATTCATTGACTTGAAAAAGATGAAGATGTGAACCAATGAAGAGAGACGGAGACAGCAAGGCATCCTGGATCAATCAGCTATACTGCTTTCAAGCCATGGTTGTCTAACCTACATGAACTGCAAAGTAAGTCTAAAATTCCAAAAATATGAACCAAGAAGAAACAAAAACAATAAGATATTGACATTCGCATTTTCCTATTGGAACTAATTTGAGAAGATGCAATAATCATACCTTGAGTAAATTTATCTCCTTCTCTTATATAATAATATAAATAGGCTATTCTGCTGTTCTCAGTTTTGATACTTGTGTAGTTGACTGATTCTATTAATAATGAGCTTGATGGCCAGGTGGGTGTTATATAACCTACTGATTCAAGAGGACATGATAATTTCATGTTTTGACGATTTCCATGATATATATGAAATGTTTGCAACCATCTGCGGTTTTTCCCTCCCCATGCTCTGATCGCTATATATATATATATATATATATTTATTTATTTATCTATTTGCAACTCAAATTCATTTTTTACTATTACTCAAGTTTAAATTAGAATTACAGGGTTAAAACTTTTTAACTCTCAATCTTTCCTTGACTGCAGCAATAAAGTGTAGCTGATGGCGCAGCATAAGCAGCGAAATACGGGAGGGAAGAATATCGAAAGCTGCAGCCTATGTTGGCAAGCCAAATGAAGCATGTTTACAAAATGGATTGTGATTCAATTAGATGTCATGTTTACAAAAGCTTCCAAGCTTTACTACCATGGATGTTGAAACTTTTAAGTCTTCCAAAAAACATGACTCCCATTAGAATTATCTTTCCCGCATCACTCCATTTTCCCGCAAATCCATACCATTTGTCCACACAATCATCCACTGCTTTTATCCGTCGCTTGCAACTATACCCCGTTGTAAACCCCACGTTTCCATAGGCGCTGCAACACAAGAATTATTTATTTATATATGATATTTACTTATCAATTATTTCATTTAATATATAAGAAAAAATAATATGCCGAGCATATTTTATGATGGATGGATTGTAAATTGTCTTTGACAACAACAAAATGAAATTGATTTAAAAGAAATGTTCGTTGCATAATTTACCCCAAATAATAAAAATATTAGGCTTTTCCTATTTAACTATGGATTCTCTTTAATTTATTTATTTATTTATTTATTTATTTTTATTATTATTATTATTATTATTATTATTATTCCGATGACTCGATTAATACCAAAAAAAAAAAAAAAAAAGACAGCATACTTGCGGAAACTGAAGTCTTCATTACCTGACGACTTCGACCACAATATTGAGTACGTTGAAATTGAGAGGATCGTCCTTCAACTTTCGCCTCTCGGATATGCATATTAAAATGACAAAGATGGCCAGATAAGACAGCTGCGACAATATTATGCTCTCAACTATCTTTCCCCTTGTGTTTATCTCTTTACTTGTTTCTGATGATGATGGATACTGCTGCTCATTCATCAATATGAATGATGTATAAGGAGGAAGATACCTGTACATATTTTATATAGACTGATCAAACAAATAAATTAATATTTCCAGTGCATATAAATATTTCCTTTAACTATATATTCCCAAGCTCCCATTATATTTTAATTTTTTTATTAATTTTTTTATCAAACCAATTCAATTTTAATTATTATTGATGACAACGGAGCAACTTCTAGTGGCGGTTCCGTTGCAACAGTTCTCGGATTTAGCATGGAGCTTATCCTTGGAATTTAATACTAAACATAGAAAAACGCAATTCTATTTATTCTTTTTCCTTTTTAAAAGTATTCTAAAAACTTTTTTTCTTTTAAAAAAGCAAGTTTTTAATAATTAATAGATAAAAAAGGAATATATAACAACAACAAGAAATAGCAATTAACAAACTAAAAGAAAAATATAGAAGGAATAGTTTAAAACATTAACTATAACTCAAAAGACTAATATACATCTCATTTTATAAAATTTCATGTTATGTTCGCCCTTCATTTGACAAGACCATCTATAAATTCATTCACCTCCCACAGTATGAGGATACTAAATTGATGTATAGCATTAGCTTAATGATAATTATATGTATTTTTAATTAAAAATTTTGAATTTCCATACTCAGTTTTCATAAAAATATATTTGATAAAAAAAATTAACTACAGAATATATTTTTGTAGTTATCCTTTTTTTTTTTTTCGTTTTTAATTTTGGCCGAGTAGTTTTCCATTAATTCATTTGCACCGTTTTAGCCGTGCTTTCTAAATACTCATTGCTTGCTTTTGCTGAAGGTATCGTAGGGAATGAATAAAATAGAAGATGAAAAGCCGCTAATATATAGCATAGCATTACATGCATCTGCCTTTTAAATATTTATAATAATAATATAGGCGTTTTTTGTGTTATTCTTTTTAATTATTTTTCGTGTCAAGAGAAAATGGTAGAGAAAGAGGGAGGGAAAGAGACTCACATCATGACGACCAGTAAAACCAGTATGGCCGGAGATATTATTGAGAGGTCGATGATGGTTTCCCCTGCATACCTTGAATTCACGCTCTGGAATAACAGGCCAACTATTTTCTCCGATGGATTCAGCCCTGTTACTGCCTCAGAGTTCCACTCCATCAAGCAAAACATGAGGATCTGAACCACAATGAACCCAAAAACAGTAACAACCAAAAACGATGAATGCCGCCTTGGAAGCAAGTGAGAATACCCTATTTCCTTTGTATTCTCCAGCAGATACTTGGAGTTGGACTCTACTTTTTTAACTAATTTCCCCACAACCCATATTGAAAATCTCAAGCAGGGTGGAAACAAAGTGTTTCCTAGAAGGACTTGAGGGATAAGTATTAGGAGGAGAAGTGAGTTTTTGCTGAAAACCATCATGTTTTCGTTTGTTGGAACAAAGCCGCAATTTGCAAAGGTTGAAACAGTGGTGAAAACAGAGAAAGTGAACAACTTTAGTCCCTTGCGTTTTAGAACTTCCCTTGCACTTGAAACAAGCGATAGGTAAAGAGAAACTAGAGCAATTCCTAATCCATTAACCACTAAAAGATACCATAAAACTACAAAACCCAAAAACTTCATTGACTGCAGGTGTTGCCCGTCGGAATTGTTCCTGTGATGAGGATCTTCGCCTGATTCCTTATTCTCGGAATCAGGTTTTCTCATCTCACCCGCCTCGTTTATTTCCTTGGAAGTAAAGTCTCCCGGATACGAGGAATTAGAAGACGTACTTCTAACACGGTCGGGAGCAACATTTTCTCCATCATTGTGGCGTACTTCCTTTGACTTGGAATTTCTCAAGAAAAATCCGGCCATGGAAGTAAACACCTCCCCACCTATAAACATCAAAATGGTAATAATGACAAGTTGGGAATTGGAGAAAACCTCCATTTCAACAGTTGACATACTTGAAACTGTTGCTGCAGACACAGAGGTGAAGAACAAATCTATATTCCTAGGTCTAAAAGATTCGGGTCTCGCCTTCAAAACCTTGAGAAACCAGAAACCAATAACAGAAAGCAAGACATAATAGCAAAGTTCAATCCAAAACAGAAAAAAACTTAATCTTTGATGATATATTGATCTTTTAAGACAAGCTAGTTTGAGACATGAAGCATGAAAATGTTGCATGTTTTTCCTAAAACAAGAAAAATTGATCATCATCTTTGCCTCTAAAGGAAAATAAGCAAGGTATAAAAAGAGTAGTATTTTGTTGTTTGACAAAACTTATAAAATGATTTAATAAAAATTTTTTAAAAAAATCTAAGTCAATAAATTGAAAGAATTTAATATAAAAATTAATAATATGAAAAAAATTATTAAAAATATTATTATATTTATAATTTGATAAATATTTATTTAACATTAAAAAATTTATTAATAATTTTATTAAAATATTTATTTAAAGATATATATATATCAAATTTTATGAAATTTTTTAAAATTTTACATATTTAATTTATATAGTAAAATTTTTTAATTTATTAATTTTACTTTTTATTTAATTACTTTTAATTAAAAATTTTACAAATTTTATTTAAAGAACTTTATCTAAGCCTTATATACATGGAAAATAAACGTGGGTTTGGGGGTATTTAACGGGAATATTTTGGTGGCATTGTTTGTGGTTTCGTAGGAGGCTGAGTTCTATTTATAGAAATGCCAAATGGCTCGCTGACCACCACTAGAAAATATTTTACAGAATTCCCTCTCACTAAACTATGCTAGGACTTGTCTGGCTTCATCGTGCATTTCCTATATTAAAAATATATTTAAATATTATTTTAAATAATAAACAAGCCTAATTAAGTTAGAATAAACGAGTTAAATCAGGCCTCGAACAAGGCCTTGAAAGTATCAACCGGATTGATCCTACCTATAAACATTTAAAATATAAATTTTTTAAATAAAATCATTTTTTTATAACTTATTAAAAATTTTTCATCAATTTAAATTGATAATGCATTTTAAAGTTCACTTACTAAATTTTTTCAACAAAAAAATATAGAATAAGTTATGTACATAAAGACCTACTTGTCCTTCAATACAAAAAGGAAAATTCTAAATGAATCCATGTTTTTGTTTTATACATTCTTATATTTTTTAAATTTTTTATAAGTAAAATTATTTAATTATTTTTCTTGTAAGTTTTTGGATATTTATCATTTTCAAAAAAAATTTAACACTTCTTAAAAATAAATTTTTAAAAAATAATCATAACACTTCTCAAAAATATATTTTTAAAAAATTATAATACTTTTCAAAAATGCATTTGGCTTCTCAAAATACAATTTTGAGAGAGTTAATTTAAAAAAATTAAAAGAATTATTAAAATTATTTGTAAATAAGTATAATAAAATTTTATTATTAAAAAATAATAAATTTTAAAACTAATAAAAAATTTACTTTTATTGTTTTGATTTTAGAGATGCACAACGTTCCTAAATCCGATAATTATATACTTGTTAATATTTTTTATGACATTTCAAATAGTAAGAAAAATTAAAAAAAAAATCACTATTATCACGTCCTAACACTCGCATGAATTTGAGAATTAATAGGAAGGGTGTTGAAAGAATTGGAACTAATTCAAAATTGAAAATTTTTTTTGACTAATATTGCATGTTTATGAACAAAGAGGTAATAAATTATTGAATATTACATAATTTTGTTAAAATCTAATATATTAAATAGAGAAATCTGTCGAGATAAGTAGATAAAGATATATTTTCAAAAAGTTCAGTTTAATTAAAATTATTATAAAATTTTAATAATTGATAAAAAAAATATTTATTAAAAAATAATAAATTTTAAATTAAAAAAATTATATATACTATTTTATCTTTAATTTAATTAAACTTTTATAAAATATTATTCTTTCTCTAATAATAACTTTTTTATTACATTTATTTACAAATATTTTTAATATTTTTTTATAATTTTTCGTAAAATTATCACTTCTAACACTCTCGAAAATACATTTTATGAGAAGTGTTATAACTTATAAGTAGTGTATTTTCAAAAATTATAAAATTTGTGAAAAATATATTTTAGTAATTTTACTTATAAAATATCTTGAAAAAAAAAAAAGTGGGGATATTTAGACCAAAAACAGTGGTACAAATAGAATTTCCCATACAAAAAATATTCAATAAAATTTTTTAATATTTTTAAATTATTATTTCCTGAAAACACTATTTCATTATCTCTAATGAAAATAAAAGTAAAAATATAAAATGATAAATTTTTAGAATTTAATATTTTAAATTATCAAATAATATATTTATATTCAATATTTAATTTTCAGTAAAATATCAAATAGTTTTATAATATTCCCTCTGTCTCATTTTCTTTGCTCATTTTTTTTAGGATGTTCTAAAATAATGTTTTTTTTAATATCTAAAACTCTTACATTTTTATATTTTTAAATTATTTGTTACAATTTTTTACTTTTTGACATTAAAAATCATAAAATTTTAATTTTATAAAAAAAATTAATTTTAATATTAAATAGATTAAAGTCAAAAAAAAAATTTTAAACTTCGTAAAAGTCAACACCGACCAAACAAATTGAGACAAAAGAAATATAAATTTAGTACTTATCAAATTTAATATTAAAATTTTAGTACTTAATTTTTCAACACTTAATATTCAACTTATCAAACAAAATCCAAGTTAAAATTTTTAAAATCTAAAAAATCAAACATCTTACTTACGTTTTGCATGCCCTGAGCTAAGCAGTGTTGTTGGGATTTTAGAAAGATATTTGTTTGCATCTCAACCTCATTTCTATATTTAAGAACATTGAAATTCCTAGGGAATGATAAGCATTTAGTGATATTCCTTCCAAAAAATTTTTCTTTACTCTTTTAGTAATAGTATAAAATATGCAATTCCTCTTTGACATGTTAAGATGTATTATATATGCAATCCCACTTCCGAATGCTTATATAATTTTATTACTTAATCTATAAGTATTATAGTCATATTTGATACATAAAATGATAGATGAGATAAGATAATAATTATTTTATGTTATAATTAATTTGTATCTAAATAAAAAAATAAAATTATAATGATGATTAATTATCCTTTTGATATACAATGATTAAATTCTCTCAAAATGAAAAAAAATATTTTTTATTTATTTGATTGAATTTACATATCTTATTATATCTTTAAAAATTATATTAATAATTTAAATTGTATAAACTTTTTAAAAAAATAATTTTGATAAATAAATTATCTTATCATTATCTTTGCTCAAATCAAACATAAAATAAAATAATATAATTTAATCTAATTTTATTTATAATATTATTTTATCTTATTATATTATAATATTATATACCAAACACATCCTGTATGTTAGCATCGAATTTGAAGCTTCTTTGATTAATTTATCTAGTGAAGCTTCTTAATTTCAAAAGATTATGATCAGATATGGTGCTAATTATATAAAAATGGGGATATGATATGTCCTGGAAAAGTGAGGCTGAAGAGAGATCAAGTAGTATGGCATGCGATTTGTGGGGTTGAAAGAGCACTAATTCAAAAACCCACTTCGGTAGTGAACTAGTGGATTTGCTTTCTCCACATTAGCGTAGAACATGATTTGTGTAAATAAATTACGAAAAACAACCATATCTATATATGGCGTTGAAATGTGAATCTCCAATCATCTCTTCTTTGATAATAAAATATTCTCTCATCACTCATACTTAGGAGTTGTTTTAGAGGATGCATAAAGATTAATTTAGGAATTAAGATTGAACTTGTCCCTATAATATGTATTACTATTGAATTTTAGCATTAGATTTTAATTTCATTTAATTTTATCGCTGTATTTTTTTTATTTTGTTGATTTTTGAAAAAAAATAATAAAATTGATGAAATCGGTTATTTGTATTAATAAAATATTCTAATTTCATTACTTTATCTTCAAAAAGTAATGAAAGTAGAAAGTAAAATGAAATAATTATAATAAAATTGAAATATATATATAATGAAAATTATTTTTGGCGAGCAGAATTCTGAAAGAGGTAATAACTCTAGTAAAAAAGTAGCAGTCATTTTATATCCAGCAAAATATGGAGACTGAATTTGACGCAACATGCACTGTGATGAGGTTGAGGGGGAGCGAGGGAGTGTACTAACATGGCTACTTAGCGAGTTCCGTCATCATGCTTCAGTGGGCGTGGCATTTACAGCTTAATTTCAAGAAAATACTCTAACCAACCAACAAAATGCGACATTAATACTTTCTTGTCTAAATTTGGCGAATATGAAAAATGAAAATATAGTAAATAGAAGAGAGAGAGAGAGAGACTCACATCATAACGACAAACAGCACCAAAATCATTGATGAGGAGATAATCGTAGAAAATAAATTTTTAAGTTTAGATTCAATTCGAAATGATAACATATTTTATTTTTTTGTTAAATAAAAAAAGAAAAGCTACTAAGAACAAAATAATGGTATAAAATAAAAATCACCAAAACCAAATGTAATTTGTCAAGCACACTTTTTTTATCAGAAAAAACATCACTCGCATCAACTAATCAGAGTAAAGATGGGTTTGGATCCCACTAAAATTGCGTTTCGGTGAAATTGGACACCTTTTTGCCCCCCTCAACTTTACCGTGATGTTATTTGGTTGGTATATTTCTATGCAATTAATTTTAATGTCTCGTCAGTTGGAGTCTGTAGCATCCAGGGTACACTGGCCCAAAGCAGAGTGTAGTTAAAATTTATAGACCATATTGCCCTTTTGTGATTTTTTCATTTCCCGAAACATTTCAACATATTCTTTTTGTTTTTTGTTTTTAAATATAAATTTGTTTAATTTGTTATATGTTTTAGATTTATGTTTAATATTAATTTATCTAAATACATTCATAATTTTTCAAATATTAAATATTTTGAATATTTTTATAATTTTAATATTTAAAATTATTTTTACTAATTTTTAATTTATTAACAAAAATATTATTTAATATAAAATACTTTTAATAATTTTTAATTATTTATTAATTTCACAAATATCAAATATATACTATTAATTCTATTTTATATAAGTTTTAATCTAATATGCTTAATCGTTATTTTTTTCCTTATTACACTTCATCTTATTATTATCATAATTTT